TGACATACTTTTTTAGATTTTAATTACATTATCGAAATGCTCCCTCCATTTTTTCATTAACTAACTACTTTTAAGCCCTTATATAATGTATTAGACTAAAGCGAAGGCAGTCTTTTTAGCAATTTTTCACAATAAGTGGGAGCAAAAATTGTAAAACTATAGTACACATATTCAAACTTCAATAGTTTCATTTATCTGCACCTTCTATTGTAGAGCATGTCTAGCACTATTCCATTAGCACATTCACAATATACTGTTTATAGCTATTGTGAAGGCGAAGCAAGGACCTGACAGATACAGGGCCCATTTCAGCTCATACGTGATGTAACAGCCAAACAAAGAGCAGATTCCACAGACTGCAGTACACTGTGGACAAGCTGTGGACAACTTTTTATAAGTTCTATTCTTCTTCTCACAATGCAATTACCCAGACTGCCTGAACATTCAATATATAAAAATGTATGTGTGAAAATTTTTTGAACAGTGGATACAAATTTGAACACTGTTAATTTAGGAAAAATCTTGTAACACTGATGTATTCATGAGCAACTGATTTCATAGTTGTATTATTTATTTATGCATGACAGCACAGGACAGCTGTAGCATGAAAAGAGACAAGCAGTTGCAGCAGTAGGGAGGCGAACCCATGTTGCCACATGGTAACTAACAGTTGCCTGACCAGCTCCTTCTAATTTCTGTTCGAATCCAGAAGAGCCTGGAATCTGAACATAGAGCGTGACAAACCACTGTCTTAAAGTGGGGTGATCCAGTCACAGATGCTTTGTATCATGTGTCTCTCAAATGCAGAACACATCTCCTCAATTCTTGTATCATTCAGATAGAGTTTGGTGCTTCAATTATTGATTCTGATGAAATTCTGTGATGTTTCTCAGTTGTCTGTGTTATTTTTTCTCCTTTTACATGTAAGCAGCCATGTTTGTTTTGGCACAAATGAAGTATGCATTTCTTTGATTGGTTAATCCGCCATTATTATAGACGTGCCTGCTACATGTGTAGCAGCGCGCACCTGCTGCCTTCTGCCACCAGGTGGCGCTTGGGCTTATAAAAGGGCACTCCCCGTAGCGTCTCGTTCTTTGATCTCAGTGCACTTCCGGGACAGGGCCCCGCCTTGTCGCGCACAGGTAAACAACCGCTGATCTCTAATTACAGTTGCAAGTTTATCATTTAATGTGTGTTTTATTGTAGTGCCACCGCTGCTAGAGTCCCGATGTGCCCGATCGAAGTGATGGGCAAATGAAGCTTCATGAAGCCTTTCATTCAATTGGTTCACTCTAGCGCAAAGCTTCTTGAAGCTTCATTTGCTCTAGCAGGACATCTACTGGACACAAAAATATCAGTTGACATGAATTTGAATTGTGTGACATTTTGCAGAAAGCCTGTGAATAGAACGGTCAGCAAAATAAAGAAGTATGCAAAACATGTATATTGTAGTGATGGCAGTGAACTGTGTATCTATATACTGGCAGTATGGAAAAAAATATTTGAAAATTATGAAAACGGAAATCGCAGCAAAATCCGAACCACTTCCTGAAGCAGTCACGTGGTACAGCCGGGCAGCGAGGCTTCGGACGTCATCATTTTCAGCTCCTCCCCTAAATGAAGCAGCCTCGATACGCGCATCGCGGAAACGCCTCCTCCTCTACTCGACACACGCCTCGAAGCCTCGATACCAAACGTCACATCACTACTCGTGAGTAAAGCTCCTGTGTGTATTTGCTGTTGATCGCCGCTGTTCGCCGCTGTCAGGGTCGGTCGGGTCGGTCGGGTCGGGTCGGGTCGGTCGGGTCGGTCGGGTCGGGTCGGGTCGGTCGGGTCGGTGTTGCTCCGGCCGCTCGGCGTCAAGTCTCGTGGATGCAGAAGCGTGTGTTTTGTGGTATGTTGGTTGGTCACTATTGGGTTCATGCATGGGGCTACTAACAAGTGAATCATAAACCATAATGTTCATTTTCGGGTCCAGGGTGGTCTTCGGCTCGTCATGTGGAGCGGTGGCCTGTGAACGAGCTGCTGCTTTGTTTTACTGTGGTTTATATTTTAAGGACAAAGTCCTTGTACAGCTGCTTTTGTGAAGCTTTTAATCGGCAGTTATGTGAACAGTGAATAGTCTACTCTTAAAGTTTATCTAAACAAAGGAAACAAATGAATAATGGTAATAATAAATGATTTTGTGTTTTGTAAGATACTTGTCTCTGTCAATTAACGAACCTGTGAGCCTTATTTTAGTTTAGTAAATTTAGTTTTAGTTTCAGTGGCGTTGTTGGCTTTGTTAAATTGTACTACATTGGGTTTCTCTTACTCTTCCATCTACCCTCTGCTACACATGGATAGTATCAGTGAACTATTTATTTAAGGCAATCTCCGTTAAGAATGGATTCATGTGTGAAAATCTCAAGAGAAAACACAGAAAGTTGGTCAAAAAGACTGAACTCACAATCTTCATGCTAACTACTCATATTAATTACTAGAGTATAGAAATATGGAAGATATGGACTATTGAAGACAGACACTAAACAAACAGTCTGTGGTCTACTGCATTAGTATTCAGTGCACATACCAGTCCACTCCCTCCTTCAGAGAATTACACAGCCTACATCAACCTTTCATTAAATATACATCAATCCAACACGCTTTAATAAAGTGGACTACTGTGAATCTGCCCTAAAACGCACACTGATAAATACTCAATCTATATGTAAATATGCTACACTGGAATAAAATGGTGAAGAAATGCATTAGGTGGCTTATTTGATCAGTGCCCAAGGAGCTGAAGTGGTGATTTTTAATGCACTGAGGAGTGGGTAGGTGAGTGGATGGGAGGGGAACTATCAGAAAGGACAACAACTTACAATCACAGGAAATAAAGTCAGTTTTTTTACCATCAGCAAAAAAGTTAAGGTATGCAAAAGAAATTAAACATTTTAAACAGAACAAATGTGTTTATTATAAATGAAGCATAATTACATCCCCAAACATGGCATGCCATTGCAACATTGTGTTATGTCTGACCATGATCAGCTCCTTTTAAGTTTGGTTTGTTTGTCTAATTGATCATCGCTGTATCACATGTATATGTGCTTTACAAAACTCAAACATAGAACATTCTTTTAAAATGATTGGACATGTGTGCCCTTCTCAGCAGTTCCCTTAATAAAAAGTAAAGTACAATAAGAAGGAGATCTAACTTAATCCAAATGTAATAACGGAAGGCAATACACCAGCTCTGCACTCTTGATAATACCCATGAATTGTCCGCAAACAAATAATATTCCTCGCTATACTACTAGAGGGTTTTAGAGTTGGGATTTAAAGTGACTAAATACACCACCTCCTATATTTAAATGATCATAATAAATGTAAACAGCTGCCTATAGTTTGAGTGCCTGTGAACCCCTTATGAATGTGTCTTTTACAGGCTGTTGCCCATTAAAGTGTGCCTACATGTGCCATGCTGTGCTTTATTAATGGTGACATTCCACACAGCAATTAGTGTCAAGTTCCTAAACAAGTGCCTAAATGAAGTGTTTGCTGGTTTCCACATCTATAAAGCCCCACACCTGGTTCAAGCACATACAATAAGGGAATGAATAAAACTCTACTGGAGTCTGCTATAGACATAACTTTGTAGTTCTAATTTACTTGTAATTTAGCAATAAGGTACAGTTTCAGAGTTTGTGACAACTTTCTTTTCCCCTATTTTACCACTCCTGGAAATTACTAGTTTATGTGACATCAGTGTAAAACCCATTTGAAAGACAGGGTGGAGCAGAAAACAAATATGTCCTTATTAGGGGAGACATCCTTCCAAACTTCATATTATTTACATTTGGTTAATAATCATCAAATGGACTGGAGAGTGTGAGTGATTCATGTCTGGAGCAATACGGCATCATTAGGGCTTGTAATTAGTCAACTGGTGAATAATCTTTGGAACAATCTACTCTATGTAATATCAGTAATCCCTGGGGTCAGTGCAAAGGTAAAACCACACACTTTGGGCTATAAACCTCCAATGACCTGTGGAATCTATTAAATCCAACCCAGATCTGTCCACACCTCCCAACTTGTGCCCTGGCATCCTCTGAATGGCAGCAGCTGTGTTCTCAAACAGCTTCATTAAAGGTGTTGGGAAAGAGGGGCTCAGACTGTCCGGTGCACCTGCAGCGCAGCTCTGTATACTTCAGCTTCAGCTTCCCTTATGTCTGTGCACATGATGAACAATAAGCTTTTCTTAATTCAGGAAGCATTTAAGAGACTATTGGTGTGCAATAGTCTAATTATGAACTAAAAAGGTGTGTAGCAACATTGCGGTGTAATCTCTTAAAATACCTAGGACTGTTCCATATTACAACTAAAGCTTCAAAAGACAAAATGTGGTTTCTTGTCTCACAGCAAATCTTTAGACTAGAGACCACATCTGAGAAAGTCTCTAGAAATCAAAGAAGCCCAACAATGAATATACTGCATCTGAAGTGGATGATTTAGGCCTGTTTGCACAGAATTCCAATACAAACTAAATGGGTCTGTGACCTGCTTAAGTCTTAGTTTAGATCAAGAGACCATGCCTAGATAATTAATGTCATGAAGGATTATGAAATTATGTACAAGTTATCAAATTTGATGAGGATAATTTGCTAGCATTTTGGTGTTTCATATGTTATGAGTTTCAAAATGTTATGTGTTCCATTAAAAGTGTCAAACATGCTCAACCCAGGATCTTTTCTACCAACTATTAATGAACCTGCAGTGCACGTTTCACTTGTCTTGCATTTATCTATTTACATTACATCAATACCACCACTTTTTTATGAATGAGAATAGTAAGTAACAGTATGGATTTGCACAATTCAAAGATAGAAGTGGACAGCTTTGTTTTGATGGCTTCAGAAAGCCTTTGTGGTGAGTTGCATAAATCAGACATACCTCTGCCTCCATCTACTGGCAAAAAAGGTATATTGCAAGAGTAATGAATCCTGAGGACGGTCTTAAAATTGATAAAAATAAACATTTTTTTATTACCAATCACAGAAAAAGAATGGCCAACATGACATCAAGAGCATTTCTCAGAAATTAAAAAAGCTAACATTTTATTTACAAAGTCTGCAACTGGATGTGTACAGATTTAGCACATGCACATACAAATTGCAAATAGGTTATCATAATTATTGTAATATTATTAATACACAGATAACAAAGCTTTCCTCATTTAACCACTGAGTTAGCCAGTTTAACAGCCCCTCACTGCTATTGTGGTCCCAACAGTGGATATTTAAGGTTACACCAATCACCAGCAGACACAACCACATGGCAACACGGTGATGACAGATTCAGACCAGCAATGGATGGATTAACATGATTGATAATAAATAACAATAGGAAAAGGATTACACAGATTACACAGTTGTCTGCTGGGGTTAAAATATTCAGGCCAGCGAGCATTACATTTGAACTTTGGTAATGATATAAAGCTGTGCAGTCTAGTGTGGGAGAGGTTTGTTGGCTTGTATCGATCAGTAATGTAGGGTTTTTGCACAGTGTTCTGAACTAATTAAGCCTAAATCAAATTTAACATGTTGATCATTACCACTGTCAAGGGAAAATTACAGATAAAGCAAATGCAGCATTCATAACATATTCTTCTGATATATTAAGTACAGTTACAGAGATATTATAAGATAACAGCTCTATGGTGTGGTGTTTAAACATTACAAAAATGTTTTCATGTCAAACTAATTATATATATATATATATATATATATATATATATATATATATATATATATATATATATATATATATATATATATATATATATATATATATATATAAAAATCATAAGGACAATTATTATTTAAGATTATTTTCTTTTGAATTAATGCCAGACCCGTTCTGATGATATATAAATTAATTCCAGATTACAGTATCATGAAATACTATCTATTTCAGCTATCATCATCCTGTTTTATAATAGAAGCTATTTTATGTCACTTCTCATAATTTTCCATTTAATTTTACAATTGTCTGAGCTGTTGAAGTGCAGTGTACTATTATTATGTATTGACACTACACACATGTGATTTATTGTGTCAGACCAGAAGTGAACCAAGGTGTGACTGGGACAAATGTAGCCTTTTGAAATCTCTGTCTTCTGACTAACAGTACTGTATATCTCCATTTTCTAATCATGGGATTATAGAAAGAAACAAACCCATGGCACACCCATGCTTTGTTAGGAAAAAAGGCTTAAAGACAATTTCACTAACAATCTCTAAAACACAAAACCTGTTATAATTATCAGTCTTTGTGAATAAGAAGTGAAGGTTAAAATATCACTAATTATCAGACCAAACTAATTCACTGCCAAGGTGTAACTTTCTGTAAATCATAGATGTACAGTGCTTTAATCCTCATGCGTTATGATGACTTAAAACAGGATTGTCTAGTGGTGATTATTAAAAGTTATCAAGGGATTCTTCCTGTCTGTAGAGTTTAGTTTTGCTGAGCATAAACTGTCAACTGTTCAGTTTACCTGTTTAGCCAAAGGCACTTAAAACTCCCCTTTTAAATACAACCACTAGAGATATGTAAACATTAAATAGTCACAATAGTCACTTAAAAATATACACATACCAACACAAAAACAAAACTCATGTTAGGGACAGATTCACCAAATGTCACCTAATGTTTGCGACAATATGAAGAAGCAAAGGAATAACTGTTTTGTATAAGTTCACTCCTAGTTGTCCCAGCAACTTTTTGTTTCAAATCTTTAAGTATGGGGCGGGAACTATGCAACTGCTATGTGCATGACTCTGAGAACCAAGCATTGGCGATACATACATTATTGGATTGGTACATCCCTAAACAACACCAAACTGGTAATACACACGGAAAACAAGTGTGTGTAATGTGTGATAAGGCATGAGAGGTGTAGACAATCACACTCTACTAGCTTCAGAAACTTTAGAGCAGAGGTTCCCAAACTTTCAAGCCATGACTCCCCACCATGCAACCAGCTTGGCCCTCCCACTGTGAAATATTGATAGGTTATAATTTTGAGGTCGCAAAACATGTTTAATTGGGTTGAATGCTTTTTATTTAAACTGATTCTTGTGTTATTGACCTCTATTTTATGAACAGATACCATGTTAAACTATACAGTAAATACAGGTCCATAAATGTTAAATTATATCTTATTATTATTTTTATGTCTTGGGACCCCCAGTTTATGCTTCATGACCTATTATGGCGTCCTGACCTCCACTTTGGGAACCCCTGCTTAAGACATGAGGAGCTGTGTGAGCTTTGCTAGTGCTGTAGGCGGTGTAGGGGGCATGTAATGACAGAGACACATGAATTACTTCACAAAGGCAGTGGCAGGGTGTCTGTCGAGGACCAACGATTGGAGACAGTGGACAGCAACTAGTGGTTTCACTTTTCAGCTCCGCCGGGACTTAGAATGCTGGATAAGCCACTGCAGAGTGATGTCTACAAATAATATTATAATTAGGGTTTTACAGTTACATATTTTTCTGTGTACAGGCATAAATAACCATTATTTTTTGTAGCTGGCTAGTCAGCATCAATTGTGTATTAATTATAGTCAAACAATTTCTATTGGGTCTTGTTCTTTTTTTTTTTTCTTCTAAAGTTTATTTGATTTAATCAATAAAGCGTAAGCAGTTAAATGGGCTTTCTGTGTCATTTGATGAAAAAAACAGGTTTAATGACAAAGACAGCATATTGTAATTTAAACCAGTTTTTACAGATTGAAAATGGTCAGCAACGATTTCAGTAGTTAATTAGTCATGATTATTGCAAGTACTGTAATTAGTTAGCCTTAATTATTGTTATTTTTTTTCCCCACAACTGAGTGTTTTTTTTTCCTTGCTATAAATTATACAATCCATGACTAAAGAACTGAAATTAATTGCAAGCATATGTATGTGACATCATAACTGTCTTGAACTGATTCTAAATGACCAGCTATATATATATTTATATATATATATATATTCTCTCTCTCTCTCTCTGTGTAATACTTATGTAATCAAGGCTTGTTAAGGGTGTGTTACAGAATTCACTTGCTAGTTTAGTTTACCTATGTTGTCTTTCTCCTTGCAGGAGACAGAGTAGCAGCAGATCTCTCGATCTTGAATGGCAGACAAATTCCTACAGAAAGTAGGTAAAAGTAACAAAAAGATTTGCACTTAGTTCACAAGTAAATACACAACTAATTGATTCAATTAAACCTACACTTACATTTTTTCAATCAGCTGCTTCTCATCAAGAGCATTTGGCAAGTCGCGTTTGTTGCCAAGTACTAAGATCTGAAAATTAAGGGGGTGTATAATAGTACATATAATACCTTCAACACTGCACATCTGACAAATAAAAAATTGCATTTCTACAGACCACTAGAAACCAATAGGAAGCCAATGAAGGCACCAGGGTGTACTTACGGGAATTCCTTGTAATTGTGGCTTATCTAAAAGATTGTGCAGTTCATTTCTGGAAGCTTCAATCTTCTCACGGTCTGCAGCATCTACCATGTAACTAATACAATATGTAGCAATTACACAAAATATCAAAGATAGATTAGTTAAAATAACTAAGGAACATGCTTTTACACTATAGCATTGACTCCACGGCAGTAGCGCTCCCACATACTTCTGAATCGTGGCTGTCCCCCTATGTCCCATATCTAAAATGAAAAAACAAGTCAAAACAAACTAAATAAAATCAATTGCAAGTAGCAGATAATGAATTATTGATAAGTAGCAGAAACCTGGAACAATAGAAAGTACAGACCAAAATACTTCTCTGTTTACTGTTGGAAGAGTTCCTCTTTGACTTACCTTTATTGTCACGTTGCCTTTGGTAACCTTCCTCATGTTAAAACCAACTGTAGGAATCATATCTTCACTGAACTGGCCTGACTGGAAAACACAAATTTCATTCTTTCATGCAGATTCTTTATTTCAACACTGTCACATTTATGTGTGTTCAATAGTAGTGTATTATCTGTTAAAAAAGTAAGATCTCACCATACCACTGATAAAAATCATTACTTCCATTAAGTGATTAGTGTATAATAGTTTCCTTACATTAGAAGTATTTTACTTTTTGCGTTTTAGGTTTACTCAGTTCACTCAGTGGTAAAATTTTGTTTTAGTATTAAAACAAATAACATCGATGAGATGACTTGACCGAAAGTAAAAGTCATCATTGTTTTGGTAGATTACACACGACAACCTGAACTTACTGGTAGACTAACCTCAAGTGACCAAGGAGGCTAGTATCGGAGAACAGTCTTGCCCAAAAAGCTTATGCTCAAGTGATTCATAGTTAACTAGTGCTTAAGGCTGACAGTAGTTGTTGTCACCATATCCCTGATGATGACTGCTCTTCTCTTCACATGACTTCATTCGCAAGAAGTCAGCGCAGTCATACCCCGATACAGCAACTTGGCCAATCTCGTTAGCATTACATTGCTTTCTTAGGTCTACAAGCTCATGCTGATGGGAGTAGGTGGTCGGCACAACAAAAAAACTTATACGTCATAACTATTTGACACAATATAATGAGAAGTTTGCTTAATAAACAATTCTTTAAATCTTTGCCAGGTGGCAGCAGCAGCCGGGGGGCCTTGATACAGCTACTTACTGCTATAACGTTGACAAACGTAGTTTTCCCTGAAGACTGAAGCCCCACTAACGTCAGTTCCATCTCTTCTTTCCAAAAAAGAGCGCGGAACCAGTCTAAAAGCCTGTTTATTAGAGCCAGCATCTTGGATGACAGCGTAGGAGCAGGCTAGCACTACACTCAGGAAGTCGCGAGTGCTTTGTCAGGTCATGTGACAGAACGTCAGTCCGCCTGCGCTCTGCAGACAGCAGCACGCACAGAGCGCAGACAGCAGCAGCGCAGATACAGCACGCAGAGCGCAGACACACCACGCACAGAGCGCAGACACACCACGCACAGAGCGCAGACACACCACGCACAGAGCGCAGACACAGCACGCACAGAGCGCACGCACAGCAAGCGCAGTGCTGACACAGCCCACACAGGGCAGAGACACAGCACGCACACAAGAACAGGAACAGAGAACCCTCAACGACGTGCAAGTATTGCATCAGTCGGAGAAAAAAATCAAGCTGACGCAAACAAACAAACAAACAAACAAACAAAAAACAAACAAACAAACTTAAATATTCAGAATTCACATTTAATATTTTATTTTAAACATAGTACCATTAAGCCTATAGTTAGTATGAGAAATGCCTACTCAGATATTTTAACCATCGACCTGGGCTGTCCTGTATCTGGAAACAATACATTTGTAAATGTTTTAATTGTCATCCCCAAAGCACTTACAATAATGGTAACTGGTGATTAAACCTTTCATTCCAAAAGGCAAGAATTTAGCCTCTTTTAATCAAAGCAGCTAAATGATTACAAGTATGTAATGACACAAATACCAAGAGTAATCCAATTGTGTAACTACTGCAGCCACTGGAATTAAACACCTCTCTAAAAGAACAAGACACTTGTAAAGTGCTTTCTCTTCAAATGCCGTTGTTGGTGTGGTCAATTCAGTAGTCTATTAAATCTTGGTCTTCCGGCAAACAGCCCTGGGTAAAAACAAAACAATAGACTATTATTTAGAAAAAGCGATGTGTTTAGAACAAGACGAGGTTTGAGTAATACATCAACATTACCTGTGGTCTGACCAGTGTGTTGTATTTTTCTGGTGCTGCTGCACTCATAATGGTTGTATAGACAGTTATACTAGAACACATGGCATCTTCAGTTAAAGTAATACACATTTTCTATTGAAATCACACCAATAAGAACCATGCTTGTCAAAACTGTGGTGATGTAATGCATTTTCATCTATTTCTGTTCCGTGTTTTGGTTAAGTATGTGCTCAGACAATAGTGAATTGGCATTCGTGCTGAGGAATGAGAACTGAAAGCATGCAACATAACCACTGTCAAGTGATCCACTCAAAAACTGGATAGTATTGAAAAGTAAACTTACCCATTGCACACGGGGAACAGTGACAAAACCTGGAGACAAAATATTACAATGTATGCCATTTATAAATGTGTTCAAATTTGTTGTGTAGGCATAATTTATTTACCTGATAAAGAGTATCCATGTTGATATGATCTTGTCCAGTTGCATTTAAGGCTTTACTGGCCACTATCCTGGAAAAAATCAAATAATATTTTTGCACAATATTGTACAATGTATGATTGCGCATGTTTTGTACTTTTGACTCCCTTGCTGACATTAGCTCTCACAGCGGTGCATCAATCTCTATGCTATACTGTGTTTTTAAGCTAATAACTATTAATAATTAACAAAACTGAAGAAGGATCTTGGATGAGCTACGAAACATCTTCAGTCAAAAACGTTTGTCCAGTTAACAAAATATATTTTTTTAATTTTTGCTAAATAATACTGACCTTCGATAATCTCTTTTTGGAGGAGGCTGCCAATGGTCATAATTTGTTTCCACTCTGTACCATCTGTAATATGGAACAGTAACAATTGTTACTTTTCCCACTACATTATACAGTATTCTAAAAATATACTTACCCTCCAGTGACGGGCTCTAGGGGCCATAAGTCTGCTGGGCCAGTGCGATCTCTGGTGATGACCATTCCCTCACCTGCTTGCACACCGCCTACTATGTAGTACACCCCAGTAATGATAGGGACTTTAGAGAGGCGGCTCACTGCATCCAGAAAGTCTTCAGCATTTTCCAGAGTCTGTAAGGAGAGCAAGACTGCCTATTTTTCTGTGGACTGAACATCATCTGCCTTACATTTAACTGCTTATTATAGGGCTGGCTAATAAGTAAGAATATAACTAGCATAAGTGCTTTACTGAATTATGTACAAAGCATCATTCTGCCTGACTTATGATTAATGTCTTTTCTGTAGCATCGAATAATCTGCATTATGCAAAATGTTAAAGGTGCATTGTGTAACTTTTCAGGTGGAGGATCCATCAACCCCACTCACAGACAGAATGCCTGTTTTTCTAGGTATTACAAAAGAACACAACATTGTTGTTGTCTAGTCTTATTTCAATCTTAAACACAAAATCAGAGCAAAATGGATTGAGATGCAATGGCACATTGAGTCTTTGTTCACTGGTTTAATGATGTGTCTGTGAATGGATGCATGGTTCCTTGAAGTGAAGTGTTTTGAGGAATAGACAAAAAAAAATGCTGCATGTGACAGTGTATATTAGTGTATATTAATATTAAAAACATAATTAAAGTAAGACTAAAAGGTCAAAACTGCATAATATAACCTGTTTATGTTCACCATTGCAAGTGAAAAAAAAATCTATCACAGATGCTGTTTTGAAAGCTTTATTCTCTGATACTCACCTCCCTCATCAACCAGCTGACAGGAGACCTTCGAAACAGAAACGCTGACACCCAGTTCTTCCACCAGTTCCACCAGTGCTCACTACCTATATTTTTGAACCACAAGCAAACCTCAGCTGATATTTAGACTTTTCCTCTTTCTGAGTAGAGTGCTTCCTACCTCGCTGGTCACCAGACACACTGAATTTATTTGGGCTTTGGCCAGTCCATAGGCCAACATAACCTGCAAATGATGTGCCTTGGTATGCAACCTATGTGAGAATCAAGTAAAATAAACTATTAGTCAGGTTATGTGTAGCCCTTTTACAACAGGGAAACAAATCATACAATGACAACAACCTTTCCTTTCTTGAAAAAATTGACATTGATGGTGAGGTTTCTGAGGACTGGATGTGGATAGTCAAGATTTCTGCCGTGGTACACATTCCCATTTTGGTCCTGAGTTACAATACTTGTACAAAATCTAAAGAAAAGATATATAAATCAATAACCTGTGAAGGTGCATTATGTAAGTGCCAGATGCCATAGCATTTGCTTGGAATGTTCCACAGTATGGCATTAAACCTTTCTCTTTCATGTATGTAAGTATATATTTATTTTTATCTTTTTATTTTTATTTATTTATTCAATATTTTACCTGGTAAGCCAATTGCTAAAATGAATATCTTGGAAAACATATATTTGTACTGTGAAAGGGCTTAGATCTTCACAGATTTTCATGGACATAGATTAGTTTAATGTCATAATCTGGAACACATCAGGCAAAGCAAGCAGATGGTGGTCCCACCAGAAGTTACAGAGCACCTTTTAATGTTGGGCACAGACATGACATCTTTAAGTCTATGGTATGAAAAGTACATAATACAAATACATACGCAGATACTTCATAGGCAAAATTGAGAATTATAGCATCCGAAAGACTTCCTCCAACATGTTCAGCAATGCCCCGGATCTCCCCCGCATATGGCTGAGGAATGTACTTCTCCAGTGCCAGTACAATGGGTTTAACTGCCTGGTGCACCCATCTGGGAACTGTGGAGCTACAAACAGTAACAATCAGATAAAGCAGCATGGTTGCCCCCCTGATCCAGCTTTTTTTTATTTTATTTTTTTACTTTTTTTTTTTTTTTTTTACTTAAATCACCCTACCTTCACTGTCCATCAGGGGTCCCCCAAGGTAGCATTTTAGGACCTATTTTATTTAGTTTATACATCAATGATCTTCCTAAAATGTGTCCAGATGTCAATGTCCAGCTGTATGATGTTCAGCAAAAAAAACAATTGATCTACAGCGGTCCAATGTCTTTCTGGACGGCGTGGAACTCAGCCTTGTCAAAGAGTTTAAATACCTGGGACTGACGTTGGACCCGACATTGACATTTAAGAAACACATTAAGCGCCTTACAAAAACTGTTAATTTTAACTTAGTGAATTTTAGACAAGTCAGATCTTTTATGACTTTATATGCGGCACAAATGTTTTTACACTCCATGATTCTGTCCCATATAGAGTGTTGCATAACAACACAGTCACTCACTGCTGGAACAACACTCAAACCCATCGAATCACTTTTTTAAAAAAGCCATAAAAATATTGGACAAGAAACCATTCTCATTTCACCACTGCACTATTTTAGACAAGTATAATTTGCTTAATTTTAATAATTTGATTGGTTTTAAATATGGATGTTTTGTCTATAAAGTTTTGCATGGACTTGCCCCTCCTCCATTACAGGATTTTATTAAAGTAAAGACTGTGAGTGGGATGGGAACTAGGGCCACAGCCCGGGGGAACTGTGACGTCCCACACAGACGCACCACATTCGGACAATGTGTGTTTCAGTCAGAGGCACAACATTTTGGAACAGTCTGTCACTACCAATAAGAGAAACTTCAACTCTTGCCACCTTCAAGTCCTGCTTAAAAGAGTGGCTAAAGAAAAAACAGACTTGTGGACACTTTTAGTATAGATTTGTTACTTGTTTTTGCTTTGTTTAAATTTGTGGTGTTACCTGCCTAGGGACTACAGATGGAAATGAGCAGTCTTGCTATAATCTGGCATATTTACACTGCAATGTTTAGATGTTCATTAATATGAACTGTCCCTATTAAATAAATAAATAAATAAAAAGTTACAAATGATGGAAGAGAATCTAACTGCCTTGTTTTAGCCTTACTTTACTCCTGATAAATCTGGTGGTGCTTACAAAGGTGCTTAGGTGGTACTTGGTATAAAAAAAAAGTTTCGGAACCACTGCTCAGTAGCTCAGTGGTTAGAGCAGAGGTTCTGTTGTTGTGTTAGACCAAGTTATGTTGTTGTGTCCATAGTCGAGACACTTCACCCACCTTGCCTAATATGAAAGTGAGGTTTGCGTGTTCCCGAGATGGTCGGGAGGATTCATGGCACAGATTGGCAGCCTCCTTTCCATCAGTCTACCCCGGGACAGCTGTGGCTACTATAATAGTAGTTTAGCACCACTACGTGTGTAATGAATGCACAATGACTACAGTGTAGCGCTCTGAGAGGCTTCACAAGCCTGTAAAATGCACTGCAAGGAGCGAAGCATTATTAGACATAGAAGCTATAGCTATATAAAAGTAATTAGTAGAACTGTTATGATTAGAAAAACAATCCATAGCCACCACCAGAAAGTCCTTAAGTCCTATTAACGTGAGTTTCCAGTTAACTATTTCGTAACTGGAAAGCAGCGCTGAACACATAAGAAACAAACAAAACAAAACAAAAACTCGCATCCCGCACTTACTCAATCACTTGTGCAGACGCGTTTTTGAGGTAGTCCGGGTCAAAGGACAGGCTCAGGGGCTTCCAGCGCACCTCGGGCTGCTCGTCCAGGCTGATGTTGACTGTGGGTGGGGCGAACTCACTGTGTCTCAGAGCGGCGCAGTGGTTGTAGAGTCCGCAGAGCAGCAGCCAGGCTCGGCCGGACAGCAGCATGACCACCGCGGAGCTAAACTCTACAGAGCATTGGGCCAACTCCACTCCAGCTCCCCACACTTCCTCAAAGGTTCTCAAGTAGACTGCTTCCTTGTTTCACAATAAAGAACAGGATGTAGGCCTACGGTATAGGCCAGGAACGTCTATAAATAGGCTTAAAATTTCCCCAAACAAACAGAGGCTGAATGTGAAAGTAGACAGGTACAAAAGAAGTTGCCTATGGGCCTATTTGCTTCCTTATTTTTTGTCATATTTACATGCAATGCTAAGTGGAGCATAAAATTAGTCTATAAAGTGCAACACAGCATAATCTATTAATGATCCTCAATCAGTTTAAACTGATAAACAGTTGGCTACAGAATCACACAGATATGATTTAATAGTCTGGCTGTATGAAATGTTCAGATTCCTGTATCTTGATGTGGAATTGGACTGTTTCGGGAACTGGTCACTTAAGGCTAGAACGGCCTTGCTGTAACTTTGCTAAGTGTTGCACATCGGTAACTGCATTAAGTTTTTGCAATAGGGCAAGTAGGATTAAAATGCAAAAGCACCATGACAACCCAGTGCAAGGAATGACCACTGTAACACCACTAGATGGCGGACTTGCACCATAATGTCCCCCAGAGGCAGAAATGGGTCTTCATTAGAGAGCAAGTTAAGACTATTTTTCACTAATTCAGTGTTTCAGTGACAGTGGCTGACACTGGCAGAGCTGAAGCTGAAGTTTTACTTGATTTGGAAACTATGATGCAAATCTTAACATAAAATTAAGTTTCAAATATCATTAATGAACCTCGTCTGTAACTGTCTTGTACTACAAAGTAACTGTAACATGTCATTTGAACTCTCAGCGCCTGCAAACTTCTACATGTCTACAGTGTAAATGAAGACATTTATAACAAAACACAAAATACTTTGTTTTTCTAAAGAATAAGTTGTTGAGTTAAAAGTAGGCTACATGCTTGTTCTAAAAGTAAAAGTAGCCTATCTCTTGTAAAATGACTAGATTGCTAAAAGTAAAGTACTTTCAATGTTCTCTTCCACTATAGCTTAACAGGTGCACTAATGGTAAAAGATTGTTTTTACACTGCAGTTGGCTACTACTGTTGGAGTGATGTAATATTTACTGGATAATTCTCAAATCCAGTCCAATGTGAAATGTTTACAGCTTGTAATCTAAGACATGCTATTGATTTACAGAGGCTCTGACGCTTTATGGGTTATGTAAGTGTTATGTAAGTATGTGTTGTTATGGGGAGCTGTCAGGTTAACAGGCTTCAGCATGTTTAAGTCATCAGGTAATGAAATCTAGATTCATCAGGGGAAAAAAGCTTTATTAATATTCTAATGTATATCAATAATACATTATATACAAAATATATATACAACAAAAATCTTCATTTTACTTTTTAAAATAAAAATCTAAAGTACCTTTTTTTTTTTTTTTTTTTTTTTTTTTTTTTTTTTTACAAAACTATTATTTTTGTTTGAAATATTACATTCACTCTTTTGCCACATACACAATAAAGCAAACATAACCGAAACATCTGCCACTGTTGTGTCTGTGAGTAAAGGCAACAGCATGAGCTAAAGGGAGGTCGTGAACTGACCAGGAAATGGGCAAAATCACATTGTTATCTACACATACAGATGGCAAACAGCAAACGACCTTCGGCTACTGAAACACTGTATCAAAAATAAAGACAATACTTGACAGAAAATAGACACACGACTGGTTATGAGTATTTGTAAAAGCATGTGTGGTCAGCTCTCTCTTCGGCAGATATGAGTGACACGCCTCTTACAGCGACAACGCCCTGACTCCAGACCTGTCAAATGTCTCAGAAAGTTCCAGGGAAATGGAGGAGTGAGAGAGGCTACAAACTGGTCCTCACTGATAACCAGATTGGGTAACATTCTAGTCTAGAATAAAAGTTGCAGTTACAAGAGCAATAAATACTAAAAGAAGTAGATCACTTAGACCTACTGTATACATTAGGTAGCTTAAGCAGCATCTACAGGGGGCTTTTTAAAAAAATTTACATTCATAACAAACCACTGTGCAAATGCATTCGGGGGCTTATCTGTGCCTTACATTCCACTTGAAACATTCAAGTTCATTCAATAGTGACGCTAAAAACTCAGCAACTTTGCAAAATCCTCTTTTCATTTTTCACAGTGATTCCATGCAATAACCGGTCATCTTTGTGAGCCTTCACCGGGGCACTAAGACTTTGCCTCTGTAATAGTTTAGACTGTGAAGAGCAACTCAAAAGCCATTTTAGGATGGTCAACAAACAGTTTTCTAAGAGGATACCAGTGCATAAATCTTGAACATTCACACTTCTGATATTTTAGTCTTTGGTTCCCACATTAAGAGGAGAGACATTCTTTAAAGCTTTATGCAGAGTAGAATCCATTGAGGTATGATGTAGCTGTGGCGAACCCGATCGGGGGGACAAGACGAGAGATGAAGAGGGCAGTGTCTCCTGAGGTAACCCGCTCACACACGGGTACATGACTGGCATGCCCCCTGGATACCAGCACTTGTCCAGCATGGGCAGGTAGGCAGAGGCTGCGGCAGCTGCTGTAGGTGGGATGAGGTAGAACGGCAAGCAAAATGGCGGCTGGTTGGGGGAAAAGTTGATATAGCTGTCCCTGGCAGCAGTCTCTTCTGAAAGTTTAGATTTCTTGGTAGGAGGTTCATTGCCCTCTTGCTTGACACGTTCATTGGATTGGTCCCGTTTGTCCTGCTCTCCCCCATAGCCACTGTCTGTGTCCGTGTCACTGCCGCTCTGTTCCCCCGTCCCGTGAGGATGAGTCCTTTGGATGACTGGAACGCAGTTTTTAGCCTGAGCTTGGGGGGGCACAGTGACAGCTTTCTTCTCTGTTGTGTGAAGGGCTGGTGGTTCTTCAGGATGACCTCTGCCCTGGTGATGGAGGACCTCGGCTGCGACCTTGTGGATGTGGCTTATAACATGGGACACGTTCAGCTCTCGGCTCTCCTGGGTGCCCAAATAGTGCAGAACCTCTTTGGCGCAGAGGTGGAAACCAGAACGGAACATCTCCTCACTGTCAACTGAGCTGCCACCTCCATGGTCACCTTTATAGGACAAAATAAGAAATTTAAAATAATACAATTTTGTTTATCTCTTAGTGTAGTAGTGTAAAGACAAGACGTAGGACAAGTGCCACAAGCATGACATTGTAACTAGTTTATTTATGAAGCAGTTGTATATGCGGTTTGATATATTTTAGTATCTCATATATTTTATTTCTTAAAATCCAAAATGAACAAATAATTAGATAAAACGATGTTGGTGTTTCTATTTATTTATTTATTTATTTTTATCTAAAACTTTCAATATAGTGTAAAAGTCCAAAAAAGTTGCATTTTTAATGTATATAGAAAATGTAAGCAGCAGCCTAAAATAATTAATTATAAATAGTAGAGTTTATATGTCTTCATACGGAAACATACTTATTTGCAGGTCTTTCTGCAGGGCAATGATCTTCTGCTGTTGTTGCTCCAGGACGGCACTCAGGGCCTTCACATGCTTCAGAGTGAGCTCCAGCACCACGGCTTTCTCCAAATGGCCCAGCGTCTAAAACAGGAACACCTCTGATAAGCATGTTGATCTTTCTTATGTAACACATTCTGCAGCTGAACTGGGGACAAGTCTAGAACGCCTGTAAAGTCATGCAATCCACGTACGCACATACATAGTCTATTCAAATTCTAGTTACATTTTTACTAAATTACCTGTACATTCAAATATAAAGAACTATTTTTTTTCTTAAATATGCTTGCTCATTTTGTATTACAACTGATACACAGTATTACACCTGATGCAGTTCCATGCATACATGATCTCGTGGCTGGTTGTAGAAATGTACTTACAGTGAGCTTTAGGTGTTCTGGAAGCAGATCCTTCAGCTGGGCAATGCACTCATTGATTCTGTCACGTCGTTTCTTTTCAATCAGCCTGTGTGGCAGTTTATATGTCTCCTGAAGATAAAGAATAAATATTATTTACACTCCATTGAAATAAAAACGAAATATTACATAGGTGCGGTTTATAAGTTTACCTTGTTCTCATCCCCACGTTTCATACCTCTTCTAGACTTGTACACATAAATAGGAAAATCCATTCTTTGGAGATAAGATTATAGTATTAGTCATTGTTAGCTGTGACAAGAACGTTAAAGGCAAATTAAAATATATATTTTATATAAGTGTTACTTTGCTTACTTACCCTTGCATGTCAGATATATCCAGCGATGGGTGTTTTGGCATACAGGGAGGCGGTTGCGCACTAGTTATCCTCTCCATGTCGCGAAAACTTGGAAAAAACACTTTCAGATAATCCAAATGTCCACCTGCTCCTGCACTTCAAACTCCCAAAAGCAAGAAAATGAACTTAAACGTCCTGTAATCCGCAGAGAGCTGGACGCGCTGTTGTCACACTGAGGTCCGAACAGTTCTGTCTGTCAGAGGAGTATCCACGCCCGATTCAATGTGAGAGCGCGCGGGGTGGGTTTTGACTACGTGTTAAATAAACCCTGTGACTGCAGGCACGTCCCTGGGCGAGAGACACGCTCTCCGTCACATGAGCCTCACGTGTTGGACGGCGCTTTCAACTGCTCCCCCTCCCTCCTCCTGGCGTCCACAGTCCAACCAGCTCACAAACACTCTCCCTCCTCCCGCGCGCTCACAGCACTGCTCACTGCTGTCGTAGATCTCCGCTAGGCCAGAGTCAGTCTCGTGTTGTACCATGCTTTGGAAGATCGAGGTGTTTACGCAGACAGAACATGTAACCCTCCTAGCGGCGAATATGCCGTTTGTATTATTGCTGGTAAACTATTAGCCATCACCATTAAGCACTGGTAGGTTTTAGGCGAATGAAAATAGCTTTCGACATAGTTCAAAACGTTACAAGCTACACATTTTTCACATCAGTCCAATGTATTAATCATCACCCGGAATGGGCAAATAGCTTCTTATGCACATGGTTCCTTACACGTCATTGATTGTCTTTAAAAAGTCCATACATAAAAAGTAACCACAAACAAACAAACAAACAAACAAAACAACTTCAGTCAGTCGCCCGAAATAGCGCATGTCACCAATGCTTTCTGGTTTAAATGTGTTGTGTGGCACGCGTCACGCGCGCTCATTTCATATTGTACCAGTTTACTCGTTGGCACGTGCACCTGGCTGCGGGGGGGATGCTCTGCTGTGCGTGCGTGTGTTTAGACTCCACTAGAAGCACTAAAGCCGTGTACCCAGCAGCCTGTCACGTTGATCTCCTCATGGCGGCGGCACAGCCAAGAGCGGACGTCACACGCACAGATGTCGAGTGATCCCGATCCATGTCCCGGGAAGCGTCGTCCGACTAAAGATAGTCAACATCCCCATCGTTACGCATCGGCTAAGCTTCCAGTAAACAACCACTGTGGTCCAAATTACTGTTACTGTGTACTTTTCTTTTTTGTGCTTTATTTTATTTTATGATTATTATTTTCACATAAAAAATAAATAAATAAAACAACAAACAAACAAACAAAAACTAGGAATAAAGAGTTGAAATGGGCAATAGTAACAGGAACCCTTCTTAAAAATGTACCCTACTAAAGAGATAAAATATCATACCATAATTTCATGATGTTGGGAACATTAGAGATGATTGGAGTACTTCATCGCGCATGGGCTAAGATACTGTTTATTAAGTTAGTAAGACCAGAAAGAAAGAGGCATTGGAAATGTGTTACAGACCAAATATTTTTGATAATGCTCTAGCCAAGGCAATAACTGACAGTAAAATTTAAAAAATTACATTTTAGTAATTCAGCTATATACAAATTAAGTATTTATAAAGTGATTTATAAAGTGTGTTAAATATTCAGTGCAATCACATCCAAGCAATAAAATCAAAACACAAAGGATAAATGCAACAGTTTAATAAATAGTTCTACTTCAATATACAAATTTCCTCATAGTGATTTCAAATTTATCCTAACATACATTTTGTGAAACAATTTCCATTTCTGCAGTCTATACAAAGCTATACACGCAAAGCAACACATTTCTCTAAAAAAAATAATTGGAATAGCAAAATAATAAAATTTTAACATTTACAAAAAAGAAATACAGACAAAAGAGGCACATATGAGAAGAGAAAAAATGTGCTTAACTTCATAAATTCACAGCTCCTGAGTCATAAAAGCATGGGTGACAAGGAAAGACAGAAAATTACAACACATTAAGCCATTTTACATAAAGCAGAATTTATAAAACAGGTTATCACAGAAATATGTCAATTATTATTTTTTGACATATAAAAATCTAAATATATTGCTTTTGCCCAATATACTAATCTCTATTATCGACAAAAGAAGAGTACACTTAAAAAGTCCAGCTTATTAAATACCTCTACATTTAACTAAGTACAACCAACATCCCCTTATAATATCCAGTTACAAAAACAAACATTTTGTGTCTATGTACGGCTGACCCACACGAGTTTGCATAAGTTTAGATATTACACAACAAACAAACAAAAAAAAAAGACTCAGTACTGAAAAAAATACCGCAAAGTAAAATTAGGAAAGGCCTTGATCGTACTACTTCATTTGGCACCAACTAAAACACAGAATGAAATGGACAGAGTTTGAGTGCTTGGGTAGAGCTACACATAGGCTAGGTTACCCTACCGTTACAATGTACATTATATGCAATGCCGCTCCTTTTTTCACTATCTTCTAAGCAGGCTGTTGTGGGTTGACGTTCATGTGTTGAGGGTGTCCGAGGAGACCAATCCGCTGCTTCTGTTTCCTCTGCTCTGTCATCTACAAACAAGGTAAAAAATATTTGATCAGAACTTGTGTCTTTTTTGAAAATCCTCACCGCTGTCTGGTCTATATTCTCCTGTTATTTATTGTATGGAGAAGAGCACAAAGAGAAGCTTGAGTCAATCATTTACCATCACCCCTCTCTTCTGACGAAAGCAGTGGTATATTCACACTAAGACTGAAACTTAATTTAAGAGATCAAGCAAAGCCAATGAGTCATTCCACATTAGTTTTTGTTTTAGGTTTAAAATTTAAGTTCGTTTATTTAGTATCAATTTGTGCCCCAACACTGAAACAATATGATTTAAACTGAAAAGAAAATTAGGTCCTGTAATGAGTATTTAAAGAGAAATATTTGGCAAAGAAATACAGGTCAAAGCAATGTCAATACAAAAGCAAGGCAGCACAGATATCACATCATATACATTTTTGTTTTATTAGAACTAAGGTAAAAGTTCACAATGGTTATTCAGATTAGAAAATACTACTTTGTTTATTGTTTTGGAGTTTAGCTCATGTGCAACTTTAAGCAACAATCTGTCTGGGTCAAAATGTCTTGGTGACATTCACTTCCTCACAGAGAGTTCTCATTTCAAGGGTAAAGACATTTACATAATGGTTTTACCAGGAACCTTGGAAAAAGAAGCGATTGTGTAAATTTGGTTTAAAATTAGGAAATTAGTTTGGCATCAGCGAATATAATTTAAATATAAAAAATGCTTCCAATTACAGACATTGGACTATTGTTCCAAAGGAATAATAGTTACATAAGTGTTGTTTGAAATAAATTCAGAATCAAAGATAGATGATCTTTTTTGCATGTATATGTTTCAGATTCAATTAAAATTTAAATCAATGTTTTCCAAACCCCCCAATATAAGTATTTATGCATAAAAGACTGGTTAAAGAATTGAAGACATAAAGGATGTGTTGTGTGATTTGACTCATTCCCTTTTAGCAAGCGCCTGTCTGGGCTCTGACCTGTTCTTTGAGCTCGGTCAGCTGACCCGACAGGTTGGACACCAGCTTCATGGTGGACTCAAGCTTCTCCTGCAGGTTTCGGATCTCATTCTGCTCTCCATCTGCATCACTGCTCACCAAAGACATGGCCCGCATGCGAGGAAACCAGTCCAGGTTATGATCCTGTCAATAACAAACAAGTGTAATGTAGCTAAAATAACAAACTATTTATTGTTCTTTTCATTATGTATACAAATATGTCCTGATTTGTAATTTGATAACTCTCACTATTAACTAAAATATACAATTTTGTGTGTAGCAATCTAATATTAATTCTATATGGGTTAATAAAATATGTACGATCATCAGGGGCTTTCCATACAGTAATCACATGGGTATGTGAGCATGTTTAGAAACAGCCTCAGCACACACCAACACCAACTATTTGACGACAATCGTATGAGCATTCACTATACAACTACACCATAGAATGTGGGTTAATCGGTTGTTCATTTCCTTATTTAATTTACACACAAGCAACTGAGGTATGAACTATATGAAGTAAAACCAGATTGTCAAAGTACAAACAAGATATTTTCAACTGACAGTCAACTGCATTTTAAATTAGTGATTTTTTTTTATAGGGCAATGCTTAAAAATGCATTTAGTTTTTTCATTGTTACCACATATTTTTTCTCAATAAGCACTAGCACAATGCATTTCCACTCTAATCTGATGCCTACATAGTGCAATCAATTTCTTTCTACAAAGCAGAAGTCATGGTTAATTTGATTCAAATAATTGTGATTATATCAGTCTGATGTTTTTTATTGTGCAAAATATCTTCTGCTGGTTGGAAACATTTAAATTAACAAAGGCATTACAACATTGTGTACTTCATCAAGTTTGTGTTGGATTTATATTGTGAAAAGTGAAACTGGACACTAGGGTGACATTCCTCCACACTGCTATCTTATCTGACCACTACATGTCATTGTTATTGTGCAGTTTGAAGTCATGGGACACCACTCCCTTGATACTGATATATCGTATATCGATCTTGATATATCGTGATACTAAATTTGATGATACAGCAGCCCACGATAACAATACTGTATTGAATATCAAGTATTGGTATCTATTAGCATTTTTTGTGTGACCACATTTCAGTTTTGTTGCTTGTTCGGAGGAAGGAAACTTCTTTATACAATATACTTGACATATTCACAGTTTTGATGATTAAAATATATATATTTCATATTAACTTTGCACAAGTAGTGGTTAACAAAGTAATATTGTTGCTAAAATGTATTTGGTTCTTAAAAAACAGAAATATATCTCAGAGAATCTTGTAAAATATATTATATATCGCCGTATTGTTCACCATGTATTGTGTATCGTATTGAATTGTGAAGAATTCCCAGCTCTGATTTATACTACACAGCACACAGAGATATTACACACAAGTACCATGGCTGTTAGATTGCAGAAGTACAAATGCTATAGTAGCGTGAATGAAAGAGAAGTTGAAGTGTACGCACTAAGGTTGTCAGATACTAACAAACTGTAGAAAAAGTCCCCCCGCTTTCAGCGGTTGCTTTGGAGATGGTTAAGGTGGTGTCCGCACCACAAAACCCGACCTGGGTCAGACAGAAGGCCCAGGGGAATCACACAACACTAAAATGATGCACACAGAGGAGTCATTCTGAGAGGACCAAAAGATGCTGTGAACATGTTCCACTTCCTGAATGCTGTGTGTTTACCTTCTTCCATAAATATGCAAAATTGAGCAGAAAAACAGGAAGGTAACTTTAAATGATTTAATCATAATTCTGAAACCCCAGCTCTTGCGCTAATCTTGGCATGCATGTCCAATAAGCTTAACCTCCTTCTGGGTTCTCCTTACTACACACGCAGATAATTATTTCATTATTATTTAAAAATGATCTGGATGAGGACCATGGACCTCCCTGTTAAGTCTATATGATGTTGCTTTTAACTAGTATATGCAGAATTCACTAGGACAAAAATCGGATCACCAGCATGCACACTTGCCTACCCTTTGCTTTCGAGATTAGAAGTGGTGGTGTAATATCCATAATTGTCATTGCTAGCTTTGCAATCAAACAGAATATGTTAAATTTAATATGAGCCATTTATTTCAGATCATCAAAGTTTTAATGAAAATTCTGTGTCACTGAGTAGATCCATAAATGGTCTAGTGCTAGTGGTCATTTGAAACTGAATCGTCCCTGGTGTCAAAAAGCCCACTTATGTTTGTTTTACCACGCGCTCACTTAGACCCTCTTTCCATCTCCAATGTTGACAAACGCGAGTGTTTCCAGTAAACAGAGAAATGCTGCCAGGACTTTAAAACGGCACATCGCAGCGTTCTATGGAAATGACGGAAGTTCAGTTTTCATTATTATAACCGCACGGGCCATGACAGAGAAACAGGATGCTCTGTGGTTAAAACAGCAACAAAAAACGTCACAGTCATGCCACAAACCACCTGACAGCCCACTCACTGCCGATATGCTAAATAATGACCAAAATATTCACACATTTCGACATAGTGGTGCTGATTGTCATGGTAGCTTTAATGGAGAAAGGTAATGATTATATGGTTTGTGTTGCTTCTGCTTGGGATTTTTTGCAGAATGAAAAAAAAAAAAAAAAAAGAGTAAATACGTTGTTATCTTTTGGCACCTTTGAAGTGACATTTCACCTAGAGTCAGCTTGACGTCAGTCCCAGTCATTGTCAGAGTATGACTCCATCTACTCCTTTTATTTCGGTCTCCCTCCTCATTATTGCAGCATCAGATAAACATCATGGCAGAAGAGGGACTTTACACACTACAGAAGCAAGACTGTTAGCTCTGATCATCCTTAAGTAAAGTATAGGATTTTGTTTTTACATTGAGCGATGCACAGAGACAAATACGTTGTTGTTTTCAGTAAATAATAATTAATGTTGGATTGTGTAATGATGAATACGTTTATACTACTGTCATCCTTACCCTACTTCTTGAACAACTGATAACTGAAATGAATTGCTGATTTTTGAAAATTGATGTAGCCTACATAAAAGTGCAAATAAACATAAATGCAGCCACAGAGAGACAGAGGCCTTTGTAGACAGCACATAGAGTGCATTGAGGCCAGTGTCAGGCTGCTGTGAAGGGCTGGGCTAATGCTGGGGGTGACTAGGTCAGCTGACGGGTCACTGAGGTCTTTAGCACCTTGTGTGCCTCCTGCTCAGAACATAGCACTGAACTCACTTTCAGTAAAGGGGAAAAGAATGGGCTTTGATCCCAAATCAGGTGATTCGTCACAAGACCCAGATTAAGAACAGCAATAAAAGTCTCATGTGGTAGTAAATGAGAAAGTGACCAAATGACAACATACATGTATATATTATGCATAGCCTCAAGTCATTTGTATGCAAAAACAGCCTCTTTATCCCATATCCAGTTGGTTTAAAAATAATGAGGATTTATACATCCATAATATGCATGTAATATCACAATTTCAGAATGTGTAACCATTTTAATTAAGGCATCTTTTGCAATAAATGCCTTATATACTTTGACATTATGGGCATTTCTATTTATTTATTTTTATTCAATTTAGGTTGTACAGTTCACTACTGCCCCCAGCCTCATTGAAGTCAATGAGTCACAAATGAGGCAGGTTAAGAGCTGTGTGTAACGATGTGTAACGATTAAAAGGTGACTGCTTTGAGGATTAACATATTTTAATCAGTGGCTCTGTCTCAGTTTTAATTCTCCAATCACAAAGCTGACTTATGTGGTAATACTATGGTCAGGGTGGAATTATATAATAAAGTCTTGGGCCAGATTAGGTCACATTTACCTTTGTTTTGAGCCATACACTGAGTTGACTGAAGATGCAATGTATAGTCCTTACCCTTATCATTTCTGCCACATAGCTCTCAGGTCCAGTGTATTCAGTGGAGTCCTTCACTTTCACCAGCACAATGAAAAACAGGTAGTGCCACATGTTGTGCTCAACTTTTATGTGCTCCTCAAAAGTCACAGTCTTATTGTCAAACTTATCCCTTTCCAAACCTAAGGAAAGAAACATAATTAATCCATGCAAACATTACTAAACCGCAATTTCAAAATAATTTTATTATTAATATAATGAATATACAGTTTGTGGATTATTTCTTTTGTACTTTTTGACAATTCACATTAGATTACTACCTTGTATTTTAAGTAGGGAGGTCCCAGTTACAGCCAACCCATTATAAATAACCATGAATCTAATGAAAAATATGTAAGCAGTTATGATTTTAACACTTAAAATGCTACAGACAGGGAGAAGACTAGCCTCACTGAGTGTACTGTCTAGCATGGTCAAAACCCATATGGTGACAGGAAGGAACAGAGCTCCTCCAAAGCAGCACCTGTCATGACTAATAAGCCCTTCTGGGAAGAGGAGGCGTTTTGGTGAATGCTACTATGAAAAACATCTCCATATGTAACAAGATCTTATGTGAAATCAAAGGTCTGCAGATTTGTCCACAACATACTTGATTTAACACAACGTATGCACCCATTGAAATTCACACCTGCTGCTCACAGGCGCAACTCAGATTTATGGTGAGGTATTGATTTTACAATACTGACACACAAGTCTGGTTAAAATGCACCACTGATAGGAAACTTCTCTGAATCTTTCAAAGCAGTGTGAATAGACTATGAGTAGATTATGCACCCACCACAAATAAAACAGGTGGTCTTCAGAATTTCCTCCTTTTTCTGCTTCTCACTTCTTAAGTCAGCAAATGTATCAATGATGACACCAAAAATGAGATTGAGGACAATGATGATGACCATAAAGAAGAAGAGCAGGTCGTAGATGACTCTGGCTGCAAACAGGGGCTCCTTTTGAGGCAAAAACATGAGGAACATACAGTAAAATAGAAATCATTTACAGTTGAGGGACTCAAATCATTGCTAAAAATACTTGTACTAGTTGCACAACAGTTGAAAAGCCACAAACAATAATATGACCCTACTTCCACGTGGTTACATTGCATCTCATTTAATTCTCCAACAGTTAGCATGGGCGACTTTAGTTGTATCGAAGGTTCTCTAACTTCTGTTCATGTGTGAATCAAGGTTGTCAAATTGGCCCAAGCTTAATCAGATAGAGCAAATGGTTAAATTAAAACTAACATTTAAACCCTAAGTAGGCAGTAGGTAATGGTAAGCTGACAGATTCTTATATAAGTGAGCATGAGTCATGTCCTCATGGTATGGATCAATGTATACTATGTACACATCTACTATGCAATGCAGTTGTAATCTTGTCTTCATGCTGGATGAGTACTATTTTTACTTTTTTTTTTAAATCATGCTTGTTGATGCATACATTTTGTGATATGCAGTGTTTAAGACTAACACTCCACAAATCCTCTGATGACTGCATAATTAAAGAACCTTGTATCCCATACAAGGAAAAAACAACATCCACCATTTTGGATGTTGAAAGATATTTTTACCTCTTTGGAGGGCTTGCGCAGCACATCTCCCACTCCTCCTCCACTCCTCAGGCCGTGACTCAGGACCGTTACAATGCACATGAGAAGAGAGTCACAAGTTCTTTCCTTGTCTTCTATGACCACAGCTGACGGCTGGACGGCAACAACAGCTATAAATGACACATCAACAGAATTAACTGTTACTTCCTGCATGGGGCTGAATACACAGCTTTGTTTCCATGGGCATGACCCTCATTATCTTTGATAACAGCAACCATGAAAATACACTTAACAGAAAGACTTAAAATAGAACAAAAATCAATTAAATACACTCAATATAATAAATAAGATCAAATTTGCTACATATTAATTGTCATAGAAATAAGTTTGTAGACAAGTCAGCAGACGGCCCCAATTAGCCAGCAGAATGCTTTAGGAGCCACACTAGTGACCTGTGGAGGATTTGAAACGGTTGACTTAGTGGACTTGGTTAGGGTCAGTAAGTTTTCTGAAGTCACAGTTAGCAGCCAAAATGCGGAATCACAGAGCAGACCCCTTGAGCTTCTTACAGACCTGATGCTAAAGTAATCGCTGACCTGTTCACCCTACAAGCCTTCACATTCGGTTTTAGATTGAGTTTCATTGAAGAAAAAAACAAAACAGCCAAATCTTACCTAATCCAATGACCACCAGACTGCTACATTTAAAGCTCTGGTAGATGAAATAAGTCACACATATGCAGACGGTCACGCAAAAACACTTAAGAACCCCCCGTAGATGCACAAACTTAGTATGAACTCTTTGACCCTCTTTCTACACAATTTTATTTCATGATAAAATATTTAAAAATATTTTGCATTTTTTCAGGTACTGTAACAGTTACAGTTAACAACGTTCTACAATTACATAAGAAGATAAAGTAATGGTTCTTACTGCATATAGCTTGAATGTACTTTGGGTCACTAGAGCTCAGGGTCACACATCAAAAACTTTCATCTCATAAAGATGCATTAGCAAAAACTCTATAAAAATATCCAAAAGAAACATGAACCAACTTGAACTGTCTAAATCTAAGTCAATATAATCTGTATCACATTTATTGTACGATGGTGTAAACTTTTTAAAGTCAGGTAATTTTAGTGTCTTAAAATCTTTGTTGGTTTAGCAAAATTCTTTCAGTTGTGACATAATCCTGAACTCCATAGTGAACCAAACCACTTAACTGGGATGGCTCATTTTCTTTGGCATGCTGAAAGCCATACTATTGGATGTCTTTTCTGTATATGACCTACCATCTGTTGTAGTCTGAGATGAGCAGTTTTCACCATTTTCTTTTCGACACACACCTCCTGAGAAGAACTCTCCAACCATGCTCGCTCCATGCTCTGTTTATAGAAATCAATGAAAATCAATTGGGGCTTTTGAAGGTTACATTTTAGTAATTTTTACATATGGTTTCTTGGGCTGATGGCATGCAAAATATGTATTCAAGCAAGCTTATGGTCTGTACCTAGTGTTTTATTGGGTATCCTGTCCACTGCCAGAATAAAGTCATCTTTAAAGAAAATGTATCCCACAATGGAGAAGAGGTACACGAGGATGAGGGCCAGCACTGCAGTCAGGACAATGGAGCGGCCATTGCGGGTGACACTTTTTATCACATTCAGCAAGGTCTCTTCTCGATAAATCAAATCAAAGAGCTGTGCAAGAGAAGAAAATATGTTAGAGACAGTAAAAACATCAATATAGACAAAAATTAGGCCTATCACAATAACAAATTTTGAAGTGCGATATATTGCTAAAGTAAATATAGACGTTAAACAATAATGTTGAAACCAAACCAAATTTTAAAAAAGAGGTGCAATAAGTAAATAACAATGCAACACTGAAATATCATCATAGTACATAAAAATAACCAATATTTTCCCTCCAGTACAAAGATACCATGATATATATGAAACTCCTCCCCCAAAATTATTGTTCCATCTAACATATATTGAACGATATGTCAATGTAGTTAATATGATTAACTGAGATTCAGGAGCAGGACCAGGCCTCAGCCGCCCTCTCCTCTCACCAGCGAACCACAACTCACCTCGACCACGCCTCGAATTTCCCAGAAGCCTATATGTAGCAGCCTTCCCCATCATCCCTGTTTGTCTCGGCTAACTGGACCCCACCCTCCCATCCCCTATTTTGTCTTTCAGTCATAAGACCCCTACAAGGGGGGGTCCCGTTCCGGCTGGGTCAATTGAAGACTGAGACGGAGCTGCCACCCATAGTCTCAGCCCAGCCATCTCTGCCTCGCTTCGTACATTATCAATAAACTTCTTCACACTATGTCGTTGTTGGTGAGGTCCTAGCTAGTGAAAGTAATTATCACGACAGGCCTAATGATAATTGGGTAGTATTATTCAAATAAAGGGTCGCTTATGAGCGGTCTACATGCGTACCAGCAGGCTGTAGAAGAAGACGTGCACAAAAACCCCTAAAGTGCAGATGATCAGGTAGAGAAGGTGGTAGAGAAATTCCACATCCAGGATCATGGCTTTGTATCCCCTTGTGAACGTTCCACGATTTCCCACGAAACTCATTAGGAAAATCACTTTATTACATAACTGAAACAAAACAAAACAAAAAATAAATATAGTGCACCAACATTTAAAAGTGCATTGTGTAACTTTTCTGGTGGAGGGTGTGTCAATTGCTTGTCTGTCTCCATGGAGATGTTACTGCATTGTCTGGAATGTTTCACAGTATGCCATTAAACCTTTCTATCTTCATGGAGACCAAACCAGACCGAGTTACAGGTCAGATCTGTGGAGAGGCGACCCTGCTCACAGATATTTTTTAACTATAAAAGCAACTGTAATTGAATAAATATAAAGGTAGAGCTGTTTAATGTTATAGTGGAACATTCCAGGGAGAGCAATGACATATCCAAAGAGACAAGCAGTGTACCTTTAAATTTCACTTTAACAGTAGGGCTGAACGATTTGAAAAAAATAAATAAAAAATCTGACAAGCACTGCAATTGTGATTATATTTGCAATGGATGTTGTAATAATAGGATGATAGGATTCTGTTCAAAGTTCACATATTAAACATGAATTAACAAAAAGACTAAAATATTAACTGATAAAACTCTTTGCAGAACATGTTATTACAAATCTAAATTACAGAGTTAACAGTTTGTTGAATAAGACAGGATGTTTTGAGGAGGATTTTACGGTATCTCAAAAATTGCAGCCTTTGCAGTTTGCTAATTAACAGACCATTACCTATGGACCTATTGGCTTTTCAGTCTGTTGAATACAGTCGTGAATACTTACCAGCTTCTACAGTCAGACCAGTTTCTTGTGCAAACTTTAATAATACTGTTTAGAAACTAGGTGGATTAGACGAGTCACACAAGACAATAAAGACTTCATTTTATTTACATAACATGGCTAATGACGAAGCACTTGTCTAAACATGAAGTTTACTTACATTAAAACACCCAAGCAGCAGCAGCGTTGGCTCCAAACCCACAGAGAATATAAGGCGAAGGATGGTAGATGCTATAAGCGCCCGGATACCATGAGGCTGAGGCAAGACAATAACAATCCCCAAGGACACGAACATGGCCACCCACAACAAAGCAGATAGATGGGGTTCCAAGGTGCCTATTAAACAAGAAATACATAAACTACTGTACTGTACTTGCAAAAGCTCAGGTCCACCAAACTAGTCAAAAATGTATACTAATTCTATTTCTATTACTGTGCATCAGGAACCAGAAGCAATGCTTTTAAGTCGGTCAGTATTTTGACTTGATCGTGTATTATCGAAGTAGTAAAGGTAAACGATAATCTGACTTTAGACATCATGTTTCTTCTTAATCGGTTCATATGTCACGATAATTACAATATCGACTTATCGTTCGGTATATGAAAGCTGAAACAATATACTCTGGGGCACAATATTCACTGTGGGTAATTTTTCTTTGCAATAGTAAAGAGAGTTATGCTATATTATGCAATAACGTAAGATTTGTGCTGTAGAGAGCAGAATACATAACTGCTATGGATAATTACTGGTTTAGTTTGCAATTGATTTAATGGAACATAGCACCTTTTGATGAGACTGTCTGTTTAAAAATGTGTTTACTGTGATGATCTTGTTTTGGGTCAGAGAAATAAAGTAGTTTCCATATTATTGTTTATCACAATATTTATCTGTAGCATATGTATATTGTGATTTTAAATTTGTTATCGTGACCAGCCCTCCCTTCCCTCTCCCTTTGAGGTATTTGTAGTGTAAACATCACATGACAGTTAGAAGTTACATAAGTCTGGTCATCTACTCATCTAAAAATACTTCAGCTCAATTCATTATCCGCAGACTGCAGTGCTATATTGTTAATGACCAACCCTGCGTGCTCAAGTTTGGCAAATGGTCCAGACACACAGCAGACTCTCATGCCGCCACACCTAAGCCCATTCATCTCTTACCTCGCTTACGTCGCAGCTCTAATCAGATGATTCAGTTCCTCACTGTAAACCACTTAACACTAAACCAGAACGCTTTCAGCGTACACTAAGTCAATGAATATATTTGAATGAAAGCACACAGCTAAATTACAAAATCTTGTCTTTTTGCTTAAAGGTGCATTGTGTAACTTTTCTGGTGGAGAGTCCGTCAAAGGCTTTTCTCTGTGGAGATATTATTGCTTTGTGTGGAATGTTCCACAGTATGGCATTAAATCTTTCTATCCTCGTGGAGACCAATCCAGACCAAGTTACAGGTCAGATCTGTGGAGAAATAACCCAGCTCACAGTCAAAATGTCAGTTTTTCTAGGCATTTTTGAGCAGCCAAAGCTCAAAATCCTCTGTTCCACCTTGTGATGTCACAAAGCAGTATTCTGGTTAATGTATACCTTTTACGTTTATTTCAATAGAGATTGGAAATTTTAGGGCTTATCTAAATGATTATAGTGATAGTGTATGAAGTTTAAAACCACAGTGGAGAACTTCCTGTTTTACCACTTGACCAAGGTGGGACAGAGTTTTCTGTTTGAGAGAATAATTAAATATGCAAGGTTTGTGTGATAAACATGTGTGAATGAATAAAAAACAACTCCAGGTACGTTTGTGATGAGGAAGGATTATAACATAGATCAGAAAATAGTGTAATATGGGCCCTTTAATCAAAGTTAGAACACGAAATAGAATTTAATATTTTACACCACAAGGACTTCTTCAGACACAAAATGCCATGGGATCAAGCACAAGCACATAGGTCTTAGAAGTTTTTGGATGTGCGTGCCTTTTTCAACATTTCATCTTAATCTGCAAATTCTAAAAGGTCAGTAGCAGTTCATTAATGGTTTAGGCTTAAGCTTGCATAATACAGCAAACATTTAAGCACATTTTAATCCGGAGCATGGCAAGAGGGGTTTTGTTCACTGATGAGGATGTGTAAATAAAGACAAATCGAAACAAAGATCATGTTAAAGGGTCCTAAATTACACAAAACCGACTCTTGTGATCTTTTAGCCATGTAAGAATGTCGTTACCTCATCAAAACATACCTGGAGTTGTGCTTTGTTTCACTGACACATGTCTGAGTAATCCTTTATTATTAGTCTGTCTACATACCCAAAGTTCAAAATGCTCTGTTCCACCTTGTGATGTCATGAAGCGGTAATTTTCAAGTAATCCTTTACTTTTTCTTCAATGGAGATGGGCAATTCTGGGCCTGAAATTATCCAAAAGATTCTAGTGAAGATGTAAGGAGTTTAAAAACACAGTGGAGCTGTACAACTCATGACACCACAAAGTGGAACAGAATGTTTTCTGTTTAAGAGAAGAGCATGGCAAGAAGAAGGTCAACCATGTAAATGCCAAAAAAAAGCATTTGACAGACCCTCCACCAGACCTGCAGCACCTTTAAGGATTATGTTGAATATATATATATATTTTTTTACAATGCAGTAAAAAAATCAAATAAAAAATTGTTAACACAAGTATGTTCTTTTTTTTTTAAGAAAAAAAAAAAGATCATGTGGATAGAATGTGAATTTTTGCAAACCTCACTTATCTTGAGTAGTGATTACGAGAAGGGGCACTATTCAGTTTCATGGTCAGTCAGAACCACACAATTTGACAAAACTTTACAACAAGGAGTGGATCTGGAGCTGTGTACTGTCTCCCTGATTTCAGAGGGTGTGATTGATAGGAGGATTGACCAATCAGAGAGACGCATGCTCCACTGGCGTCAAAAACAAACATGGCTGTTTAAAAGTAAAAAAGATGAAAAACCAACATAATGGACTGAGAAACAGCATGGATTTTTTTCATAATCAACAATCAAAGTATCAAACTATTATTTATCTCTGGTAAAAGAAGTTATATATTTTGTTTTGAATGATATGAGAATTTTCAAGAGGAGATGTCTTCCGTATTTGAGAGACACGTGCTACAAATGAGCAGCTGTGGCTGGATTGTCTCAAGTTTGAATGGAGATTTTACATTCTCTATGGTCCGATTCCAGTCTCCTCTGGATTCTAATAAAATGGAGAAGGAACAAGCTGGTCAGGCAAGTAATGTTTGTATGTATATTGCAAGTAATGTAATGTATCTCTGTTAGTTAACTCTACAGTATGTCATCCTGTTTCTTAATTAGCTTAAGTGATACAAAAAATAACATTGAGAAAGAGGTTATAGTTTCAAATCGACAGAGTACAGTATCAGTAAACAGGGTAAAACTGGAATATAAATAGAGTGGTCCTTTGTCAGAGCACTGTAGTGTGAGATCGAAATCTACATCTTGTATTACAGCCTCTTCACACCTCCACTTGTGATACAGGCGCTGTCAGGCTACACCCAAACCACAGCACGCAGTGAACTCAAGTGGCCCAAGTTCAACTATAGAGGCAATGTTTAATGAAGAGGCTATTATGTTCACAATGGCTTATAGAGATGGATACAGTACGATCAGATTACTTCAGCTATGTTGTGTAACTTAATTTTCTTTGAGGAATGCAATTCAAATAAAAACATCAATGATAAATCACTGATATTCATTTTTCTAGATAATACAGTGGGCCAATCTAGGTGGTTATAACAACCCTCAGCATCAACATTATGACTAATACCATCTGCCAAATTGTCTGTCTGATTTCTATTTCATTCAGAAGATGAGAAAATATACACAGAGAATATATTTAGCAAAGCTACCAACTAAATTAAAACCATGCACCTGCATGACTAAATTTGATAAGGACGCCATATTAGCAGTGGAGACCAAGTTATTGATTTATCTTAAAATGAATCAGTTTAACCATTAGTGACCCTTACCTAGCACAAATGTGATTTTAAAGACTATAGATTTTGCCTTAATTCAGCAATATCTGGACATCTGGTTTACTTTTCACTTTCTTATATCATCAAAAAAGGTCCCTGGAAATGTTTGTGAAAACAGACTTTAATACAAAGCCCTGTATTTATAGCATTTACCAATATTGACACATTTAGCAAGTTAAAGTGTGCTAAAAACATTTGGGACTGTTTCTCTTCAAACTACTTTCTTCCTAATCAACACAGTATAATGCTAATCGACAGGAAGTTTTGGAAATGTTATTAGACAATGGTTGAATCATTCAAATAAATCATTCATAGTTTAATTAATGTATTGCTTGATTAGCTGCTAGCCCGTTTAGCAGCAGAAATCCACTTCTACCATCAACCTGGAGTTTTGTAAATCCCTTAAAAGGGTCAAGCTGTCTTGTACACTTGATAATGTGTAGATCTTGGTGTGCAACAATAATCCGCAATCTCTAAAACACTGATAAAGTTTGTTAATTGCGGCCAATGAGGTTAGTTTCTGTGGAAATTCTCCCCCAATCCACCGCCAGTATGGAGCTTGGGGGTGCATGCGGTAGCTCTATATATTGCTTATGACACCACTGCTTACATAATTTATCGTGTGTGCAGTGTGTGTTGGAAATTGACTAACCTCCACGGAAACCTTCCAATGGATAGAAGAATGCCACCAACAGGTTCATGAGGACAGCCAGGTTGAAAGAGATGCTGCTCCAAAAGGACATGTTCCTGGAGCACCAGTACAAGATGGGCTGAGCTGGACACAGAAGCAAAATTTCATTTAACTCAAAGTTAATGATAATGTGCTGTGACATTTCTAGTGAATAATAGGAGTTTAGTAATAAAAAAAAAAAAAAAACAGAACAGAACTGAATCTGCAATGTACTTTCTTTTAATGATTATGAAAATGTCATGGTATTTTTTGATTATTATGTTGTTAATTTGGATAACTGTAGGCACAGCGCAAACTGACAGTTCGAGAGCTATGGAGCTTAACATAACCTGAGATGTTTGTTCAAGAATGTTAAACAGACATTAAATTATTTGCTCCTTTGGAGAGAAACTCTGAAATAATAATAAGCATACATATTGTATTAGAAAACCGATTAGGCATGGTGGGTCTCTACCTAAAATGGGTATTTATTGGGTCACAGGTTGCACCAGTTAGGGTGACAAAATGTCAAAGGGAATCTGATCAGGTTCAAGACACTGCAGGTTATGTGGGGCAAATCCCTTATTTTGGCACACAAAACCAACAGCCGTGCATTTTTCACAGGAACATTAAAAGCTCCACCTGTATATACACCACAACCCGTGTCCTTGTTTTGACCCCATACGTTGGCATAGAAATTGTGGTTTCAAAAATGTAAAACTGTATACAAGTTCAACTATATATTGGGACCATGAAAAAAAACAAAAAAAACAAATAACAATAACAAAATAAAAAGAATAATAACTATAACTTTACATAAAGTACTATGTGACTATTTAAGTGTAAGTATAAGGCTATATAAGTGAGTATATACAGTGTATTTACAACAAAAAATACCAGGTAAAGTGTCCACAGTGTGCACAGATAAGGATTTGATTTGAATTATGTATCACACTTGGGACCATGTAAAAGCTATACTTAAAATCTGCCATTGATGCCTCAGAGCAAAATTTACATCTATTACTTTTTGCTTAGTCTTTGTTGGGACTCTAGAAGAAGGCACCTTCTTGGGGCCTGATCACAGCACAGACAACAACAAAGAAAACACAACAGCATAACTTCACAGGTAAATATAAACAACTAAAACATAATTTTGACTCCATTACTGTCTCTGCTTGTTAGTACTTCTATATATGACAATATAAACATGTGTAAACTGCATTATCTCCCATTGATATGCTTTTTTCTCCATCCCTCTAGGTCCTCACATTTTCTATTTCACCTGTTTTTTATCTACTTATCATGCATTAATAGGAAGTAACTAAAACTGATATAGTTATATAGGTCTTCATACTGAAATAACAACTTTGGAGGTATTTTCAAGGTGTCTAAAGCTAACTAAGTGCAATGGGGTCTCAGAAATGGCATGGGATTCAGAGGGATGCAAGAAAAAGGCAGATAAATAGAAGGTAAAAGTAGGGAGGAGAAAGACGCACAGGGAACGTTGTTTGTGCTACCAGTGGCCTCTTGAGTACCTCGCAGCTTCTTCTGCCAGATCATTTCATTGAAGAGGTCCTCAGAACGGAGGAAGAAATCATTGATCTTACTGCCTTGCTCGTCGCGCTCTGTGCTATAGTAGACACGCAGCTTGGACTCTTGTGTGAGGAACTCACAGATATTGGGCACGGGAAAGACAATCTGCTCCATGGTGCGGTCAAGACGCACAATCTGAAAGCCAAAAGCAAATAATTCGCAAAAAGTGGTTTTAAAAAGAACCTGCAACTATCACCATGTTTAAAAAGACTGTCATAGCAAAGGAGAAATTCCTTTCTTTTTGAGTGTAAAGGTTTCACATTGTTGGTGGACATTGCCTTACATCTGCCTGAAGGGAGGAGCTAACTACATTGAACCTACTCTGAAACTAACACACCAACTTGTTTACAGTTTCTCTTTGTTAGCTAGACCTATTGCACTAAGTGGGGACTGTACCTGAGTCATATTAGCATAATCATTGCCATGACATTCAACAGACCTAGCTAACAAATAGAAACTATAAACAAGTAGGTGTGTTATTTTCAGAGTAGTTTCAATGTTGTTAATTCCTCTCTTCAGGCAGATATAAGGCCGTGTCCACCAGCAATCTGACCAGAACTGAAGAAGCAGTCAAACATTTTTGATCAAAAAAACCTTTGGTCAACTGACAGAACTGAATTTCTCCTCTGCTATGGATCCTATTTCGAAGACTGAGGGATTTCATAAACAAATGTCAAAGGGACAAACTAGTTGCATAATCTCCCTAACATCAGGAGAATCTTGTTTTTGTATTAATACTTTGCAACTGATGATTAACATTTCCTGTTGGTCTGAAGCTAACTGCAGACACTGCACTGCCTGAAGATCTGTTACACCATAATCTGATCTTTGTTTTAACACAATTTTACTATAAAGAAGTGATTTAGCTAAAACTACAAAGATTAGATTATTTGCACTGTTAAACAAGTCTCTCACACATAAAATTACAGTCAGTCAGTCACTTTCACCTTTTTTCTTGAAAATCAAACACCTAAACAAGACCATGGACTCTCATATAGTCACTGACTCCTTAAAATTGTTTTTGTTAAAATCCATTTAGTATTTTTTCTTGACCTTTCAGAGCATCTTAAAACTTTTTGACACTGTTTGCTAATGAGTGCATTGTGTCACCATGGTAAAGACAAAGGATCAATAATTAGATCAATAATTATTGTAATGTTTATGCAAATGTCTTCTGTATTAACGGCCTGGAAACGACATACAGGAATGAGCATTTTCATAATAATCTGTCATATTCACAATGCCAGATTACAGACGTCCATTAGTGTGCACTATATGTCCCTATCAAATAAACACGTGTAACAGCATGTAACTATATTGTGATGAGGGTGAATTAGTGTGATCTCCATTTTCGTTGTCCTCACTTGTTTTATTATAGTAAGGAAGAACATCACTCCAGGCCAGAGGCAAGTCATGAGACATTCTAGTATAACTCTTACATTCATGAACAGCGTTAGTCATATGGATGCAAATATGAAGATGTGCAAGAGCTTGAACCAAACTACAGACCTCAATTTGAGCAGTGTGTTTGGCGTAGAACTCCAGAGCCTCGTCTCCTTCTCCATAGGTGCCTCCTGGCTTCAACATGGCCTGTAGCTCTTTGTTGTGACGGGCCAACTGCAATGACGTCACCATAAAACAGTTTGACAATGACACACAGCTCAGTCATTGTCTGCAGTCTGTTAGCAGTATTATACAAGCAATCATAGTCACAAATGAGCACTGTTATTAAGCTCTATTACACCAGGTGTTCTTTAGGGTGTGTACTGTGTATATGCCAGAATGGTATGTCTATAGAGTATCTCATACTCACTTGATGTGCCAATATATATATGTTATGGCCAACATTGCGTGGAGATGCAGAGTGCTCCTCTTCAGCGTCCTCACCTTCAGAAGGTTCCTCCACCTCTATTTCACCCTGCATGTAGGCCTTTTTGATCACCTCCACCTGAAAATTACAACCATGAAAATGTGTGTGTCATTTTCATTGTAAACCATATCATTAACTAAAATCAGTGAATCAATAAATACCTCCAAGAAATGGCTTAATGTAGTGATTTTTTCTGATAATTATATTTTTCAACAAACTTTTTTTCCCCAAATAATAAGCCCTGACTTGTTTAATACACACCAGCTCTTTGGGCCTCATGTTGTAAAGTATTCTTTCAGCATTCTCGCTATCATGTCGACTTTCCATTATAGCAAGAAGAAGCTTGGAGGCATTGTTCTACAAAACAGAAGCAGAGTTAGAGATGGCATAGACATTATTCTCTATATATCCATGCCTTCTTGTGCAGCTATCAAAAATTCAATAAACATTTTCAAATGAAGTAAAAAATGTATGAAACACACAACCAATTTCCATAAAACATTATTATTATTATTATTATTTTTTAAACTCACTTTAAGTTCAAGCACCAGGTCCATTCTCTTCTTGCCAAGAGGATTAATATCATTGAGAATGAGTGCGATGATGATGTCAATGCCATTGCACTCATGAGTAGCAATGCAGTTCTGGAAAAGGATAACCATTATGCCATATTACTTTTCTGGACAGCACATAAGGAGCACTTTATAAAATCACGCACACACATCAGCTCATTGGCCAAGCAGGAAGTAGTATTTAAACAATTAACAAACAAATTCCACAGTAAAATCTGTCATGAGGCAAAGGGAAAAGCAAAAGCTCAAAAATAACTATTGTGTTGAAATAAAGAGCACTTGTATTCTGCAGCCTCCAGGTAATTTAAATTATGGGGAATTGAAATAAGCAAAATGGGTCCTGTGTTTTACCAGTTTCTAGTTTAGTCATGCCAGTTTCACAGTCACCAGTAAACGACCGCACATGAGCAGCCGGAAAGCAGTCATGTGTGTAGAGATAATGTTATGCCAAAGCACAAACACAGGCACACTGCCCAAAGAAGGTGAAAGGGGTTAAGCAACAAGTGACAATCAACAAGTCGCAGATATGGAAGCCACCCAAGCAGGACAAAGTGAACACCAAATAACTACGACTGAAAACATGGCACTGTTAAAAGATGAGGTAATCGTTCACTGATGACTGTTTTCTTGTTTATGTTTAATAGAATTACCTAGTTAGTATATCACAATTATCGAAAGACCTTGTTGGTAGTCTGTAAGGGCAGATTTGCCATCAGGTCAAGATTTTTTTTAAATAATTAACTTCAACTATATTAAGTACAAACTCATTAGTAAGTAATATTATTAAAGCACATCCCACACTTCAAAGTGAAAGAAAGCTGTGTTGTAGTACCTGGTTTTCATGGCATGGGCCCTGGCAGTATTCAGTCAGGCTCTCAACAGTCTGGTTAATTAATCCTACATTCTTCTCATTGATGTAGAGTCCCAAAAGACCCAAGCCTCCTGTAGTGCTCCCACAAATGCAGTCCAGGAACTGAAGAGTCTCACACACCAAGTTGTAGTTGTTTTTGTTATTTTGGTTGCGCAAGAAATTCTGTAAGATAATATAAACAAGAATCAGGAACAAAAATGGGCAAGTGACTGTACTAAAGCACTACAGTTAAAAAATAAATAAAAGATTAATTGTTAAAAAAATATTATATTTACAACAACTACAATTTTGAACAGAACAAACCAGACCATTTACAGCAACATTACATCATGCTGTCTGAAACATCTTGCACCATGCTTGCCAGTAATTATATGTGTTTTTCATAATGTACCTCTTTCGTAGGTGAAATATAACATTAAATTAGATATTTTTTATAGGCAAATAATACAAATGATAATTTATTAAGTGTACATCTGATAAATACTCCATAGCAGTGCTTTGCCATCTTCATCCAGGCACTCTGAAATATGTAGATCATACAGGAAGGGCATAACCCTTGTGCAACGAGTCAGACAACACAATCAGTGCAAAAAGGAAGTCTCCTGTCTAGGTCGACAGATCTATTACTACACTTCATAGTGAAACTAGACCAAACAAGATATGGAAGCAGCTGCTTAGGGTGCCAGTTTTAAATGTTTCATTTCTGTAAAAGTGATTCTGGGTTTTAAATCCGACTTAATATTAGCATGGAATAGTTAGGGGCATCTAGGGGAGGGCAATATTGATTTTGAAGATACATTTTTAATATTTATGTTGATTATTTACAATGGGTTTATTCAATGTCCGAAAAAAGACCTGTCACATAAAATGGAACCGCCTGAACACAAATCACTTTTTACCCTTCCAGCTTTTTAAGTTTGTTTGGATAAACTATCCATCCATCAACATCTACACTGTGGGGCTAGGTCTAAACGGGAATGCCCAACCTTCATTTTTGAATTTTGCATATCTCCAGCTGTTGTGATATTACACATTTTTCCATACAGATGCGTGGATGGCGGGTACAGCCGCGGACTACGTGGGTCAGGCGGATAACGTGATGAAAAATAATATTTTAATAAAATTCGGGTGGGTGGAAATTTAACTACTCAAATAAAAAACTCGGAACGCGGAGCAACTCGGAGGAGACAGAGCAGATGGTGGGTGGGTGCGGTTTTAAAAATTGGTCAAAAACCATAGGTGCAAGTGGACGGATGCTGAGTTTTGTGATGCGGTTGCAGATGAAAAAAATGCCCATCCGCACACCTCTAAACTCTCACCTCTAGTAGAATTACATAAGAACATTTTGTATATTGTTGTAATATTCATACAATGTCAATTAAAGGACCCATATTACGCTATTCTCTGATCTGTTATAATGTTGTTTCCTAATCAAAAACATACCAAAGTTGCGTTCCGTTTCATTTACACAATGTTTAACACACAAACCCTGCAGGTTTAGGCTGAGTTCTTCTCTCAAAAAGAAAACACTCTGTTCCACTTTTTAACATCATGTGGTAATGCAGGAAGCGCACCACTATGTTTTAAACTCCATAAACCTTCACTAGAATCATTTGAATAAATTCAGATCTGGAATTGTAAAAGGTAGCTGTTAATTAGAAAGCCACCATTTCATGACATAAGGTGGAACAGAGCATTTTGAGCTTTGGAGATGACAAGTGCAATGTTAAAAATGCTATTCTGAGCTCCACGAGGACCAGAGTGAGCTAGCGCCTGACCTGTAGATCTCTGTTGTGGTTCTCACAGAGCAGCTGCATTAGGCGTAAGATGGGCTGCATGATGGTGATGATGACACTCATCTCGTTCTCATCCTGGCTCTTGTCAACTGGAGCCAGGGGGGCGCCGTCTGCTCCTGCCTGATGCTCCTCTGCCTCTGCCTCGCGGCGGTAAGTGTTAAAGGCCTTTTTGGTGACAACTGAAGCCTCCACCAGCTGCTCCTTCATCTCCTCCGTTACCACGGCCACCACTGGCACATCTTTCACTGTTAACAGAGAGGACTATATAATACTTATACATATACATATTTATATTACATATTTACTGTGTGCAAAACTTTGCAATTCCCCATTACCACTTCAACTGTCTCTGGAAATGATTACTAGGACCATCCCAGTTGGACAAGATAGATGTTGTCATCATAAATTATTAATGGCAACACTTTGACTTTAAATCAGTTCTTATTAACATCTAACTAGCTGTTAATACGCAAACATGTACGTGGTAATAGATCACATGATCCTAATAGGTAATAAAAGTGTTTTTACTTAAATGCTTAAAGATAGTGTATGTATGTAACTTTCTGGAGATGAAAGCTAAAACCATACATACAGTATATCTATATAACTCATATCTCTACATGGAGATATTTACGTTTTATGCTACACTGTGGAATGTTATAGCCAAAAAAAACAACATTTCCATTGAAGCAAGCAGGAGGACAATCTCCGACAGGCCAAATAAATGAATTAGATTTGTGGAGATGCAAGCCCACTCAGAGTAAGGATGCAGGTTTTTTCTGTATTTTTCAATGAAAAAAAAAAAGTTCTTACTTACATACTGTATGTTTAATATATTTTAATCTTATGTAACAAATTTGCAAATATAAGTACAGAAATTGAGTACTACCCTAAAATATAGTGCTGCTTATAATGACTATATGAATAAATTATTATGTTGTTTTTTTTTTTTTGCTATTTATTAGTAACACACATGCCTTTCTTCCTTGCAGGTGTGTCTTTATCAGGTGGCTCCTCATCTTTCTTCTTGCTGCCCAGGTCACTGGTGTTGACTGTCACAGTGGCTTTAATCTCCTGCTGGGCAAGCTTCATGCGCTCATAGAAGACTTTGAAGAACTTCTCAGACTTATTGTCACCTGTTAGACGATGGTAGAAGGACCTCTGGAAAAATGGGAAATATTATGTAATCATGTGCACTTTTCATTATGGCAAAGAAATAATGTAAAAAAAAAAGTGCTAAAATGTGCCTAGATTAAGGTTGGAGAACAAGGCTTGCTGCCATCTTTATACTGAAATGCTCAAGGCTAATTAGCATTATACAAGAGGATGCATCATTTTATCAAGTCTTATTATAAGTTAGGTTCTGTGCCAGGCATCTATTCAAAGATGTTGCATAAACCCTATCAGGCAGTGCCAAGAGCTCTGTGTGTTCACCTGAATCTGCACCATCTGCTCTATGCCCTTTGGCCACAACACACTTTTGGCAGAATGACAATTGCCATGGGCATCAAACAACTGTGCAGATGCAACAAGTGCTAACAAGATAAGAAGGTAATCATATTACTCATAGTATGTAAAGTGTTATTCTCAAAGTCCATCAACAACAACATTAGTCATTCTCCATAAAATTATCACATAACAAGTCAAAGGTTATTGAATGAAAAGCTCAGTTTGTAGATGCAACATTTTATACATGTAAAACATCAAAATTCTTCTACTGCATTGCTCACAACTGTTGCATCCAGGCACTGCTAAAATATGAGTCAATTATAAAAGTATTATAAAACAAGCTTCAAATTCTTTTGAATTATGTTGTCATTGTATGTGGTTTATGTGTCGTGGCAGAATATTACATCTTGCAACAAAGCAAAAAGCAGAAGGCCAAACTGGTTGAGAAGTTGTTTTCCTGCAGCTCTACCATGTCCGTCCCATTTTCCTGTCGACAATCCCTCCTTACATAAGCACTGCCTGTAATCAGCTGAGTGGTTACAGTGAGGGCACAGTGTGCCTGACTGCTAACACTGTTACATCAGAGCACACAGGGCCAGCAAGAGGGAGAAAGGAAAACCCTGCCCTACTTTTTACTGCCAGAACGGCACGGAGCAAGTGCGTGGCGTGAGGGGTGGAGTCCAAAAGTGGAAGCAGAGGTTGGTGTAAGCAGGAGTTATCACATAAACAGTTTCTGGGGCACTTTGAAAAAGTCTCTTACATAATACTCTTTCCAGGTTTAGTGCAACTGTGAGACAGCAAGTGAGGATTTACAAAAATCGCAAGATCACTTGACTGCATTTCCTGGCTGGCATGACACTAGCAGAATTAATTAGATTAAGGCTGTTTTTCTCCCTCCAAACTTTTATGCAACAGTTGTTTTTCATGTGTTGCTTGACAAGAGAGGGTCATTCAGTTATAGAGATCTGATTAGAGTCTGCAGAAGTCTTATGCAATAACACCAACCTCCTGAGACAAAAACAACAACTGCAGGATAGAAGCATTGCCAGATTAGCATTAAAACATATAAACTAAACCAGATTTAAATCTATTGCTGCACTAATGGTTGAAATCGGGTGATAATCAATCTGAAACCAATATAAAAACAACTGTGAAGCAATGCATATATATTTTGAAACATGCATGCATATGCATGTGCATATTAGTTACATAATTAAGAGATAATAATCTAATAAGACTTGTCGCATGTTGCAGACTTGGGTATACTGGAAATACTTCAATATTTTTTCCAGCAGTTGATTACCATTGAATTGCTTGTCTTTTATAAGACCTTTTAATCTCATCAGAGCTACCTTGAAATATGTGGCTCAAATTTCAGACTTGTTCACTGCTGAGTCATTGTGGAAAAAATAAAAATACTGTCTAAATCAGCCATTTTCAAAGAGAGGCTTGTCCATCCATGGCCTACCGCTTTAAGCCCCCTGAGAACTGCACTGAGACAGTTATGAAGGGGCTCCTTATTCTATGCCGTGCTGTAGATTTGACATGTCAGTGTAGCAGACCACAGTTTTTCTGCACATCAGTAGTCACCCCAGTATTTGGCATAAACACAATATACTTATGTAAGCTCTGTTTATACCAATAGCACTCCATCCATTTCCTTTTATCCGGCCTTTCACGCCTTGGTGAGTAACAAAGCAGGGCTGTTCCTTAATGGAGATCTACTGAGGGTACTCAGACACCACAATGATGATCATCACCACTGATACGGACAAATGCATTATGAGAAGCAGCATTTCAAGCTTCACAGAGGAAGAGCAAATGTGTTTTGTTTAGCTTTGTTTAATAAAAAAATATTTTTACAAACCAACCCATTAAATAGCAGTTGCACAAAGACAATGGATGAAGGACAGGTGAAGTGTCTTACCAAAGGACACAATAACAGTGTGGCGTGCTAACCTTTAGGTAGTGTGTTCATCATATTTGCAAGATGCTGCACACTATTTTAAAAATGTTAAAAAGTCAAAGTTTGCCCCATGCACCTTGTGACAAGTGCAAATGCAGATACTTTATAAGCCTATGTGCAGTCTTTTAAAAGCTTTCCAAGAGGAGTGTACAGTGAATTTGACAGGGGAGCCAAAGTGGGGGAGTGTAACTCACGCCTGTAGGGAGCAGCATGCCACAACACGCCTATTGAGTAACAGCAGTGGCACCTGTTTGCTCTTGTGACAGCTCAGGGATCTGAGGTCATAAGGATGGTGTTGAGTAGAAAGATGAGCGGGGGCTCCGAGAGCTGCTCTTTGGCACGTCTTCTCTTATATAAGCCGCATAAACAGTCTCTCTATGGAGCGCTTTTGGATAAGAGCTTTCTAGTCACTAAGTATAACCTGTGTGCATGTGCTGATGGGCTGCCCAAATGAGTATGAAGGGCTGCAGTTACAGGCTGTGGTAGAATTGTATGCTACTAAATGTGAACTACGTGTCTGCTTGGGTGAGTCAGGAGGCAACTTATCGTGTGGAGGCTCTGAATAACAACTTCCAGGGAAGTAATGTCAAAACATGCTATCTTGTCCTCATGATCTATGTATGCTAAAGTTATTTAAATCACACAGATATTTAGGTCATTCACAAATGACTGACATTTTATAGCATAGGGAAATACATTTAGCAATTTGCTAATTTATGCTGAACTGATCTATCCTTTCAGGAAGATCTATTTGAAAAAATGTATAAAATTTTAGGGGGAAAAAACTATGCTACATTTGTTGTACAACAGTCTTGTATGGAGTTTTTGAATTATCAAAAAGGAAAGCAGAAAGCTTGTCTTGTTCACGAGTGAGGGAAGGACGGAACGTGAGATTGACAGGCAGATCGGTGCAGCTTCGGCAGTGATGCTGTCGCTGTATCGGACCGCTGTGGTGAAGAGGGAGCTGAGCCGAAAGGCGAAGCTCTCGATTTACCGGTCAGTCTTTGTTCCTACTCTCACCTATGGTCATGAGCTCTGGGTAGTGACCGAAAGGACGAGATCGTGGATACAAGTGCTTGAAATGGGTTTCCTCCGCAGGGTGGCTGGGCGCTCCCATAGAGATAGGGTGAGGAGCTCAGTCACACGGGAGGAGCTCGGAGTAAAGCCGCTGCTCCTCCAGGTCGAGAGGAGCCAGTTGAGGTGGCTCAGGCATCTGTTTCGGATGCCTCCTGGGCGCCTCCCTCGGGAGGTGTTCCGGGCATGTCCCACTGGGAGGAGGCCCCGGGGAAGACCCAGGACACACTGGAGGGACGATGTCTCTTGGTTGGCCTGGGAACACCTCGGGGTCCCCCCGGAGGAGCTGGAGGACGTGTCTGGGGTGAAGGAAGTCTGGGAGTCCCTGCTTAGGCTGCTGCCCCCGCGACCCGGCCCCGGATAAGCGGACGAAAATGGATGGATGGAAAGCAGAAATCATAAGATGTAATTTGGCTTCACTTTGGTCTTCGCAGCACTACATTGTTGACTTTGAAAACCAAACCAAAAATACCTTGTGGTTATATAGATCATAAGTGTGTAACATATATTAACTGACAAGTGCTACGTGTTTATCTCAGGCTGTGGTGTCCTGAGAAGATCTCGAGTTTACAACAGATATGTGACATGTGAGACAACAGGGCCTGCTCATACATAGTGCAGTGATAATAGAGGCCTGATAAGAAGTGGGAGCTCTGACCCATTTCCTTTTAAATCCAGTAACACTTAACCCATCCCTTACGCCTGCCAGATCAGTTCCAGAAACAACAATGAAATATCGCCAAATTCTTCCTCCTGCCAACCTTTTCCCAGAATATTTTCTGTTTGCTGGACTACGACCCTGTATTACCTCAAAAGGCAAACAAACAGACCCCTTGAAGAAATCGCACTGCTTGTTTTTGTCCTGTTTTTCATTGGAGACAACAAGAAGTCTTCTGTGCAAAAAGGAGGCCAGGCCAGCACAGGTTATGTAAGATAGGGAAATGTGATGCATCTGGTGATATGTTGTAAATTCTCCCTGGACCCTACATGATCCCTGAACAAAGCACACTTGTGTTCTCATCATGGAAAAACAGATGTAACACATTTGATTCTGGATAAAGCATATAGACCCAGGCTTTGAGAAAAAATTGATTAAAACCTAAATAATCTGCAAAGTGTTGTATACATTTAGTACAAGAGAGTTACCTACAATGAACCTACGGCTTTTCTTTTACTGCTTTCCTTTGAGGATGATTAAGTCCAATTGGAATGTATAGAGAGCTTGAACATCATTCACTCCAGCAGCACCTTACGTAAAAGTCGCCATGTGAGTGCTTTTATGTGCGCAATGTCAGCCTTTGTCAAGTAATTGTTCTACGCAATTACACAACTGATCAGAAACAACAAAACCATAAACACCAGAGTAAACACTATGCACGGCTGACTGAAAACATGCATGCACACTGCAGCAGTTCACTCGTCTCTCACCCTACTGTAAGAGTTGCAAAAAAGTGACTGTGTCAACATGTGGTGGGCTACTTTAAGAAAAATGCTCTGTTAGAGTAAAAGAACTATTTCCAACAGCTTAACCATCCATTACAAACACAATTACTTTATTTTCAATACCATGTGCAAGTATTTATGATTGTGACCAAACTATGGTTCAGTAAAGAAAAACTGTCCAAACGCACAAGCAGTTTATGAGAACCAAGCACGTTATGAAGCAGTATTTTTCCCTTTATCACTCTCAACTCTTTTCATCTAGAGACAGATTTTTTGCTTAAGACTGAATATTTCAAATCTTGACAGTACTTCACAACTGTAAGATAACATAGTTCGTGAGGTGCAGCTGTGAGGCAGTGTAAGAGGTTTGGTTACACTAATCACAGGGTACTTAGAGTCAGAGGTCACAGAAAGCGTTGGTGTGTTGAACCCCACTCACCTGAATGACTGTGTTCCCGCCCTCCAGCAGTGCTATGGCCAAAAGGATACTCTCCTGGAAGATCCGATCACTGGTGGCATTCATGATAAGGTCTATCACCAGGTCAGAAGCTCCCTCTCTGTCCAGGTGGCACTGGACCTCAGCCAAACTCAGCTCTCCTCGGCCACCGATTCCAGAACTTACAACTAAATGTAGAAAAACAAACCAAAAACATATGCCAACTACTACCACAACTGAACACAAACACATTGAGAGCCTTTACTGGATATTCAACAGTTTATTTAGGCACTTTGGATGATGTCATAAAGTCCTCACAGTGTAATGCCCTTTAATTCCTTCTGCCCACACGTTTTTGTACATTTATTAATAATATCACCCCAATTTGCATGCATATCTTATCTCTTATCTGGCCATTTTGTTGTGCTACTGGCTCACCACACCATGAATGTGTGGTCAGATTACAGGCACCCATCAGAGACATCTCTGACTGAATGAGCCACTGAATCAACAACACATCCCATTCTAGACACTGTCGCCAGGCAACAACACGTCCTTGGTTGTGCTGAGGAGACGGTCTCCGGGCTCACTAGAATAGGCAAGGGCCAAGGGCTTAGCTCAGAGCGAGGCCATGACTGTGAATATGATCAGATTCTCCTCTCACTCTAACACACCAGCCACCATGAGTCACAACTGTGATGAGAAAAGGAGAGACTGCAATGAAGAAATGTCACTTACAAAAAATCTGTTGCATTGTGAATGTCAGCCTCGATAAAGCAAGATTAAGAAGTGAACTATATTGGAAACACACAGTATTGTGCTACAACCCATACAATTCATTGTGTAATATGGAAATTCACAGGTGTCAGACAATCCACATTTAAGCATTCAGGACACTCAAAAGAATAAAAAGGGTAGGCCTATCTTTTATCTACCTATTATTTATTGTCTATTATGCAAAATAAGCATATAGGATGCTAAGGGAATCATTCAGTGCTTTAAACACAGCCTTGTGGCACTCAGAGATAAAAATATAGTTTTGTGTTGGACCCAAGCCTGGATAAATGACCACAGCTATATTTATACTTGCACTGTATAGATTGGCCTTCCAGGGTGTGTGGTTTGATTTATACAAGAATACAAACCTGCTGGTGATTTTCCTGGGGTGCCAGAAGTCACAGGTCCACTGCTAAAAGTGACGCTCTCTCGCCGTTGTCCAGATTTGACATTGCCATAGTAACGATTGACCAAGATTTGGCGTAGAGCTTCACCCTGTTAGATATAATGTAAGTTACTGGTTAAAATATGGACTCTAGTTAGCAGTGACATTGTAAGGTGTAACCTCCTGTTTGCTGCTCCACATGATAAAATGTACGTACATGCATGGCAAGTAAACTAAAGTGAACCATTTCATGTAAAGCAGTTTGAAGTTACACATAGTGCACATTTGTACCATCTGACAATCTCAAGTTACATTGCCTCAAGAGTTTTGCAGGCATTAGACAGGAAAATATAATACAGCGGTGGTCTTCTTATAAACTCTTGTTAAATGGATTTCCCTATCTGTGACCTACCATAAAACAACATTATTTCATGTAAAAATTTAAAATATCTGAACAGACATATTATTAAAGTTTAGCCTAATATATCAAAGCTTTTAGTCTTAGTTCAGTTTATTTATTATTTTATGTTGACAAAATAAATACCATTTCCATCCAGAAACCTGGCATATGTCTCACCCTTGACACACCCTTAAAATGCATCAAAAAGTATTTCATTGCAATGAATGAAAAGAAAGAAATGCATAGTGACCAGATAAAGCTCAGAGTTCAGTGCTCTTCCACTTTATCATAATCACAGATATTTAGATAGTGAATAAACTATAATTTAAAGAAAAGTCCTTTGGCTTTGAATTTATATTTGCTGACTGAGCAGAAACTGTTGCCACAGTAAATTTCTATCATTTATCAATCACACACCATCTGATTACCATGATTCATTAGCCGGTTTCACTTCATGGAAACCGTCTAACCTCGCAGCATTAGAATTCGTTCACTTAACGGTAGGCGGGTACTTTTTAAAAATTTAACCAATCGCTGCTGTTTGGTCGGGATGTATGTAATGTGCCGCTAAGCAGGGCCTTTCCCCTTCCCTTCCCTTTGCCCTTGATAAAATTCAAACATTGTCTTTTTTCCAGCTTTAAGTTCTCAATCTCGGGAATTGTTGCCAACACAGAATGTATGGTTCTTCACACTTCCGGGGTTTTTGCAAACCATCTAGTGTATTCCGATTTCTGACCTAGTTATTGGAGAGGAATGAAAGTGAGCGGAGACACTAGGTGGCGCCGGCCTGCCTACCATCTGATACCTTCAGATTATAAATTGTCACACAAACAATTGGATCTTTCTGATGTATGCAAACATATTTTTGAATTACTGTGGCTAACTTATTTTGGTACTTTTTTCTTTTCAGGCCCCCATGTTAAATGGGATTATTAATGAATGCCTTTTCTGATTAGTAACCCACTACATGGAACAGACAAATAGTGACCAACCACACTATAAACCTGAAACAGAGCTTGGACAGTCTAAACCCTTACCTGATCAGCCAGAACCTCACACTTTGACAAAAAAAAAGGCGAGTGGATCTCCCGATTTCACAGGGCGTGATCGACAATTAACCAATCAGAGAGACGCATAATCAGTTTGCATAAAAAAAAAACCAAAACTTTTGGAGAGGAGATGTCTTCTGCATTTGAGAAACAAATGCTACAAATTGGCATCCTATGGTTGGATCGTCTCAAGTTTGGACATAGGTTTTTCACCCTCCATTGTCTGGTAACAGTTCCAGTCCTTTCTGGATTTGAACAGAATGTAGAAGGGACTGGCTGGTCAGGCAATCTAAACCCAGCACCTACCCTCTTTTGATCCTCCAGTTGCTTCTGTGGCAGGTTTGGATCAAGCTCCTTAAAGGTGAGGTGAGTAAGCGTAAAGCAGTGAGCAGTGAAAAGAGAATTGAAAGAAGATCCAAAGGGTAGTTGTGAAAAGATTAGAAATTAAAACAGCCAGTTAATACAGTGCATATTTGTTATTAAGCATGTAAAAGGAAATATATAGGTTTAAAGGAGAACGGGGGAACAGGGTGGGTATGTCATGCAGGGTTTCATGCAAGAAAGTTAGAAAAGTAGACAGAAAAATGGCCATAATGAAGAGATATATTATGGCAATTCCTATCAAAATTACATAAGACTTTAGTTCACCTTGGTTTAGGTTAATTGTGCTTTTCAATTTCAAATTTGATGACAGTTTAACTACATTACTGACTGAATGGCTCAAAATAGTAATCAGTTAAAGCTGATGTTTAGACTCTGTCTTACAATAGAAAAGTTAAAGCAGCAGAGTCTAATTTCAGCATGTAGCAGCAGAGCTTTGGTGTGCCAGTTACAGTTAGTACTACAAACATAACAAACAGCCACACACTCAATATGAAGCAACTCTTATATTCTTTAGTACAACTTTTAGACCTTCTCGTGATGTGTTAAAATATTGCCTATAATTTTCCCATATCCTGTCTGACCATGAGCTTGGCCAGTCAAAATACACACTTTCCTATATTATATCAGACCATCTCCCTGAGCTCAAATGGACGTGATCATAATCAGTCCATAATGATTTGAGGTGAGATGCTCGGCTCCTTCTGAGTTTGGCCTGAGACTGAGACTCTTCTGTGTTTGAAAATATACAGAGAGCCAGTTTGGTTTCCTTCCCCAACCACACTTGACATGAAAACATGAAAAGGGAAGACAGAGAATTGTATGGAAGGTTCAATTGAGGGTCAGGCAAGAGCAGGAAAAATACAACAATAATCTATACAGCTATAATCTAGTCATAATGAGGACTCTTTTCACACTGAACACATGTACACAGTGTGTTAATGGGCAGATTATTTAGGGTGGTATCTATTAGTAAAGCTATAATGAATGTGAACACACCTCAGCAGGGGTTTCGGGCTCTGGAGGAGGAGCCAGCTGGTTAAAACAGAAGGATGAGGTTAGTCAAAAGGTGTGAGTGTGAAGTTAATAAGACTGCTCTAGAGGGAATCCAAAGACTACAAATGTCAGCCACGATTAATGCTGCAGTAAGGATTTAGTCTAAAACAAGAGGGTATGGCACTCTCAAAGCAGACACAAACATGATGCTCTGTGCACAAAATGAAAGCAGTGATAAGTGATAAGCAGCAGCCAACTACTGCGGCAAGAAGCACAACATGTTTAACATGTTTAAAGACAAAAAAAAGATCAGGATCATTCCACCACATTTCAGTAAGTTAGCTACACTACTACCCAAACCAATCTCTGGGGTTCCAGAAAACCACTGTCTGCAAAGCACTTAATTTTACTATTTCAGAACACAAGTATTGATTTCCAAGTATTCCAAGAATAATAGAACTATTTAAGGGAATGGCTTCAAAATTTAGTATTGCAAATACGTGCAACAAAATGACAACAACTAGTGTGTATTAGATAAGGACATGAAACTTTACAACATAATTCAAATCTCCAAAAAAAAAAAAATCTAACCTTTAAAATTACTTTTAGAAGGTTAAATAAACTATGTTATTAGTCTGATTAAAGGGATACAGATCTGGCATGCAAGAAGAAATAAGTACATTTTAAGATAATCTTACTATAAACTATAACATCACGGACCCAACTTATTATGTATTTAGATTATTTTCATTAGCTATTATAAGAAATATTAAATGAAAATGTGATACTAACAGCAATTGCTCTTTCAAATTATTAGGGAAAAAAGTATACAGTTGTAATTAAAGTTATTCTTTGTAAAAATATAAATCAAGAGACAAATGAATAATCGATGTTCCCTAATATGGACAAGGATTGTTGTTTGTTTTGCTGATTAAAAGTGTAACTTACTGGAATTTCCCTTTGATAAACATCCTTTACATCAGATCAGTGCCTTCTTAAGAAATACAAAGTAACATAAATGCAGGTAGCATTTGATATATATTGATATCATATTCCAGCATAATGTTTGGAGTTATATGTGACTCACTTTTTATAGATTACTTCTTTAGTTTTGTCATCTATCAAGAAGCATGAGGAGTGGCTTGGGAGCTACAGACAATATTATTTCTTCTAAGAGTTTGAGATGCAATATTCAGAGTTTAGGGACAATGATTGTGCAGATGTCATTAAAAAAGTTGTGTGAAAATAAACTTTACATAATAATTCTATATATTAATTAATATGTATTTTTTCGAGAGTAACACACAGTTTTAAGTCATTTCAATTACAATTACAATTTAATGTAAAGACATGAATTTAATATTTTAATATGTAACTTGTAAGACACCACCCTTCATAACCAACCTATTACAAAAACACACACTTGTCATTTTAAATTGTGCACACCTTTCTCCTGTGCATTTTTGTAACAATTATCATTGAAGGTCGAACAATTGCTGAGTGAATATATTTCAGAAAATAGAAAATATAATAAACCTGTTTCTGCTTATGTAACTGCTGCCAAGGATTTGGCCTGAGTCCAAGAATTGTGCAGCGTTTAGCAGATAGGAATGTGGAGCAGCCTTGTGTACAGTTCAGAAATGTCTGCAGCGCCACCCCCTGACCAAAAAAATAAATAGCAGGAGAGCTGTAAGAGATTAAACAGGGACAAGAGACTGATTCACATGGGAAGGTGGTGAAGTAGAAATTTTCTCGTCACCTAGTATTTGTTAAATGTTTAGATTTAAGGAGTAGTTGTATTTTAGGATCAAAGCCTTTTTTTTTTCCAGAATTGAGGCTTAAAACTTTATAGATATTTCTATATAAAATACTACAAAGTAAATTAATTATTAAATTAAATAAAAACATTTGTTGGCTTGTATCGCCACTGTGAATGACCAGTTAGCAGTATGCTCCATCTAACACTTAGAAGTCCAGTCAGTTGTAATAAATTCACAAAATAATGTAATACTTGATTTAAAAAAAAAAATAAAAAAAATAAAAAATTAATTGTTAAATTGCTCAGCTACCTCCAAATGTGTTGAGGTTAACACTGGACAGAACACAAACTTTTTTTCCTTTTATTTTTTTTTCAGGTGAACTTGCTCCAAATAAATATCATTTACTGTTTATTTTTTAAACTGAAACGTACTATAAAATGTAGTATAGAAGAAAACACTACAAAATGTTTTTAAACTGAAACGTACTATAAAATGTAGTATAGAAGAAAACACTACAAAATGTTTTTAAACTGAAACGTACTATAAAATGTAGTATAGAAGAAAACACTACAAAATGTTTTTAAACTGAAACGTACTATAAAATGTAGTATAGAAGAAAACACTACAAAATGTTTTTAAACTGAAACGTACTATAAAATGTAGTATAGAAGAAAACACTACAAAAACTGATACATGTGAGATTCTAGTGATAGAAATGTGTCTGCACAGACCACCACTTAACTACGTTTTAAAATAGCTCCTTACATAAGCTGGACCATGGTTATGCACTCAGAAGCTCAGAAGCATCCTCAACACAGCAGATTACATCACTAGAATAAGATATGTGATCCCACTTGGACCCCCCTCCCCCCTGAACAGAGGAGCTCCTTTCATAGATCAGATGAATGGTAACAACGGGAGGTCATGACTTTTGTCCAAGCTTCTATTGTACTTAAAGTATATAAGAGAACCTGCTTCATTTACTGCTCTATAATCACTCTCCCTAGATACACACACAAACTGTTACAGATGATGTGATCAAACCAACAGGACAGCTGAACTCATCCTGAGATTCTTCAGTTGGGACATGGAGTTACATAACACATGTGATAGCTTACAACAGGTTTGGGCTATCTATTCTATTCAAAAATATCTTCCCGCTGCTTTTGTTTAGCCGAGCAAGGGTGAATGATATGGCCAAGCGGCATGTGCCAAGAGGTTCCAGTGGGGAGTGTGTGCAGATTTTTTTAGATCCACTATATGGGAGGAGCCAAGAGAACAAAGCACTTGTCTGCAGCAAGAACAGCCCCATTTTTGTGCAAGCTGGGGATTTCCATTGCACCCAAGTGGTATGCAGACATGCTGTGAAATATCAATGGACAGAACTCACAACATGGGAACAGGGAATTGGTTGCTTCCTGTCAACTTGGGAAAGACCCATGCCAAACAAAAAACAAAAAACTGTATTTATGCTTGCTGACGACTTCTAAATAATAGCCTCACATTCATCAGTTGTCACACTTCTACCTGAAAATGTGATGTCTGTAAGTAAATATTACCTGTTTCCAAGTAATTAGAAGATCATGAGGTCTACTGTGATATATTGCTACAGAAAATATCCCTTTTCTACAATGAATGGGAGCTCAATCCGGGACTGCCTTCCTGGACATTGAATCTGGGAGTCATCACCTTCCCACAGGCAAGTTGTCATGAAAGTTTCTTCTAGAACACAGGTGTCAAACATAAGGCCCGGGGGCCAGATCCGGCCCTCCAAGACCTTTAATGTGGCCCTTGGCTGATTTTCTACTAAAATATTTTAATTATATTTTCTATTAAAATATTGGTAATTTTCTGCGGTGCTTAGCGTCTCCAGCATCTCTGTACGTGGCCCCTCCCACCAGAGCAGCACAAATGAAGACTTGTCTCTTTCCAAACGCTCTTAAAGGACGATCGTTTTGACTGTTGACCGTGACACCCTCATCAGTAAAATGTCCAACATGAGAAAAGTGGAGCCGAGTGCAGGATTTTCCAAGAAAAATGAACTTATTCCTATTTACATACAAGTTCATGTTAAAACATTGTGTTGAAATTGAATTTTTCTTAAAGTTTCAGGTTGTTCATAATATTATAATATTATAATATTATAATAAGAAAGAGTTCATCAATTAAAAAAGATTTCTGTAATAGATTTGCATTTTTCTGCACAAATATTTGAACTTATTGTTATTTTTGGGGTTTATATGATATGAGTTTTCTGAGCCGGCCCCTTTGGGATCAAAGTAGGTTGGATATGACCAAAATGAGTTTGACACCCCTGTTCTAGAAACATACCAGTAGGTAAATACCATGACCTTCACCCATATTGACCACAAACATAACTCCCTACAGCAGCTTGATCTGCCTGAAAACATTCCAAAACAAATAGCAAAATACTGAAAAACACTCACACATTAAGAGATGATGATGCAATAAAATTCAAAGAAACAAAGGTGGTTGATGCAATCAAAGCTACAAAACTCTCTGAAGTTCTAGGACCAGATGACCTGTTAATCTTAAACACCAGGGCCCTTCTGATTAGCTTCCTGATCTACTTGATAAACCTCATCATCCAAACCACTGAGATACCAGAGTGATGGAAAGTGAGCAGGATTATTCTATCACTTAAACCAAAGAAGCAAGCAAACCAATCCAAAAGATACCAGCCAATTGCACTCCTCAGTCGTGTAGCCAAGCTAAATCTTTTATTCAAGGAAAAATCATCTACAACTATTTTCTCAACCTGGAACACAGAATTCAGAAGCAGACTACCAGTGACTGTAGCCAATAAGGATATACTCTGCTAAGAAAGTCAAAGTCTTAGGTGTGACGTTTGACCAATTTTAATTTTCACATTTCCATTTTCAAAGCACTCTAATAACACTGCAACTAAATTAAGCAAGTGAAAACAAAAAATCTTGCTGGTACCACATGGGGATGCTCAAGATAGGATACACAGCCATTGCTAGGCCAGCACTAAAATTATGCAGCACCAGTCTGAACCCCGAACCAAATGAGCAAAATCCTGCCCTTAGAACAATAACTGGTTGTCTACACATGACCTGACTGACCATCTCCACCGTGAAACAGGTGATATGAAAGAAACTCTTATCTAAATGTACTTTGTCACTAAAAAGCAAATAATCCAGCAAACTGAAATACTTCAGAAATTATTATTGTTATGTTATTAAACAGTAAAAAACCCACTGGTGCAAAGAAAAAAATATAGAGAGATATATAATGAGTCTCAAAAAGTATTGTTCTGTCCATCAGTTATTGAATGATGAGTCAATATATTAACTGTCGAAATACTAAATATGGTGACAGGCCTTCTTACATCTACATCAAAGGGGAAACTTTATCAAACTATTTTCTGATAACAATGGTATTTCAACAGACACACGTAATGCACTGATAAGACTATGTGGCAGACAAACGTGACTAATGACAATATAAAGCTAAATGCTAACACAAGCGACAAGAACATGTTAACGGTTAGTGTAGGTAAAAATGACAACCTCAGCCACATCCATCTCATCATCAAAAGCAATCAGCTGCAAGAGAGGCATACTGTTAGTAAAGTTAGTAAAACTGTGAAAACTGTTAAACTGTTACTGGACAAACAGTTATTTGTGAGATCTGACAAAACACTGAACTGTTTTATGGCCTACACATTTCTATTACGTTCTACCAATTTTGAGTCAAATATGGTAGAAACGAGTATTAAAGCAAAAAAGCCAGTTCATTAGTTGAAGTGCACGGTAAGATGAAACTGTTAGAACATGCAATAGGGCAAAAATTACATGAGTTGGGAATATTTTATTGTAGAAAGCAAAGAGGGAACCAGTTGTGTAAATTATCTAGTTAAATAGTAACCATAAAAGTTGCACTTCCTTATGAAATTGATAATACAATAACAAAACTTGGTCAGCTATGCTTTGTCATTGTCAATAAAAAGTTTCAAAAGTAATAATAAATGACGGTCAGATTACTTTTTTTTAAAGGGCCCATAGTGTGCTATTTTCTGATTTATGTTTTTTCATCAAAAACATACCTAGATTTGTGTTTTTATTTCATTAATTCATTCCTGCTGTTCCACTTGGTGATGTCATGTGGTAATACAGGAAGATTTCCACAGTTTTTAAATCCCATACATCTTCAACTGAACCATTTGGATAATTTCAACCCCATAATTGTAATTCTCAAGTGAACAAAGGTAAAAGGTAACCGTTAACTTGAAAACTATGGTATATCACTCGGCGGAACAAAGCATTTTGTGCTTTGGAGCTGTAGACAGATTGACAGACTGGGTTACTGAAACTTGTGTGAATGAAAGAAAACACAACTCTGGGTATGTTTTTAATAAAGTAACAACATTATAACATTATAACATGCTTTAAAGCTAAAGATAAGGAATCAATTTTATGTACTATAGGATCTTGTATATGGCATTTAGTAGTCATGACTCTAATATTATTAGGATATCTTTTGTATCTCTAAGCCCATTTGGCCATACTGGTGTTGAAAGAAAGATTTTATTCAATACTGAAATATTTTCTATAATGATAGTGCTACCACTTGTCATAGAGATATTGTTCCATAGTACCAAAAGCATAATGTTTTATCAACATGGATAGGTTACGTACCTTCTCCCCATAGCCACGGTCTTTGGACATCATTTCTCTCAATGTCTGCAAGACTTTAATACAGAGTCTCTCTTCATTCTCCTCCAATAGCTGCTTGGTATGTTTGATAAGCCTGGTTAAAAGAAAATATGAAATAATAATTTTATTACTATACAAAAAAGTTATACTTTTATACGCATTCAGTGGTCTAAAGTATAAACGTACTTTGATATAAAGCCCCCACTTTCACATTTTCTGCGAGCATCAGTGTTTTCAGGGAAGAGCAGCTCTGGACGATGCAGGACATCAACTAGGACAGAGAGTTCAGCTTGGACCAGTGGTCTCAGACGATCCTCTAATGCAGACACAATATCCTAAAGGGGATTATTATTATTTTTTACATTAATGGGGTTACAACATACACTTCAGTATGGTGTTGTTACAGTATGTTGATGACTGTGTCAAAAATGTATGGTTTTAGTGTGAAATAAAATAAATAAATAAATAAAATAAAATAAAAGGAAAATAAGACTTTCCTCATGAGTTGCAGTAAAGCAATACTTAAACCACATGTGTGATAAAGGAAATGAGGCAAGTCATTGTAGACTTCTACTGAAAGTTGACTCATGAGTGACAAAAAGGGTGCAACTGTCTGGCAGCAATTTATTTTCATGGTTTCTACTGTATATATTCTGATGAGTAAAACATAAATACACTGCACATTTTAAAAGCAGAAATAAAAGCTTCAAGGCAATGAATTTACAAAGAACATATTAAGGACAAACCTGCAGTCTTTCAATGATATTTCTATAATCCTTGGAGGTAGTCACGCCAGAGTCTCGCCGTGAAGTGTTTTTAGCTGATAGTCTCCAGTTGAGGATGCTCTTCTGTACGACATTATTGGACTTGACAAAAAGATTGTTGACCTGGCTGTCCAGGTCCACTGGGATGGCAATGGCTCGACTCTTAGCTGGGCAAAGACACAGGCATGCTTTATTTGGTGCCTAGTCCTTTAAACATTGTTAAAGTAATACATAAAAGCAGCTTACCCACATCTGAGAGAACTTTAATACATGCCTCAACTGATGCTTTTTGAACAGGGTTCAACCAGTTACAGTGATAAACTCGGAAAACTCCCTGAAGAAGTTGAACAAACACTGGCTGGCGAGTCTGAAAAATAAGGAAACTACAAATAAATGCAAATAATAAAAGACATTTGAGAGAATAATTAACTAACAGCATGTAAAAAAGGGAGAGACTACCAAACACCTAAGGATTACTGTGCTCAAATTAAGTTAATATTTGTTCATGCTAAATATTTTGATTAAGGTACATGTACTACAATGCTTGGGGTCCAAAGGGTTCCAGTCCCACGACACCACAACAGAATCAGTGCTCAACTTTTAGGTCAAGTGATTACTACAACCACAAAAGCTATCAGCTGTTCACAGCCAATAGTACAATAAATACCTCAGATATCTTTCCAAGAAAGGCTGTCTGTTATAAGAAAAAGAGGGATGTAACGTGGTCATGAACCAATAACAGAATTATAGTTCTTAGAATGGGCAAGAAGTCATAGGAATCTAATAAAACCAAACATGACCATATCTAAAAGATAGACATCATGTAATAAAAGAGTATGAAGGGCTTTATGGGGTTTTCAATCACTTGAATCAGTGTGGGGAGATCACATTTCGTCAGTGCATCATGTGCACCATATCCCAGTAATACCTTGTGCAACACACATCTGGGAACAAGACATTTTATGTGCTGACTAAGTTACCAAAACAGGAGCTAGACACTCAAAGTCATACTTACATACATATAGCATGCCAACTATGCAACAGAAAGGAAAGGAAAAGGTGGATTTTATGAACAATGCTTTTACATATTGCGCATATTGTAAATCAGTGGTTCTCAGTCTTTTTCACTAGATGCCCCCATTCTGGTATACAAGATTTGTCAGTATTGCAGCTTAAAAAATTCATTACTTGATAAAAAATATTCTGTTTGCTGCACACATAATAGTTTAGCATTTTAATTGTATTTTTGTTCCTATACCCCTTTTCTAAGCATAGTGTGGGGTTTATTATTTAATTTGCACAAATAAAATTGTGGATGACCTGACACTCTGATCAGACAAATCTCAGGTTGGGAGCCACTGTCGTAAACAATTGGAGTCCGGTAACAATTACTGACAGTTACTGTACAATACAGTATACTTTTATATGTTTACCTGAAGACTTGTGCTTTGGTCAGAGAAAGGAGAGCTGAAGAAACATGTGACGATGCTCATGACTGTTTCAGTTACGTAACGCTCCAGCATGGTGTCCGCATGTTTCCTGTCACTGGTGTTGTTGCACACCTAGGAAAGAGCAGAGCCAATCAAAAGCCCTGTATGACGCGCAGTCAGCGGGTCACACTTCCTCCATGTGGGCAGCAGGTAACAGACTGGATGTCCACTGAATGTGAAGGTGACATAATCATGGAAGACCCATGGCATAATAACATAATAACATGAAGCACAATGCAGTGTCCTACTTTGTCACAATGCACCAGGCCTTACCCTACAAATATCCACCAGAAAGTTCTCAAAAAGCTTCCACATATGATTGGATGTATAGATCTCCTTCATTTCAACCTCTGTATCCACGTAACAGTGGTTTAGAAAGTTTATATAGGCAATCTTCACCTTTAGAGATAAAATGTAATAAAATAGTAAACATATACACGACAACAGCTATAATAAGTGTTAGTTAATTTACTATTACATCTCAATTTTAGCATATATAAAGTCACACCTCAGGAATACAGTCTTCATGTGTAACAACTCGAACAATATCATCCAGAGGCAGCAGCGAGTTGCATTTGATCTCAGTGTAAACATTTTTGCCCTCGGTGCAGACAGCCAGCAGCTCCACCAGGTGTATATGGTACATAAGTTGACTGTTTTCATCCATACGGTCCCGCTCTGATCGCATCATTTGTACTAGAGTCTGAAAGGATGCTCGGTCATTGTAGAACACCAGAACGTCTTCACCTGAGTTTACAAGCTAAAGGAGACAGCAAATATATTTTTTACAACAGCTTATCAAGATGGATAACTAAATAATGATTTATCTTCTGACCTCAGCCATAACAATGTCCTGGCTGGCATTTCTTGATGAATTTGTTTTCGGCTTTCACAATAGTCTGCAGGAACTTGAGATACTGAACGTGACGACCGTGAGACTCGATGCAGTGGACAAAGTGCTGAACTACTCGCTCGTTGATTTCACTGCACAACTGAAAATTATTCATGAAGATGTGCTGCATGGTGATGGCCTCTAGAATCTAAAAACAGAAACAATGATCTTACTCAAAACGTTTATCTTTCAAACCCAGTAGTAAAGTTAGTAGTAAAGTGGGAAGCATAAGTCGAGTCGATTATGTAGAAATTCCAGTTGCATACTCACCCCTGGGTTAAGAAATAAGTTGATATGTTTGTGAAGAAGAGTCTGGTTTTGTTGGTTCCCTGAACAGAAGTTTTGAAGGAACTCATGAGCCAGTTTCATTATCTCTTGCATGCGGATATCCTCACCCTGATAGAGAAGAACTGCATTGGATTATTTGGGTAATATATCTTTAACTTTACAACTAAATAGTGATTACATAATTTATGAGGCAGTCCTGATAAATAAATAAATAAATAAATAATGATGAGTTTGAAAAGGTAATTTGTCACCTTCTCATAAGGGATTTGCAGCAGCTCCAGAACCACACTATGAGCTCCCATGTTCCTGAGAAGTCTTTGCTGTTGTTTTCTGCTCTTCTTCCCTGAGCTTCCCTCTTGAATACACAACTTACTGAGTCTCAACAGGATCTAGGAATTGGATACATTAAGGATTAAGTCATAAGGAAAACAAATACAAATCAAAGCTTTTCTTACCTCTTTCACAACTCTATAGTTATAATTGCTGGTACTTTCAGAGTTCTTTCCATCTGAACTTGAATCACCCTAATGTCAAAAGAAAAATCAAGTACTACAGATGATCATTTTATTTTGACCATATCAAGCCTTGAATCTACCTTCTTTTTGCCATCAGATTCAGGGCCATCTCCATCCATTCCATCCTCTCCTTGCCTTTTGTAAACCCATAATTCTGATTTCTCAACTATAGATCGAAGCTGATCAAGATCTGACTTGATCTGCTTATAGTTGTCTACATCTTGACTGGTCACAAGCAGCTGCACCTAAAAGAGGAAAAATTTATTATAATACATTTTGCAAGCTTTCAATATAGAGGGTATAAAGTTTGGCAAATCAGCAGCTTACTTGTTTAAACGCCATGAGAACTTCCTGTCTCTGACTAAAATGTCTAAAGAGCAGATGAAGAGCTCCAGACACAAGGGGAGGGTAGTCATGCATGGTCAGGTGTAGCAGGACTCGGAGGAAAGTACGCCCCCCATGGTCATCAAGGTCTAATGGGGTATTCTCCTCACTATAAACCCAAACATAAATTTAAAACATTACATTGCAGATTGCATCAAAGGGTTGAGCTGAAAATTTCTTAACTTACCTTCCCCCAAAGATTCCTTCAGCTTGCTCTTCAATATTCTCAAAGTCCAAATTTCCTACAGTAGAAATGCATTTTAGTTGCTTTAATGGAGCAATGCAACTGCAGAACATATCATAAATATAGTATAGTAAAATGCTATGCCTCACCAGGAATTTGTGATGGGATGTTATTGCCTCCATTTTGGCTGACAGCGTTTTCATCTTGTTTGTTGTTCTCATCAAACTCCCTTTTAAAGATACAAAGCAGGCAGGAAATCCGGTAGTCCAAGCGTACATTGAGAATGAACTAAAGGATTAAAGAACATTTAAAGATAAAAATAAAGTAGAATATCAGTTTGAAAATATAAGATGAACTGTAAGTTACCTGTAGGATTTCAATGATCTTAAGCTTTGTGTCCATGACCATGATGTCCTCCCTTTCAGGCTCCACTTGTGTTTTGGGCACGTCTCCTTCAGGTTGGTGTGTGGGTGTAGTGGGCAGTAAGCCCCCTCCCCGCAGCACCACCTGTGTCATCAACTCTCCCACTCCATGAATGGACTTCATCACATTACTACCTGCAAACACACAGTGCACCTTTTCTTTCAGGTCGCCCTTATAATCAAATAGATACTAAAGTTTGACATAGAAAAGTAACAGGACTTAATTTAGTGTACCTTTGCTTTCTTCACCCTTCTCTATCTTGTTTATGGGATATATGGTGCTGACATGCACACAGTCTAAAATATTCAGTAATATTTTGGTCAATCGAAGCAAGTCACTGAAGTTGTAGAAACCAAAGTAGATGAGGTTTCTTGCCAGGTTTACTACCTGTAGGAATAAAAAGCTAATTTAGCTTTCAAAATTTTCTTTCATCTTCACAGTAATCTCAAGAGTCTGCACCTCAAAAGTAAGCTTATTTTTCTCCTTGTCAGAAAAAGGGATGTTCTGTGACACCACCTCTCGAAGGTAATTCTCCACAAAATCCATGGTGAGGCAGAACCGTTCCTTGATCTCATCTCTTGTGGTCCCATCATTGTCATAACTGATACAGAAATGCATCACTCGGTCAAAACATGTCAAGTGACATGAAATAAAATGTTTCCAAGTTGTTATAATAAGCATACTCATCAATGGCGATTTGAGAAGGGATCTCAGACCACAGTCGTGCATATTTCACAGGAGTGACTTGTTCCTGTGGGTCTCTGTCCACGTGCATGTGCAGCATCAGGCGGCAGAAAGAGGCACGCAGGTCGAACGGCAGGTCCTCATCAGACATGCAGCGAAGGATCAAGTCCACGTCCAGCTGACCTGAGATCTTATTGATGGCAAGGTATTGGCGGTCCAGACACATCCTGGCAAACAGATTCAGCTGGCATCTGGGAAAACGAACACTTTGTTATTCATAGCCTCATGGACGTAGATATTTCTCCAAATATGATATTCACCTATAGTAGCTGACCACTTCCAGGTCCTCTTTTTGGCCCTCCTTGGCATCCTGAGCCAGCTCACGGACGCTCTTACTCCTGATCTCTTTACAGTTGTCCTTCCAGAAGAGCCATACCTCCTCTTCATCCTCTGCCTCCACTGGAGTCTCTCCATTTGGTGAGATCTCAATCTCAAATCTCGACAGCACCAGTCTGAGAAACAAACATGGAGATTATTGCTATAATCTAAAATGTCCAAGGTTTTTTATAAAAAATAACTAACTTTGTTTCAATGAGAATGTCAGCATTGCTTTGGTCCAGCACTGCGTTGCAGATGAGCTCTTGTGTTACAGGAATGGATTTATTCATAGACACACAGAGATCCGACAAGTAGTCAAGAAACCTGGTCACAAATATTAAAAAAACAAATCACCTCTAGTCAAATATTCTTCAGTACAGTCTTGTGTCTTTTTTAATTTATTTTTTTTTCAAATTTCACCTTGGTTCTTGGTTCTTCCTCACAAGAGTCACAAATGTGTCTATTTCAGCAGCAGTGATATGTTTCTCGAGTAGTTTTCTGTTGTTATGTAATAAAGCAGTTATTGTGTCTTCTGCAAGCACATCATATCCAATTTGTTTTTGCATGAAGCGGAATTGTTTAGCTATATACTCCTGCAAACAAAGGGGAGAGTATTTGAGATTTCAAGTAGGTCCCTGTTAATAAGGGTTGAGGAAAGTTTTTTCTTGCCCCACCTGATTTTTTCTATAATCCTGCTGGGAATGTCGCAGGACTCTATAACATAGTCTACAAATATGCCTAAAAGGTGCATGCCGTTGGTCTCCAAGCTCCTCTAGCCGAAGCATTGGCCCATCACCACTGTCTGTGAAAGGTGCCTGAAGTAATTTGAAAATCTGCCAAAACCAAGAACAAAACAGTTGATATTATTTTTTCAAAGTAAACATACATACTGTATTATATGGATAAGTGATCAGACTCAAACCTGCTTCAAAATATTTTGTTCTCTCATAAGTTTTTGCCGTTCCCTGTTTGGCTTGTTAACCATAATCTCCAAAACATCCTGCCCACTGTTGGGAATGTCCACCACAAAGAAAACCAAATCCTCCAAGAGTTTGGTGACAAATCTAAGAAATATATAATTAAAAAAATTACACCAGAAACAGGAACAAGAGTTGTTTATTTTATTTTATTTTATATTATAATCATACCCACCTTCTTTCATTTTGTGTGATGGTACCCTTTTCAAGTTTTCCAGCTATAGATGCCAGTACTTTACTTGCATCATTGGCAAAATCTAAATCTCGTACTTCTGCTGGGGGCACTGGCACAATGGCAAAGGCTTCCTTATCTTCTTTAACTGCAGATGTTCCTATCTTTAAAAACAAAAGTCTTGTTTTATCTTATGGGAGTTCAAAACTTCCCTTGTGTACGTGTATCAACCTGCATGTCAGTTACTCACCCTTAACATCACAGGTTTCTCTTCCTCTTTATCGATAGGGTTGTTTGTACTGTGAACCCATGTATTGGTGCAGAGATGCCTTAGCCTCACGTAGGAACTCCTAAAAAATAAGATATTCATGAACAAAGCGCAAAAGAATGCGCTTTGTGATGTGCCAATCTGCAGCAAATATTCTATAATTTACAATGTCACCGAGTTGTGGAATTGAAATCAAAACCCTCCAAATTAACATTCCACTAAACTAGCTGCTTGATAATGACAACAAAAAGTCACAGTAAAATCTAAAACATTATTCAAAGGAAAATCAAACTGCTACACATAAGGGTTTGCTGACTAACAAAACAGATATTAACAATGGCTAGATGATTTTCAGGCTTTATATACAGTAACTACCTGCTAATACTAATAAATTCACATTTGCACAATGCCTCATCTAACAATTGGTCAGTTCATGTAAAAAGAAGCAAGTGAATGGAATTTTGAGACTAAAATAAAGGCACACATGAACAATAATAGATTAGGAATAATACACAGAACAAAAAAATAGTCCTTAAAATTAGAGGTACTGTTTGGCAGCACAAAGGTCCAGCCAAACATACGTAATATGTTTTTATTTGTTATATGAATGACATCTCTGTGGTTTATGGCCTAACCTTACATACTGACATACTTGGCATTTTGTAATACAGTTATTCCCCTATATGCCTACTCACTGTGCCTTCATTCAGCCTTTCATAATGGAAACCCATAAAGGGACTTTCCTTCTTCACTACTTTTAAAAATTGAAAGCAACTTAAAATTAAACGGTTTGTGGCTTGTGGCTTTTAATTTCATTTTGAAAACAAAACCATAACCCATAACAACAAGACTCTTTTGTATCTAAAGCTACACTGGAAGCCTAATTGTGATATTCAACCTAAGTGTGAAACCAGTTAACGTCAATTAGTGCGTTATAGTCACGAACAAAACATGGTACATAGGTCTCCAGGAAGAATAGCTTATAGCGAAAGTCAATTAAATACAATCAATCAATTAACCTGCCCGGGGACTACAGGTGGAAATTAGAACTGGTGCTACAACCTGGTACAATGCATCTCTCCTGTTAAGGTTAATATTTATTGTGCACTGTCCCTGTTTCATTAAATAAATAAATTAACAAACTAAATAATCATGTATAATACCTTGGGACCATAGAGTCCCCGCCTCTCAAAGTTGTAGGGTCCAGCTCAAAGATAGATGAAATATCCATGCCATCTGGAACTGGTACCAGAGTATACATGATCTTCTCCTGAGGAGCCCGTAGACGGCCCCTCAGCGCTTCATTGTCTGCATCTAACTGCAAAAATCAAAACATATGAAGATGTGACTAGTAAATGTACATTACTTATACAGCATATACAGTAGAACATAAAACAAACTGCTGTAAGTACTGTATGTTTAAAAGCATGGACCATAATGCCCCTGAATTTCCAATCAGCTAAACACACAAATGCAACAAAAATCTGTGACCACACAATCTGCAGCTTGGATGTTAAATGTTGAATAACACTGCCCCCTAGTGATTCAAAATAGAACATCTTTTTCAATGTGGATAAAAAGCAAACCTACAAGAACAAAAAAAAAAAAAATGTATATTGACATTTACACTTATTGTTATGCATACATTTACCTGAAAATTGAAGGGTGTAAAATCTGCCACCTGAAAAAAAAAAAAAAAGGATCAATACATGTGTGTGTCGTCTGTGTGTTGTGTGACATTCATGTACCATTTAACTACGAAGAAGAATAACAAACCTCTATGTTTGATTTAGAAAGAACAAAGGTTGACTTACAGCAGACCGCTGCTCAGCACTCTCCTCCTCAAAGTCCTGATTAACCTGAGGGGAACACAAAAGCAAACCTTACACAGAAAAGGAACCTTTTAGTTGATTAATCTACCCATTGGTTGATCATACCTCACCAACTTCAGCAGCCAAGTAGCACCCTGTTGCCAAGTGCTTAAACCTAAACAGACTATTCCAATATCCAGCACCTCCTCTGCAGGGATCATGGTGGACCACCTGAGAGTGAATTTAATAAATTTGATATAATTAACATGCAAATATCAACAAGACGCCATGGCACATGTTTGTTACTCACCTCTATTTCCCACAGTGCTTTGCTGCTGGTAGCAGATGTTGCCGATTGCCGGCCAGTTGTTCTTAGAAATACATGTTGCTTCTTTTTGTAGTCATCACAGGTCAGAAATTTCTCTTGTTCTGCATGAAACAACCGGACTACATCCCCCTGTTGTCACAAACACCTGCTTTAAATAAAGAGGTCATTCTAGCAAAGACACAGTTGTGATGTGACCTACCCCTTTCAGTATGGTTTCCTTGTTGTCACTCCACTTCATAAAAAGGACAACTTTCCAACTTGTGTTACAATTAACAGAATTAACCTAGGAACAAAGAAGAAAGACAAAAAAAAAACATAAAAAACATAAATAAGTAATTTAGGTTGTCAGAAGAAAGTAGAAAATGGGCTCATACCTCATTACAACCAGGGTTGTCCACCAGCTGATGGCTGCTGGCATGAAGAGGCTGACCAGCATTGACAGGATTAAGGACCACTTTATCTCCAATGACCACCTAAAAAGACCAACATGTACAATCTTAATAAATAAGATATTTTGAAAAGTTGTAGTACAATAAGGCAGCATGGATTATTCTTAATAAGAAAGTTTGGTTTGTAGTGTCACAACACAGTCACAAGAGGGAGCCATTGGCTCAAGTGATTGTCAGGTACAAGTTGTTCATAACTTCTTTTTAGCATGCAATTGGGAAATCAGGGATACAGTATCAGACTCACATGTCTTTGTAAAGTATTGTAAAAGTGTATAGTCATGGCCAGCCATTTAGATTTACTTCAGTGAAATGTACCCTTTTTGTTAGTTGGAGTATAATAATTAGAAGTAAGAGTTTATACTATACCTTTACACAGTATTTTGAGTGCTACTTGAGAGTCTAGTTTTAAACTGTGATATAATTAAAAAAAGATATTGTTCATTTGGTAATGTAGGGCATTCCTATGGGTACAATTACATCCCACACTCAAGTCAGAAGGATGAAATAGCTACAAAACTACATCTTGTTGTTGATGTTGCCTACAGAGAATAATTAAGCTGAAAGGCACACCAGGCTCTACCCACACTGTCTCCCAGGGAGCGAAGCTTGTAGAAGGGCTGGATGTAGAACCAGGAGCCTTCGTTTCCTGCAGAATCCAGAGTCACTCTCATGGCATTCTTCTCCAAAAGTGCAGGCAGCCGTTTGTTGACTGTCAGGTATTTATTGCTTTTCAAATGTAATAACTGTTGACAAAGCAAATACTGTTATTTAGAGTTGACAACTTGATAAAAGTTGGTGCTAAATATTTCAAGACCAAAAATGATGGCTGAAATGTTGTAAACATAAACCATAATTATTGCTAAAAGCACTAAAAACATTATCCAAAAAAATGAATATCTTATGTAACTTTTTGTTTGAAATAAACTGAACACAAACACAGGAGGTGTACTTTGAACTATTTCACTAAAACAGACAGTGTCCAGCTCTAAAGCAATTATTCAAAAGGCCTTTAGAGATAATCTTATTTCAATGAATACTGAGGCAGTTTTATCTTAACTTACCTGAATGACATTTCCATACTGGATGATGGTTCCCAGCAGCTTGCGGTTTTCAGACTCATTTTGTTTCTTTTCCAAATCGGCAGCATGCTGTAACACAAGGCAAAAGATGCAGCTACAAACCTTTATTGTGATATACACACTGGGACCTTGGGAAGTTGGTTGTCTTTTTCACTTACGGTAATATTTTAAGACTTAAGACTTCTGGTCAAGATTAGAAATAGTAGTATAAGGCATCTTTATCATTAAACAATAATTATTTAGAAAGCTGAAAATACAATCATCGGTAGGCCTGTGACGATAATTATTATATCAACTCAATATATGAAAACTGTAACAATATATTTGGGACTAAATATTTTTCATGTGTACAGTTTCTTAGCAATAGTGGGGATATTTTGGGATATTTTTGTTTTATTACAATTAGATTTTAGCTGTAGAGAGTTGAAATTGTAATTTATATGACTAATTATTGGTTCATTCTGCTATTTATTTCTTGCAGCTCATGCCGTTATGATACTGCCTATTTAAAAACAGTTTACTGAGATTATATGGCATTATTGTTATTATATCAGTGGCATAAAGTAGTTTCAATATTATAATTTATCACAGTATATATTTGAAGCAACATATTGTATTTCAAAATGTTTTATTGTGACAGGCCGAATCATTGGACTGAGTTGAAAGATTAAAGCATTTTATTTTAATATCATAGCGACTAGGAATCACCTTGTACACTGGTTGTTTTGAGAACACTATAGAGAAAAGCCAAAAAGAGTTATTACATGGAGTTTGTTGAGGAGCACTGTATCTGTGGTGCTGTTGCCTCCAGGTTTAGCAGCTTTCCAGAACTGTTTCTGTGCAGAGTATCTGTTCATGGGGCACAGCTTGAAAAGGCAATCTGGGGAGTGAGGACAGAGAATATAACATAAGGAGGACATATATCACAAACGCACAATTCTGCCAGAACACGTAAAAAGCCTATGAAATAAAAACAGTATTGAAGTTCAAGCATAACTCATGTACTCATCTTAAAAGTCTGCCTCTGAAGTCAGAATTTATGTTAGAAATTATTATCCTTTGAACCGAAATCTTCTCTTCACCCGCTTGAGTGTCAGCTTTAAACGAGGCCATGGATCTAGTTTTCATTTGTAGGTCATTACAAAACTCGGTCAGTCAGGTCACATTGAAGAGCTTGGCGTGAGATATTGCAGTTGGAAATCAATTGTGCCCATATAAGGAAGGCAATTTGGACAAGAAACAAGACTTAAGATCCTCTCATATATTTTATCACTCTTTTCCAGTGTGCCTTTCCCAGAATACATACAGAGACATTAAAAAAAATGGCAAACTTGAGTAATCTGACTATTAAACTTCTTTGTATTTTGATCAGTAGCATACCCCCAACAACTCAACTCTTAACCCTTTTCAGTGGTTGATCACTTTATTTGGTGTGATCAGAGTAAAAAAATAAATAAATAAAAAACATATGGAGGGTATAAAAGGAAATGCGGCCAGCGTGTATCCAGGGATTTGCCTTCACTGGGGTGTGCTGCTGTGAGACCAAGGAAAGGAGAGAGAGGGAAAATGGGGCCAGATAAACCAGGTTAGAGCAGATAAGACAGGAACAGGAAAGGATATAGATAGATATTAAATGAAGGAATAAATCAGTTAGGGCCATAGAAGGTAAATATCAATCGGGTCAAATGATTTCAGGGAGTTGTCTCAAAGTAAGTAGCTCTGATGTCCTTCCTAAAACAATTTAATTATGATTAGCAAGAAGAGTAAGTCCACATCATGCAATCCAAACAAATAAGTATAATAAAAAACAACTGTCAGATTAGTTTAAAATAGCTTTTCTGACCTTTACGTAACCCGGAAATTCCCACTGAAATTTAGAATCTTTTTTTAGGGGAGTCCTGACCCAAGAGAGGACCCTATTTTTTTAAGAGGGAAAACCAAGCACCTGAGCAGACATGGGGAGAAACGTGCAACATCCACACAGACGAGAGACCTAATCACTGCATCACCATGGCATTCATTTTAATTCATTTTACAAAGCAACATAACTATACATCTTTTTTTCTTTTGTATTTTAAGAAAGAAAGACACCTTTCTCACTAAACATGTGCCTAAGGAATGTGTATTCATTTTAACCCAAAAATAATGCAGTAGTTTTCTTGAAATGTATTTTGGCACACCAGATATGGTAGAGAGGATGTTCTGCCAAGTCTTAACCTGCTCAGTGGAGATTTAGATAAGTGACCTGCAAGGACTCTGTCTGTCTATCTGAGCCATACTATCAGCCATTAGCACCAATGTGAGCACACAGAGCATTTATGAATCTTTTACAAGATGAACCACTGAGCGCGTGAACAGCATTCATCTGCAGTGGGTCCGATCCTGACAGACAGCCTTTTAAACAGCTTAAGTGGGCTATTATTACTCAGCTCGTCTACGGGGACGATAGGATTTAGCACAGGCTGCTTTTGCAATAAAGGTCAAACAGCTACTGAGGACCTTATTAGGATGTAATTTTCTATAAAAACTCATCACTGTAGATCTGTCTACTTCTGTGCATTTTTGTTCAGATACAAATTCAAACAGGGCACCAAAGCATATACCACCTCAGTGTTTTTACTAGAAGCTTTGTCAGCCAGTGTAGTGTACTACCAAGATCAAATGTAAAGAGTGTATGCATCTTACCAGTGTTGACTCTTTCACAAATGAAAAGACAATGATTAAAAAAGGAGTCAGAGCAAAGGTCAGGACCTGAGGATGTTGAGGATGACCTTGAGTTGACAGAAATGTAATTAATAGGTAGAGGGAAACCAATGACAGATTAAGGCAGGAGGTGTGGCAAGGGGACTACTCACAAACAGTAGATGTGGAGGGGATAAAGTTATCAGTCAAAATTATTGACTAAAGTGGAACTGTAAAATAAAATGTGTTCAGCTCAAACTGTATGTTCCTAGAGTATTTTTGAATCAGTTTTGAAGTTCAGTTACATGTCATCGGGTGGTTTCAACAAAAGACTTATGTTCTTGGACAAAGGCCTCATAAACATGTGTGATCACTTAATATCTCTATCTACCACTTTACTTTTTATTTTTAACTTTTAACTTCAAAAGCTGTAATCAGATCAAGTTGTTTTAGACAGTTAAAAATGCCTTGAAAATACCTTAATGAATCTTTAGAGAATTCAGATCTAACGTGAAAAACTCAACACAGCAGTTATGGTTCTTCTTATTAGAGTAAAAACCCTCCTTGTGGTCACGATGCTATTTCTTGAAATCTCATGACATTTTTCAGCATTATCAAAAACAACAACATTTTCATCTTAAATTGTTCAACACTAAATGACTGGTGTGACACCTGCCCTGTTGCTAATTAAACCATGATTAGTCACAGCACAAGACCACAGTGTGTGAAAGGATCTTTAACAAAACAACAGTGTCATTTTAACCACCTGCCTGCTGCAGCCATATGTGTTTAAAAGGGCTGTATTTGTCAACATGAAAAAAGTCTCTTTCTACGGCTTCAACAATATCACAATACTGACTAATATATACCATATTGAATAAAAACATGAAAAAAAAAGTACAATTTCATCTTGTTTAGATCCAAATGTAATTAACTGCACAACCCTCCAACAAACACCATATTATGAAAACAACAAACATGAAACCTATACTCATCTATACTCATGCTCCCTTATACCAAATATATTTGTTACAGAGGTGGACAGGCTTTGCATTTGGTAGTTTATGACTATGGACAGTGTTGGGGAGTAACTGATTACATGTACCGAAGTTACGTAATCAGAGTACACATTAAGAGTAACTGTATTCAGTTACAGTTACTGTTTCAGTGAGTGGTCATTGGATTACAGTTACTTTGTTGAAATAAATGGATTACACAGAGGGATTTTCCTGTTTTCACATTTCTTCTCATTTTTTTTTTTTTTTTTTTGGTAATTCCACTCATTGCCGGACACTAAACCAGGTCTAAACCCAGGTCCAAACCAGGTCTAAACCCAGGTCTAAACGAGGACTAAACCAAGACTAAACCAGGACTAAAACCAGGTCTAAACCAGGTCTAAAACCAGGTCTAAACTAGGACTAAACCAGGACTAAACCAGGACTAAAACCAGGTCTAAACCAGGTCTAAACCAGGTCTAAAACCAGGTCTAAACTAGAACTAAACCAGGATTAAACTATGTCTCAAAAAGGATTTAACAGGACTAAATCATGCTGTGCAGGCCGTGTCTCCTCTTCTTCTATCAATAATATTTTTAATTTGGTTCAGTAAAGTCTGGGCTTTTTATTTTCTTTTATCAGACAAACATTTTATGTTACAATATCCTAGTCTTTGCTGCTCTACAAGTATCAAGTAATCCAAAGTATTCAGATTACGTTACTCACCTTAAGTAACTTAATTGATTACGTTACAAACTACATTTTGGGGTATGTAATCTGTAATCTGTAGGGGAATACATTTTAAAAGTAACCTTCCCAAAACTGACTATGGAATTATTAAATCTAAATGTCAGAAAAGAATAAACAATTTCTGATCTTCATAAAGGAAAAAAATGTAATTATTTTACTCTCAAATTAGAAGCCTTCAGTCACCACCGTATTCTAAGTTATTGCAAAAGTGTCAATGTACAGTGATAAAATGATCAAAGAGGGGTTGCTCAAATTGCAAACAAGTTTGACAACAATAACATGACTTTTTTACTATTCTCTGTCAAACATGTTTAAATCTTACAAAGGTCACTTGATTCACGCTAAATTGCTGAGGAAACATAACTTTGTTCCCATTTGTTGTGACGCTTCTCCCTCGGGACTTCTCCCCAAAACTTTGGGAACAAAAATTTAAATGACACAAGACTGTCAGAGGAGCAGAGGTCACTGCAGTGTGCATCCAGGAGGAGCTGATCTGGAGACATTTAAAAGATTTCTAACGCTTTCTCTGACCTAGAATGAATTGTAAACACATGTTTGTCTTGTTTTGTTTGAAATTAGGCTTAATGTAAGGTTGTTTCCATTAAACAATTTATTAGTACAACTGTCACACTCTTGTAAATGGACAGTCATGCTAAGATTTGAATGTGTTGCTTCCAGAGTCATCAATAAACAAAGAGTGAGAACACTTTGCTGTGGCTGTGGGTAAGTTCATGAATGTTATAGTTTATGTTAGTTAGTCATTTCTGCACCATTCTAAAAGTGAGGTTATCAGTTAAAGTAAAAAGATTAAAACAAAATAAAATCTCTGTATCTTTCAGAATAAAGGAAAATATTTGACAACCAACAAAGCACAGATGGACAAAGTAAACCAACTCAAATTATTCAAACAGAATGATATTTTTTCAAAATATACTTCCTAATAACCATTTATCAAATGTTTCTACAGGATGATGGGGCAGTAGGACTTTGTACCAGACAAACTGCAATTTGAAAAGAAAAGCAGCAGATGGTGAATGCAGTTTCTGCATGTACAATTCTGTTCTGGTCCATTACTGTATTAGATAGTAATTAATGCTTTAAGTATATTTAAATGTCTACACAAAGTAGATAATCATAATGTAATCAATCATGTGTTACTCCTGTGTCCACAGGCAGAGACCAGAGCTACTTCACTGGAATAAGTCTTTACATTGACCAGCTCCAAACTGTGTCATTGTACCTGTGCTCTCTCTGTGTGTTTGATTCTGTTTAAGACAATACAGAACAGTGGAAAACTGTTTACTGTTTTGTTTTGCATGTCAAAGTAATTGTGTAGACAGAATTAAATTATATATAAAAAATAACACCATAAAAAGGCAAATTTATCATAATTTAACATAAGATAAATACGCGTATTTATTATGATTTGATCACTTTTCATCAACATGAAACATGTTCTGAGAAAAATATGTGCAGAAAGGATCAAAGCCTCAAAGTCTAAACATAATTTTATTTTTTACACAAAACCAGTAACCTTTTTTTTCAGTATTAAAAGAGGTATATTAACTTGACTAATCAAAAACATTATTGCTGATTAGTCAACTACTAAAATAATAATTTGTTGCAGTCCTACATGTAACCTAATTTTTAAGGAGTTGACATTTTTAGAAGTTGAGCAAATTCACAGTTAATATTTTGTAAAAATACAATCAGACCCTTACCTCTGAATTTCTTGGGGGGGTTGTTAAGGTCACCAGTATCTGGTTGTACCACACAGCGGTCATCCACAAGTCTGAAAACATGTAATAATGGTTAGTCACTCAACCAAGAAAATAGTATCAGTTAGGGCTGAGCAATATGGCAATATTTTTCCCAATATTTTCCCAAAGATAAATCAATTCCATTCAATATTATCTTTTGAAAAACAAGTTTGTATTGTGAAATTAAACCAGTTTCATCTGTCTTCAGATTGAACTCTGCTCCAACCACATGCTTTTCTAGACAGAGGATTAGTTATAGACCCTTTGATCAAAAAATCCCAACCATATCAGTGACAACTGGAGTTGACTGAATGTCAGTATTGCTTAAAAAATAGTTAAAGTTAAAAAAGTTAAACCTGAGGTTCAACTAAGGGATTAAAAATTCTACATGTGAATATTTAATTATTTTTGATGCATTTGTCTGAAAAAAAAATCTATCTAAACATTTCCAAATACAATCCTGGCATGTAACGGTGCTGAAAATGAGACAAGTTTACTGGTAATTATTAAGCTCCAAGTCAGTAACACATTAGACTAATAGCAAAGCCTTGTGAATACAATTAGAGAAGCACTAAACCTGATTAGTGATATTAAAGTGAGCCATAGTCATAAGTTGAAACAGTTTAAAAGTTGATCTTAAAATCCATAGTAAGAGTAACAGAACACTTAGCTCAGGTCTCCAAGGTAACTTCATCAACATCAAAAGAATTCCACATTTACTGAAAGAGACAATGTCCTCAAAAGGATTTTTTATTTATTTTTTTCTGAAATAAGGGCACATTTTAGGTACAAAATGCTAAAACAACTCTGTGGTATGTGGTAACACATAAGCTCTTCTAAGCCTAATGCCAACTCTAAGCAGTGAATAGTAAAATAATAATGAAAGTTTAAACACAGAATTATTTTAATGGGTCAAAAAGACGTCTGACTGGTTACATGGATAACCCATGGTGATTCATTTTCTTCACATTGTATATACGCTATGCAATTAATTTTCTCAGAGGTTAAAAATTAGAAATTTAAGCTACAATAACAGAGAAATTAATTAATCTTCCCTTTAAAATAAAATAATATTGTAACTAAAATCAACACACATAAGACATCCATTTTCAATCTCAGTCATTTTAAATGAACAAATCTTGAAACAAAATGATTAACATTATAATAGCTAGAAGGTTTTATAGAACTCCACTTTGTGGAGTCAAATGGACTGCTTTATTATTGTTAAGGTGGTTTTGTTTCTCATAGGCCCAACAAGAAATGAAATGCTAGAATTAAGTACAGAGTTATGTGCAGAATTTTGGAACTGTTCACCATAAAACCAAATACTATAAAACTCTATTTATCAACTACATCAGAGCAATCTTGTAGTGTTGTCACTATACTAAAATTACAAACTCAGTTTAGAAATAGGCTTGATAACGTATACCACAATGATATTAAAACAGTTTCATTATTACCATGTGGTCTCAAACTTGTTCTGACAAAGGTCTAGAGCATGCGAAAAATATTAAGATGTTGTGGCATCACAAGGGGTGTCAGCGGCAAAAACAGTTACAAACTCGACCACAATCTCAAAAACAAGAACACATTTTTTGAGTCATACACACTAGTCTCAGCTCGGCCTGTCACAATTATTACTATATCGACTTATTGTTCAATATATGAAAGCTGGAGCAATAATTTTAGGTCAGTATTTATTGTGTGCACTTTTTCTTTGGAATAGTGGGATTTTTCTTCTTTTTTTTTTTTTCAAGTTTAAGCCGTAAAAGGTTGAATTAATACCGTCTATTACCTCATTACCGATGCAAAGTAACTACTAAGAGATTCATTATGCTGTTTATTTATGGCATTACATTACATTATTGTAAATTTAGAATAGTTCTTGTGGTTTAAACCTTCTTTTGGGATATTGTCAGAGGGATTCATAAGTTTCATTATTATCATTGTTGGTATATATTTACTTCACCGATATATCACACTTAAAAATGTCTTAGCGTGACAGGACTGCTCCCTACTGCATCAACAAATGAAAAAGTCTTCCTCCTTCCCTTGGTGGACAGGTGTTAGTTTAGGGGTCACTCTTAGCAGCGTCAGCATCAGCATCACCTAATACAAAAGAATAATGCTATTTATAACTGTGTCCTCTACCGTGTAATGTAGAGGACTCAAAGGCAGAAGCGGAGGGCAGACTTATCAGCAGGCATAACTACACAAGATGAGAGATTTGACAAACAAGCTTCAAAGATGTGCACACATTCAGTTGCCATGGAAGGTGACGCACAACACCCAACTGTGAAAGAGCAAGGATTCTGCGAAAAAAGGGACTCGCAAGTGGTAAACACACCAGTGACACAGCAAGAGGAAGGAGACTCCAGCTCGTAAAGGAGAAGAAGAAGACAACACATGTGCCTCTCATAGTAGAACCGCTGACATGAAGAACCAAACAAACAAACAAAAAAAAAAAACAACTAGACATAGAGTGGGGAACATTTTCACCAAACATGGCAGATTGGGCACTCGATTAGCCCTGATAATGATGTACTTCTAAACTCAGGCTGTAATTACAGAGGAGGGAAGATGTCAAGTGATGGTGCTTAATGGCTCCCAGTGCAACAGGAAGAGACAGGGTAATTTAAGGCCGGCCAGACACAAAGATACAGCAAATAAAATGAGAAAGACTGCCAGTGATCTACCACCACTAACAAATTATTATACACTCAGATATTCAGTGTCAACAGTGGAAAGTGTATTAATTGTTACTATCACTTAACCACTATCCTTAATCTACTCATTTCAGGAAAGTTTTCTGAATCTGGCCCATAGACTTTATATATTATATTCCAAATAGGAAGTGTTCATGGAGACGCTTTCGGCTCCATTGATGTTGGTTTCCAATTGACTTTACATTGAAAAATCGCCATCCCTCTTTCTGTAGTTGCTGCTGTGAGACTCATTCACTCATCATTTTGGTTGTAAAATGTTCATATTGACCTGCTCTACATGATCCTGGTGTTTTTATTTCACTAGTTTGTCTGTAAATAAATCCCTATTCCTAATATGGACCCGCCTCCAAATTCGCCCCTTTACCCGCCACCAACGTGAGCTTCATTTGAATGGAGCCAAACACTATGGGTGACGACACACTCGCTTAGTCCATGTCTTTATATGGTCTATGATCCGGCCAGTAACCTGAGACTAATATTGATATTGGTGCATCAACCACAATGATATTAAAATAAATAAAACAAAACAAAAAAACATGGCACAAAGTAATAATAGTTTCATTATTATGTGGTCTTATATTTGTTCTGATAACGATCTAGAGCATGTTAGAAATATTTAGGAAAGGTCAGATTTTGTCCTATTTATGCAATTTCTTTTTCAGTGTCAGTAAGCTTAAAATTGTGTCTAGTTTTGACACCAGTTTTAGCATTTAATTGTTGATACTTTTGACAACCCTACAATTTACTGGAATCATTAAAACTTGCACAAGGTTATAATATAGGATATATTAACAACGTGCCGAGAACCGTCAGAGCTATTACTGTGCTTCCTGCAATAATTATATTTCGTAGTGCTCATTAGGAAAGTTAGAAACGCAACATACCCCAAAGTGCTGATGAATCCAGCGGTGGATCCTTCTGCATACAGGGAGCAAATGTCCCCTATGTGGAGGAAACTTGACATCTTGTCTGACATGGTGCCTAAGGTTTGGACTGAAACAATAAACAAGCAGTAAATATTAGAGTAATGTTGTATGTCTATCTATAAGAAAACAAAGGTTATTTAGATTTCTGATGAAAGAAGATGAAACAGGTAAATAATACTAGGTTATTCCATAGGGTGCTTTCACTGGAGCCAATAGAAAGAATGACTGAAATGAACTGGATAAAACATTTTGAAACATGCCTTCAACTCATTTAACATTGTGGCCTAAGAAAAACTCTTGTTATAAAGTAGTAAATGATGCTTTTGTAGTAGACACTTCGATAAACTGTCGGCTGGAACATTAAATTATAGCCTACTCTTTGAGAGACATGACAACTCTCTTGACAGCCCATAACCACACAGATCTGCTAGCTAAATGAGGCGTCCCTACATTCACTGTACGATCTTTCTACTGTAAAACATGCGCGTGGGCCACTTCCTTAAAAGGGATGCTGAAACAAAAAAGAACAATGCTTGAGCTGGAAAACTAGGCTTATTTTACCTGGCACGAAGCAAAAGAAGGCGGCAAAGACAAGAGCAGGCAAAAGCGTTCAAGTGGGTCAGCGAGGGATCATTTACAGCGCGCTATCCCCAGGTTTAAATCCATGGCCGTGAAACTCCAGGTACGGGAGAAGTGGCGGAGCGAGCGGCGTTATCTCTGACAGCTGAATGTGCCCTCAGCAACAATCCGCTTCTTACCTCCTCCACATGTCACTGAGGAACGCCCCTTTCGTTACTATTTATATGGACCGCATAATACCGCAAGGAACTCTGGGAAATGTAGTGCAAACACACACACAAAAAAAAAACAAACAAAAAAAACACACAACTTGGGCTCATGCTTTGGCAATGTTAGCAGTGTCGGGGAGTAACAGATTACATGTACCGGAGTTACGTAATCAGAATACAAATTATGACTTATATTATAACTCTATTCAGTTACAGTTACTGTTTCAGTGAATGGTAATTGGATTACAGTTACTTTGTTGGAATAAATGGATTACACAGAGGTATTTTCCTGTTTTCACATTTTGGGCTATATGCCCTTTTTTTTCCGGTAATTTCACTCATTGCCGGACACTAAACCAGGTCTAAACCCAGGTCTAAACAAGGTTTAAACTAGGTCTAAACCAGGTCTAAAACTAGATCCAAACCAGATCTAAACCACCTGGTTTAGACCTGGTTTGGACCTGGTTTAAACCAGGACTAAACCAGGACTAAAACCAGGTCTAAACCAGGCCCAAACCAGGTCTAAAACCAGATCTAAACCAAGACTAAACCAGATCTAAACCAGATCTAAACCAGGACTAAACCAAGACTAAAACCAGGTCTAAACTATGTCTCAAACAGGATTTAACAGAACTAAACCATGCTGTGTGGACCATGTCTCCTCCTCTTCTATCAATAATATTTTTAATTTGGTTAAGTAAAGACCAGGCTTTTTATTGTCTTTTAGCAGATAAAACATCTTACATTATGATTTCCTCGTCTTTCTTTCTCTACAGCAAAGCAAGTAATCCAAAGTATTCAGATTACGTTACTCACTTTAAGTAATTTAATGAATTACATTACAAACTACATTTTGGGGTATGTAATCTGTAGGAGAATACATTTTAAAAGTAACCTTCCCAACACTGAATGTTAGGCAACTATTTTATTACACAGAGATATCTTTTTTTTTTTTTCGATTAAATGGAAATATTCATAACATAATAGGAGGTAGTTTAGGGAAAATTATCATAGGCCTATAGTGAATACATACAGCCCACAGCAGCCCCCCTGCTCATCCCCACTTTGCTGAAGCATAGCACTTTAAGCCATTGATTAAAAGCATGTCACAAACAGAGGCTCACACCGCTTAACAAGAAGGGTTCTTGCTGTGGGGTTTGAACTGGCATGAATACACAGATTAATTATGTTACTTTTGTTTAGGCTGTGTTCTTTGTCAGGTTTGTTCTGTGCAGTTAGAATCAGGTCTGTTTTGTTTGTGGAAGTTCATTGTTTTACACTCAAACCCATTAGGTAAAATATTTTATAGTCTGTCTTTAACATTTTACATTTACATTAAAAAACAGAACCCAGCAACAGAACAAGCTATGTGTCTCCATCTGTTAAACTAGTGATAGGCATAAGAACCATATGCAGGCCTGTCGCGATAACAACGTAAATATAAACAATAAACATCATATTATAACTAATTTAAGCCACTGGCACAACAACCCAAGCAGATTTAAACCACAAAAATGATTCTAAATCTGCAATACTGTTAAAAAAAATCATGAGTTATAATAAATAAATAGCAGAATGTAATACTTTAGTAATGTATTTATTCAACATTTTACCCCATATGATAGAAATATGGAGAAACAAAAGTAGGATACAGCTATTATGTCCAAAAGTGCATTACAGCGCTAAATAATTCCACTTAGCAGATGTTAATGAGATTTTGAACATTAGAAGAATAAGTGAGGTTCAGAAGTATCCATTACCAGATATGAGCTTGTTCTTTTTGTTACCTCCCACTTCTGCTTTCCAGAGACATAATGATAGCAATTAGACTGTAGTTTGTAAATGTGTTTTCCAGTGAAGCATGTTCCATTTCCTATCCATAAAACCAAAGTTTGTCATTGGAAACTGTCTAACAACAAAACATTTGCTAATTGCAGATGGATCCACTTACCGGGAGTAATTTCTACTTAGTGTGGCAAATGTAGGCATTTCTCAAGAATATAAAGCCACAACTGTAAATCCAAATCTTCAATCACAAGACCATTGAATGTCTGTCTCCAAAGTACCCATTCTGTATGTTCTGATTTCATCAACTTAGACCCTTAGAGAAAAACCTTTATTAAAAAAAATATTACAATACATTTTTTGACAGTAATTAAAGTGAATTCAGAGACCATCAGTTGTCATGGATACACGAGCACAAGCAAAAGATGGCTTTATCACTGTACTAAAGTAAAAGTGGACAAAAATGCTGTTGTGTGATAAAGTTGATCTGAAGTCAATACAGACAGCTTCATCAGTTTGAATATAGTAATGCACAAACACAACTATTGTACCATAGAATAGAAAGGGAACCTAGCTATCTTTAATAACTCTTTGGCAACTCTGAGCACAGCCTCCACTGTCGACTATAGCTCATTTGATTTTGCATGTTATTTTGATGCTTAGGTTTAGCATCCCCAATGTAGCCCCAGTGTGACAAATGTATGAAGAGTAAATGGTATGGCCGCCACAACATGCCCACTGAGCATGGCTTTAAATCATTATAAACACAGCAAGGAAGCAACAAAAATAATATTCACCTGCAGATCAATACCCCTGCTCAACCAATTATTAACACCGGTAATGAGATACCACCAGGCAAGAGGTGACAATGATATAGTCTTTATATGGCAGAATACACTCTAAGGACTGCCACAGTGACCAAAGGCAAATTCACTGTCCGTATCACTGAGTAAACATTGGTAACACTAAAACCAGAGAATGATACTGTATGCTTCCTCTATCCCAGTCAGCGATGCACATAATGTCCCTATACCATCACAGGCAAAGATCATTAGCTTTAATTACACACTGCTAACCAGCATGAGAACTAAATGTGCTGCTTGACTTGGCAACTTTATGTAACACTTTGATTTAAGGTAGTTTTCATCTTCACTAAAAATAAGAACAATTATTCCACTTTAATGGCCTGCATATTCCCAGTAGGGGACAGCTGATTAGACCTGCATATATTTTAATTAGGCCTGTCATTTTGTGGTATAACCATAAAGCGGGTTGGAGAAAAAAAGTTTTGCAGTCTTGATCATTGCACTATTTTTATTTTCCGTTGTGCATCATTCGTGATCAGAGGAAATGGAATTGATTTAATGGACACCTGCACAGAGCTGATCAGACAGTGAAGGATCATCACCATGGTTACAGAATAATCAATATGACACAGTGTACACAAGTGCCAGGAAAAACGATGTGCCAGATGTTTGCCCTGTGAGAACAGATGCACAGTTACTCGCACCTACACGTATGAGTTAATCCAATAGAAAGAAACATATCCGAGGATGCGATGGTCTGAACACCCAGAACATGTTGTATAAGCTTCTTTAACTACCTCTAATCTAATAGGCTCAGTTGCATGGGGGAACTCAAGGATTCACTTTCACCCACTTCATTACCTAAACATCTACCATTCCTGAGATGTTACACTTGTTGACATACAGATGCAGCGGTGTCATACAAAATTTTGGGTGAAATGTGTATTGTTTAAGGAAGAAATATATAAACATACACATTTAAAATAAACACTAATTTGTTCCAATAAAAAACTGAGGCTAACAAAACATTTTATGCTACCTTTTCCACAATATAAACATTGTTTTTATTTTATGTATTTTTGAGTCAATAAGATTTTGTGGTTTGTTTTCCTATGCCTATATTATGTTTAATTCTAAAATAAACCAAGTATCTTTCACACTATCTGATGAATGTTAAAGTGTTGATATACAGCTCTTTCATCTTAAATCCATTTAATTTACCATTGTCATCTTTAGACATTGAGTGTTGTGCTAAATACTTTTCTACTGCAAATGGCAAACTGAAACTGAATTTGTGACTGTCATGTGACTTGTACACCTTCCACCTGTGAATTTCACATGCAATGATAAAGACGCAAATCAAAAAATGTTGAAATAAGAAATAATAATAAAAACAAAAACGAAGCATATCGGAGTACAGTGGATCTCTACTTTCATCTAGTTAGTTTTTTTTATTTTTTTTTATTATGTAAGTGCTTCGCGGGACTGTGTGTGTATTTTCTGTCTTGTGCATTGTAGTTTACAACAAAATTTTACTAGCCTTACCTTATTTAGATAATAGGTACATGAACCCCTATTTCTGGTGACCTCTGAAAATGTGAGTAACAAGCTACATACCATTTTGGTCCACTGACTTGTTCGCTACAATCTTCAAAATTCGAAGCAAGCAGAAACCTGAGTACATTCCATAGGGGAAAGGTCAGGTATGTAAGACTAAAATCTCTAATGACCTGAATGACTCTTACTTCCTTAAGCTATAGCCTACACATTTTAGTAGTGGAATGTATTCAAGCCTGTTTAAGAAATTCTATTACAGCATAGAATAATATGGAAAGCCAAGTCAAGGACATCTACTTCCTCATCAAGGAGCTGCTCTAATTTAGTAGCAATACATTTGCATTGGTCAGACCACTGCATCCTCCATAGTTCTTGGCTTCTTTATAAGTCTGATGGACAAGGCGACTTTCTTCAAATTACATGGACTCTACTCTTGGCAGGGCGTTTGGGCACACTCAAATTAGAGTGAACAGTAGTTGAGCAAATGGTAGAAATATTCCTGATTACAAGTTGGTCATAAGCCACTCTTCAGACTAATTGGAGGCATTATGTTGAGAGGATCATGTTCACTTGTGTTGTTGTGTGTGAAGGGGAGGGGCTTTGAAATAGAAGTTCACCTCATGTGATTAACTGCTGGTTGCTAGGTGACCATTATGGAAAGGCACCATTCATCCACTCTCTGTACCTCTGAACCAATCACTGTCATGCAGCACAGTCGCCTCCTGTACACACACCCGATCACCATGGAGATCTCAGGGACATCTGACACACAGAAAAATGTGGAATTCAGAGAGGCAAAAGCTATTGGCCCACACTGGCCATATGACTTTTGTGTAACAATTATTGTGTAGTTCCTCATTATACTATTATATGAAAGAGATGACGTTTTGAAAACAAAAAGAAATAATTCCACTATTGATTTTGTCATTTGTAATCTGGTTATGTTTCTCTGCTTTCACATTATGTTTTCCCAAGGTCAAAGTACGACCATCAGTTTCATTCACATTATCATACCACTGATTCTGTTTTTCAGTCACTGAGACATGGACAGGGCATTGCAGAACATGTAAACATAAAAAAAAATCAATTTAAGTTTTCTCCTGCAGTTCTAAGACAGCTTAGTAAGGACATTGTTGTTAACTCAGGACAGAACTGAAATAAAATGGGTTTTGTTTTGTCTGACACAAATCAGTCATTTTGATAGCTGTCTCTGTTCAGTGGCTGCTTCCATGTGTCCTATCCCTCTTCGGTCTCTCATGGCTGGGACAGCATTGGTCTCCATTCTAATTAACCCAGATGTGGATATAAATAATCAGAAAGCAGGTCTAGACTAGAAGCAGGGCAGATTTCAGAATGGTCACACTAAAGTAGGACATCACAGTCCCTCGTTTGAAGACATTTCTATATAAAAACAGCCCTTGGCCCTATTTAATTGGTCTCACCTCTCCTGTGGTTTTATTGCTATGAGAAACTGAAAAGATAGTTAGAGGGAAAACTCTGCATGAAGATGACAAAGAAATATAAGATTAACACACATTCCTACTTTTTACTAAGTGCAAGTAAGTACAGAGCAGTGGGTGGAGATAGGAGGTAGGTGAATTTTTTGGCACCTCAACCTGAGGAAATAAAGGATTACTCAAAAATACATGAATTATTCCAATTCAACTCTGAGTAAGCTAACGGCACATGAAGATTGTTATAAAATGGTTAAAAACTCTATTTTACATAATATGGGCCCTTAAAGTGATGTTTTATTTTTCTGTTTACGATAAATGCCCAGAAATTGGTTTAATGAATTCAGAGCAGATGTAATGTAGTCATATAGGTCTCACCTGTGCTCGTGCCAGATTGCACCAAAGATCTTATAGGCCTCAAATCTCCCAGATTTGCAAGAAATAATTTGTTTGCTTAAGATAATGCATACTAGTACAAACAACACTATCTGAGAATTGATATATCTAAAGGAAGAAACCCTGTACAGTTTTTCATGCCACAATAGCAAATTTTCTTTTGGAGTCCATCTGTTCCACTGGCCTCAATGGGATCTGTTAGATTGGAACATGGCCCTTGTGGATTACAAAAACCTCTGTATTCTCCTGAGTAGTCAAATGTTAGTTCCTCTTTTGCCTTGATGTCCCGTCCGGCAAACAGGGCCAGCTTGGGTACCACAGAGTGCACCCTCACTGGTACCATGAACAGGTTGGGTAAACAAGAGTGGTTGAGGAAGCGCCCTACATTTCCAATCTCAGCCGGGTCAATAAACGTTTCTGTGACATTTTCTGTTCCTGCATGCTCCCTCACAGCGATGATGTAATTACTGTCTTTTGGTCCTTGTGCAAGCTGTCTTCGCCTGGCTTCTTCAAATCCGATCACTTCTCCAGCATATTCACACACAAACGCTCCACAGTGGATCGGCTCTAGAGTCCGCACACCCCAGCCCCTGTTTGTGGTCCAAAATATTTCCACTTTATGTCTCACTCCCACCTGCACCACACGATTATAGCAGGAGTCACCGCAGAGACAAAGGGCGTTGCATTCAAAAACAGGGGTAACATATAGGTCCGTGTGTTGGACCAGCAGTCTGCCCTGGATGGTACGCCTGTCCATGAGTCTGCAGACACGAGCAGCTTTCCAGAACACAGGAGTGGGAAACACAAGAGCATCCAGGAAGAGTGACTTCACTTGGGTCAACAGCCCAGCCGGGGCCCTGGACATTCTCTGGGGAATACTGAAAAGAATATGAATTAAAATGTTATTTTTACGTTGACAAATGTAGAACAATGTGAGTATCATCTGTTATGGGCATGCAGTGAGTATTTTGGCTTCATAACATGAATGCTGAAATAGCAGTTATTTATTATCACCACTAAAGGCTACATGCTATATATTAAGCCTGGCTCGTATTATTTATACCTACAGCATTCCACCTCCACATGCATGACACTGTTTTACTTTAAGTTGACATTTTTATTTGATAACCTCATTTTTAGTTTGCTCACATATTATGTAGGCTATTCATAATAACAAAGAATGGTCAGGTCCCTAAAAAAAGGGGCATTGGGGCACTGAAGTGGGTCAGCGTCGCTGAGGTTATTTTCTAAATTGGTTGTTTGCTGCCACATTGTGGTTGTTATCCATATAGCAAAAACAGAGACCACAGCGTCATCTGTCAGATGCGAATCTCTTATTTGGGTTGCCATTTACAATGCCGAAATCCAGTTGCCCTGAAAGCACACTCTCTGAACTGGATCCTCATTACCTACACCCCTGCCCCTGCAGCCAATCACTGATGAGTGCTAGTGGAGCCTCTGCAGTGAATTCTGGAGTTTTCACGTGAGGCATGGCCTTTCTATAGAAACAAACTTGCATGTGTCCTAAACCCTGCAGATGCAAATGCGACTTCATTCGAACATACTTCATTAAGAAACAGCGGGTAAATTTAAATGCGATTAAGATAATTCCAATTCTTATTGTAATTAATTGTAAACCCATGTTGAAAAGGGCATGGTAAGTGCTACAGAAAACCTAAATAGGCTAGAGAACTTACTTGAAACTGGGGAATCGTAGATGAGACCACATTCTTTTCTATTAAAATGGGGACATTTTCTAAGCCAGAACTCAAGTCGACCACATCCCGGGAAAAGGCATCCATAACTAAAGCTATGCTCAGTTATTTGAATAGATCCATAGCTCGGGCTCAAGCATATGCCGCATGGACGCAGATGAAAACAAACTGACTTCCGGGAGGTCAAAGAAAAGGACTCCCTCTAGTGGCAAGGACGTTGTTTCTTCGTACAATTGCTCTTTGACACGCTTTAGATTTATATATATATATATATATATATACACACACACACACACACACACACAATTATTAATTATTATTTTATAACTAGTTCTGTTTAAATTGTTTTTGATCATTCCTGGGAATGGGGGGGGGGAGTTTTTTACAACATAAACTGTCCAGCAGGTGGCAGTGAGACATTAGATCAATTTGAATGGTTAGACACAGAACTATCTGAGATTAGCGTGTTCATTGAGAAATCAGAAGTGAGTGACACAGTATAATAATATTATATTTGTATATTTTGTTAAAATGTAATTAGTTCTGAATATGCATTGCCATTGAGTATCTCTTAATAAATAAGAAGTGGGTCAGTGGTCCTCATGCACACAGTTGGAGCTGAGATCACATTGCTATTTGTCATTTACAAATGCAGATGAATAGTTTTTTTTTCCTGTGGTGGTGGTGATGATGATGATAATGATGATAACTGTTGCTCATCGCAGTCTCCAGGCAAAGCCAGAACTGGCAATTTTTGTGAGAGCACTGGCCGCCCATTCACTGAAATACATTATGATAAAGATCTGATATGGATACAAAAATACAAAATACCGTATGAGAAACTGATTGACACTTTGACTGATGAGAAATCCATGGAATTAGTTTACTGATTCAAAAATTAATCTATCTTCCATATATAGCATCATCTTTTTGTGTTATTTATTTCCCTTTTATATATATGTGTGTGTGTGTGTGTGTGTGTGTGTGTATGTGTGCATGTGTGTGTGTTTATGTGTGTGGGTGTGTGTGTGTGCGTGTGTGTGTTTGTGTGGGTGTGTGTGTGTGTGTGCGTGTGTTTGTGTGTGTGTCTTTTAGCTCTAAACATGTTTTAAGATTAATTCCCTTTCTGACACATTTATGCAACTTTGGAGAAATGCAATTATGGCTTCTCTGGTTAAATAAGGCAACCAGAGAGACAACAAAAACACTTGAATAGCTGAAAAGATTATTTAAGAAAAAAGTAATTATATCAATAGGCTTAGTTGTTTTTCATGGGACTGACATTTAGAAACACACCAGTTCTTCCTTTGAATACTAATACATACATGGCATTTGAAAGTTTATCAGGGAAAAAAAGAACTATATTAAATTGTTATGCCTATGTAATTGTGTGTTTTCTAATATAGTAAAGAAATTGTATTGATTTGTTGAGACAAAAGAGGTCTGCCCTTTTATTACCCTCTGGGAGCACAATTGACCCCAGGTGACTTTGGGTCAGCTCACACAGTCATTAAAACACTCACACATTTCAAAGGAGAATTGATGAGGGGTTCTGGTGTGCAGGGTCATTAAACTGATCATAATAATCTGTGTATTCAGGCTTATTTAACTATAATAGTTGTGAATTTTAAGTTATACTATAATGCTTATGTTCGTCCAGTTTCTGTAGACGTCCCATTGTTTGCTTACTATTGCAGGGTGTTTGTTGTAGCCAGAGTTCCTAGTTAAATAAAAAAGATTGCAGCATGGAAATGAGCTTGTTCTCAGTATCAAGCTCACAGAGTGCACATTCACACAGCAGTGCTTTTTAATTGGGCCCTAGGAGAAAACAGCAACGCATCCCATTTGGCAACCCATTATGGATTTATCATGTGAGTAACTTTATTGAAATGCATCGTGATCTTCGTTGTTCTGTTGTGATTTCTGTTTGTGCCATGTTCAATTAGGTAATACAGCAAGACTAAAAGAAATTTACAAACTGTTTTATGCATTCATCTTGAGATGGAAGTGAATTTAAAAAATGACAATTATTTTCTCTGGAGGATGTTTTTTTTTTTTTTTTTTTTTTTTTTTTTAATCTTTCAGACCATGTGTGAAGGTGTGTTCACACTATCTGGCAACAAAGAGCCAAACATGGCAACTAGGTATCACAGCTATTACATGCCACAGCCACTGGACTTTACATCTCTCTTCAGGTGTAACAAACTCGTGATGAATGTGATGAATGTGCTTAATGCTGCTGTAATTGTAATGATAATTATAAATAAAACACTTGAAAACACTGTTTCTTCTAGTTGCCAATTACAAATTTTAGAAAGGAAAGAAATTCAAATCACTTGATTCCAAGTTCCCAAGAAAACCCAGGACTTTAAGTCCAAGCCTTTCAGTGACTGATGTAATATCTTAAATGAATAAGTGAGTTCCTTGATTTCTGGCAAAAGGAAATTATATATAGGATAATTTTAATTACTCTGGAAATAACACAACTTGCCATCACAATTTGTGTTTCCCTAATGCAGTGAAGAGTGTTCATTCTTCAATTGGGAAAAAGTCACACTCTTTATATATTTGAAAAGCTCATTTTCACTTGGATTACTGGTGTTACTTTTAAATGAAAAAATAAAAAATAAAATAAAATTAGAAAACCCAATGAACTGCAAAATAGTCCATATTCTTCCCCCTATTTTGTTTTGTACACGGCGTCTTTGTTACAGTATCTGTCGCTCCTGTCAGATCTGTCTCCACACCTGTCGACACTACATCATGGAGCAGAGTGCTTGCACCTGTAGGTTCTGACCTCGTGTGTAGTACCTCGGGCACAGGGGACCTCTTTCATTTGATTGCCGTGGGTTCACAGGTGGATGCAGGGAAACAGTTGTCATAGAAACAGACCGGGATGGACACATTGCCTTTAAAAGGGCCTCCATTGACAACTGCCCCAGCCAGCTGATCCGGGTGATAGTGAATGTGCAGACAGGGCTGTCTTCTGTAGAGCACAGAGACGTTTCCAGTGGCAACGGGCTACTGCAACAAATGCCACACGAGTGCTCTGACACCTCTGCCCATCACTGTCAGCACATGAAGAAAACCTTATCCTTTTAACTTGAAAAAGACTAAATCATCATTACAAAAGGATTAGTTGATTCATAGCATCATTCGTGGATTAATTGTTTTTATTCTTAGTTGGAGAATTTTAAATAAATCTATGCATTATGATTTTGGGACACACATGGCTGCTTGGAAAAAATGAGGCCTTGTGTGACAGAGGCCTCTTCTAATGTTGGCCTTCGAGCAGCAGGAAGTAACACTTGTTCCAACAGTATTTGGTGGCTGTTGCCAGTTTAGATTTCTATTTAAAAATGTTGCTATTCTAAAGCAGAAGTTTTTTAAGTTACTATAGTACTACATGTCAATAAAGTTTTGTGTCTAAAGTTTATGATGTAGTTTAAAATATTCTCACTTATATTAGAATGCGATACCAGTGCATTTTAAACAACCACAAGAATGCAGCATGTTTTTCTTTTGCATAACTAAAATATATTAATAATGGCAATAAAAAAACTTTCCAACCCAATTTATGTTTTTATAATTTTACCAATTTATACTTTGTGTGCTGTTCCCTCTCTATTAGAATGCAGTGAATAGCCCATGGGATACACTTGGTAGAAACAATATTGTTATCAGGGTGAATCACAAAAAACAACATGTATTCCATAATCACTTTCTGGTTTCATTTGCATAACAGTATATCTTTGCCAGGCTCACCTGTACTCGGCCTCTCTACAGCCTTCTATACAAATGCATTGTATAATAAGACACGACATTCTCAACATTCTCCTGTCTGTATCTTAGTTTTGAAATTGTGGTACTGGAAGGCATATTGTTCAGTAATTATATTCTCCTGGGATTTAAATGTAAATTATTCTGTGATAATTGCTTTACACAGCCACAGCCCTCTCTCTATCAACACTTAGTGGAGGTTGAAAATGAGAGTTTACAGCGATGCTCATCATTCACAAGTGCTATTTTAGAGGCAATCGTTTAATCTTCAGAATCTTTTGCGTTTGATTTAATTAACATTCTCTTATATTTACAATATCAAAAGATTTGGAAATCACTCTTTAAAATGAGGAAAGATTTTATTGAATTGCTCCTCAATAAACATGTTGGTGTAAACCACAACAAAGCTAGTGATTGTATATGTTTTTAGCAAAAGAAAGCAAAAAAAAAAAAAAAAAGAAGAAGAAATGTGGCTCCTCTACAAACCTAGAATAACATTCATCATTCTACTGCTGGTTTACAGTCATGTCGTTGACGTAACTCTAACTCAAACATGTGAATTTGTGTACAAAAGCTCTGTGAATTCAAAGTTAATACAACATTACATGGCCTTGAACTCTGAAACCAGGTCTTTTACCCTGTATTTGAGATTGCTAAATCTTCATTTCAAATTAGAACTGAAAGCATACTTTTACTTTGATAAGAGTAACTCAAACTACGCTAAATGGAAAGCACCATAATATTAATTCAACAAAAATGATGAACTTAACCCCCTAATAGCTTAGCTGGATTCAGAGTACAGAGTCCCAAAGAGGTGCTAACATTTTCAATAGACAGCATATTAAGTCTAACTTTGTCATCTTATATTAGACAAATTAGCATATATATCTCAGTGCACAACAGTCAACAGTGAAACTGTTTCACAAGTAAACAAAGTTCTGTCAGAGAAAATGGTTTCATCTTCTCTGAAGCTGTGACAATACTCATGCTGTGTTCATCAAAACAGGTACTAAAAATAGAGAAGAGTGACTACTGAGTCCATGAAGCTACACAAAGCTGTTAATCCAGAGTTGAATTCAGACAGGAGGTAAAAAGGCAGTTTGCTAAACTAAAAATGTGGAATGTCTGCTCGACGTTCGCTACCATACGTCAGTCTGAGCAAAGAGAGGACAGATTCTGTAAGAGTCACATAGTTCACTTGTTTAGAAGAGTAAGTTTGTGCTCCTGCAGCAGACATGTACCAGGCTCACACACTACCACATGTAGTAGCTGCGTGTAGTGTCCACCTGGCTGGGTTTGCTCTCTGCTGAGCCTTCCTTCTCTTTTTCACTGTCCACCTCCCACAGGTTAATCAGAGGAGGGTACAGTTCATTCAGTGGTATTGATGAGGTTTTCTGCATGTACTTTTTCAAGGAATGATGATAATTTTTCCTCTTCCACCTTTTGGCAATGTATACACCCAGTGTGGCCAAACTGATGATAGCAAACAGTGTCCCCATGACAACTGCCAGGGCTGTGTTTGTGCCATGGACAGAGATTTCCACAGCAAAAGTAGCCTGCTTTGTTGTCACATTAACACAGGACTTCTGCATCTGCTGGCGGATATTGGATACAGTGAGACAAACCTCATACTCTGTCGCTGGCTGTAGATGAGTGAGATTGTACTCATGGACATCCACAGGGACTCTGGCGGTGTACGTGATATGAGGGTTGTCTATTTTCATGGTGGCAGAGGACCATTTGAGATTAGAGGTCATGACATTTGAATTGATTTTCCAGGAGACTAATATGGAGTGAGATTCTGTCTGCTTGACATAAATCTTCATAAGCTGAGTGGTATCTAACAAAGTGCCATTTACCTGTATAGCCGTTACTCTAGTATCCGCACCTTGTGAATTCTGAGCCACACAGGTGTACCTGCCTGAGTCCTCCACTTGGATATTTGTGATCCTGAGAGTTCCCTCAGTGGTGAGGCTGTACTTGTCAGACAGCATGTCCATCATGATTTTGTTCCCCATCGGTGTCACCCAGTAAATCTCTGGCTCAGGCTGTGACATGGCTCTGCAATCTAAATCTACAGTCACACCAATATCCAGGTTCAGGTGACTAGGGAAGGTATCATGTGCGATCATGGGCAAGCACTGGTTCACTAGCCCCTTTTGGACTACTTCCCTCACATGCAAACCTCGGACCTCTGGAGGCATGGCACAAAACATGGAGAGAGGTTCCATGAAGCGAACAGTTGTTGAATTTGATCCCATCCACTGGATGACACAGTCGCAGCGCAGTGGGTTACTGTGAATGCTGATCTCACGAAGGTTAGGAAGTGACTCAACAGTGGACTGGTACAGGGCATTTAAGGAGTTACTATTGAGCATTAGACTTTCTAAGGCTGGAACGTCACGGAATGCTTGGCGGTTTATGAAGGAAAACTTTGGGTTGTTTGTAGCTTCCAATTTAGTAAGTTCAGGGAGATTATCCAAAGCATAGTGGTCAATAGAAACTAGTTCCGCCATGTTGTTGATAGCTAGTTCTTTTAACTGCAGCATGTTCTTGAAATCACCTTCTTCAATTTTGTGCACAGGATTTTTGTTTAAATCCAAAAATTTGAGGTTGGGTAGTTTCCGTAGAGCTTTTTGTGGAATTCTAACTAGATTATTATCATAGAATGAAAGACTTTCAAGATTGTCAAGCCCAACAAAAGCATTTGGAGGAACATCAGTTAATTCCATTCCAGCCAAAACAAGACTCCGAAGGTTAACCAGCGATCTAAAATTAAAGTCGACAATTCCAGTGACAGGATTTTCCCCAATCATAAGAATCTCTAGGTTGGGTGTAGATTCAAACCACTGGCTGTTGATGCTTTGGAGCTTGTTGGAGTTGAGATGCAGCCTGAGTAGGTTCTGCAGACCTGAAAAAGCATTGGACGAGATTGTATTGATTTGATTGTGATTAATGTAAAGTTCTTGGAGATTACTGAGATCCTGAAGACAAAAATCGGGCATTTCTGTAATCTGGTTCTCTTCTAGGTGCAGGGTGGTTAGCTGAGACATATTGGTAAGTCCAACATCTCGTATGCTACTGAAGTTGTTCTGTGAAAGATCCAGCTCAGTCAGGTTGAAGAGCTGCTCGAGTTCCTCACTGGTCCGTGCAATATAGTTACTTTGAAGAAGCAGGACCTGGGTGTCGCTGGACAGATTCCCTGGAATGCGAGTTAACCGAAGATCATTGCAATCCACAGTAATAGCTTCCCTGTAAGTAGACTGCGGAGTGAACCAAGGTCGGATCTCACACACGCACAACTGTGGGCATTCACTGCTGGTCTGGCCATAGGAAACACCTGCCAGTACAGAGATGACTCCAGAAAATAAGTGTCCCAACAAACATACGCTGATCTTGAGTTTAGCCATGATGGGGAGGGATGGGAGGGGCAGTCCACTTGAAGAGCTGGTGTGTCACAATCATCAACCAAATTTTCCAAAGGTGAGGCAGCTTAGGGGGCTTCTGCTGAGGCCAAGTCCAGCAATCTTCAAGAAGCAGTAGAACCTGAAACATAAAGAGTAATTCTGATTAGAACAATACAAACATAATGGTGTTGCAAATTGTGTACTGTAGTTCAAAACCTTTGTTAAAACCCACACATTATTCTTCCTCCCTGGTTACAGTTGCTAGGCTAGGCAACCTGTGAAAACGTATGCAGAGGTGTGAGATGACTGTATATGAACAAATCTGCTGCTCAAAAGGTACTTAGGTTTAAAAACAAATTTTCTATTCATCTTATTTGTCTTTGTTAAACACACACATGAAAAAACATTTGTACAACAGTTTATCAAAAATCTAGTATGATAGTATGAATAACAGTTCAGTGAGTGATGTGCAACATCAACAGTTCTGATGAAAATGCATGGTCAGCACCTCATCATAGTGTGAAAAACATCAAACTCCACTGGGGGCTTTCATCAACACACAGGCCCATAAGGAATTAATCATTTGTTTCTGTGAAGTCCGTTATCTATGCTGAGAGAAAAGGAAAAAAAACTTTGAGGTATTCGGTTTCCTAAAATAGCAGTCCTGTATCTATGCAATAGTTACACAGTCATCCTAATTTTCTCTGGGTTGCTCTGGCACCACCTTTGGCAGAAACGTGTGCTATAGCATTATCTACACAGCAACACCAAAGACATCCTATTACTCAAGTGAGTCTGTTTACTGAAAGAAGCACCCATGTGAAAGCATATGCTTGCACCATGTTGGCATGGCCCTGTTCACCATAGAGCCCTATGGTCAACACCATCTTAAGAAGATAGTGTCTAAGAGGCTTTCAAACAAGGGAGCTGACTAATTCATGTGAAGGCAAACTGCCTGGCAACAGTGTCCGGGAGACAGTGAGCTGAGCGAGTGCTTGTCCTATACAGGGGATTCCCTTATGAGCCTGGGTGGAGCTGTGGCTGGAGAGAACTGTCTCTAAGCTAAAGTGGGGTATATTGTGATGCCCGTGTGCTCGCTGGGATTAGTGCATAGAGATCCTGGAGTGCAGATTAGCTAGGAGGAGTGCATTCATACCCAGAGGACGAAAACAGGTCACTCTGTACTTTAATTAAAATCAGAGCATCAGTGGTATCTAAGGCTGCACTGTACAGAAATGGAGCAGTATAATGTACTGCTAAGCTTATTACTCAAATGAAGAGGGGGATATTGGAGCAAAGCCTAAACAGCCAGTCATAATATGTTTACAAATGCTTTCATAGCATCAGGGCCATGTCACTGTCCAGTAAACATGTTGATCAACATAATCAGTATAGCACAACTCATGTGCTAATACTGTTATGTTTCAGTAAACACAGGGACCGATCAAGATCTTCACACAGAACAGAATGTGCATAAAGCAGCTGGATATGAACTGTTGAAGTAGGGCTTGAAAATGATCAGTATTTTTTATTTTTTTTATTTTAAGTTTTCTTCAGTCAATGCAATATTAGTTCTACATAGCATAAACAAGAATATGGCAAGGTATATCAACATAGGCCTGTTATTTGGAAGTATGACTGAACAGGAGCACTTTGTATATCTTAATGTAGTCAAAAGTCTGTAAATATATAAAGTTTTCAACTTTTTATAACTTTATCACAGCATTAATATAGATTTTTAATCCAGGCAACACATCAACACATCTTGTAATAGGCCTTGTCTGTGTTGATCAAAAATGGGGTTAATCTTCCAGCTGCCCCCCTTCAGTTAATTTTAAGTCTGTTGTTTTGATGGTGGTGTGCCCTATTTTTTTAGATGTTGCCCTGAAATAACAGCAAAAGTCTAAGAGCTTGCATCCTGTTCATTTTGCAGTCTGGTGGGACATTCTGACACAAGCTACATGACCAATGTGCACCGGGCAAAACACACAGCAGGAGCACAGAATTCACATCAAAACACCAAAGACAGAGCACTGGAAAAAGGAAAGATCTAAAACAACTGTAACATCTGCACATGTCCTGGTCAGTACTCAATATTACCAGCAATAGCTGATCTGAATACATGTAAATACACATCTAGTATCTGGTGTACATCAGTGTACAATTTGTCTTTTCAAAAACAAAATCAATTAATTGTATCTTAGTACAGATATGCTTTTAATCTTTGTCATTTAACCCCCGATTTTTTCCTTCAGAGTCTGAACTATTGATTGAGAATTGTTTATAGACCTCTCAAGTCAAAACCCCCAACCATATCACTAATGATTAGACATTACTGATTCACAATCTGTCGATCTTTTGATGAAATGCCGAGCCCTGGTTTAATCCCCACACTTGCTTGAAATGAAAACAGCACAGGTCATATATATGAAATGTTTATTTGTGCCAGGGTACTCGTCTACTCATTCACCTAGCACGTGCATCAACACAACACAACCTAAATACATGAAAAACAGCTGGGGAGGGGAGCATACATTTTTGACTGCACCATTTCTCTCTGTGTTTCAGGTGTAATTGTATCACTTGGTATGATAAATACAAACAAACACGAATGGCTGCAGCTTTTGAAAGTGCATTCCTCTCAAAAACAAGTACAAGCACCCTTTGTTTTTGCTCCTAATCTTATTCATCTGTACTGGTGAAATAGATGAAAATAAAATAGAGGAAAACAAATTACAGGTGAAGCAATTGAGATGAACAAGCCTTGTAACACAACCCACTCAGATGTGCCAAAAGTAATGAGATAAAACAGGACAAAACTATTTTTAATGGGTGAATGATTGGAAAGCTACAACCTGGCATGAGAAAACTTCACCCATACACCATAAATACCAAAAGGACACACAGGGGTCTTAAATAACATTGTCCTGTCCAGAGTACATGAATCCTGGTTAACCACAGCTACAAACCCACTGTCTTAATGGCAGTTTACAGCTCCTGTCCTGTAATGGGTGTACCTATTGATTAAAGCGGTAAAATAGTGGCAGCTGGTAGTGAGCTCCCAACTGGGTATAAGCACAACCCACTCTCATTAAACAAGAAGCTCATAACTTGAATAATGAGACTGCGTTTCAACACAGGTAAAGTTAGTGCTTTCATCTTTCGCATTTATTAGAACTGGTTTTGTTTAGGCAGTTTGTGAAGGTGTTCCTTGACAAGATTGCATTCCTCCACTCAAGTAAGCAATCTTTTATGCCTCAAGTTAATGAAGGTGAATTTCCTAATAGTAGATCATGCCTATGTCTAATACTCTAGTAGAATGGGTGTAATTATGGACTAAATTTCATGGTAATGTATGTCATATTACACATTATTAGGGGCTACTGCACTAACATACATGGTACATACATACACACAATACCTTTAAAAAACATGCATGTATTCCTTTATAATGACATTGGCCTCAAGCCTTAATCTGTGACATAAGGCTTTTAGAATCCATGAGTAGTGATCTCACGTTAACAGTTTGTTATGATTCGCTTCATTTAACCTGGATTAGACCAAACTCATTAACTTATTTTTTTATATTATACTGTAGTTTAAGATATATCTCACACTCTATTTACAGTCAGATTTACATGGAGATACTTATGTATGCTGAATTCTTGTTTGCACTGACAAATGAATGAAAATGAAAAAATTAAAAGTCAAGGCATACAAACAAAGTCTACAGATTATCACAATGTTCTTTACACAAAAATACCTTACAAAAATATATATTTTGAATATTTGGACAATATAGGCCACCCTCCATTACAGAAATTCATTCACTTCATTTAATTTATCTTGTGTGACTGTTATGTCAATTGTATGACTGATGAGCACACACAAATTCCCCTAAGAAAACATGAATGTCTGGGCTCCTCTTAGACCAGGCCTTGAGCTATAACCCCCTTCTGGGCCTTCTCCCTGGGGACCTGAAGCTGATACATTGACTGGTTGGGGGTGTTTTCTTTTGCCTGCCTCCCACTCCATCACCTGCCGTCCCACCCACTGCTCCTAAGCATAATACAACTACTTCATTTCTACTGTCATGACAATGCTATGCTCTATTCGTGGAGGGGCTTGACTGAATTTGATGGTGGCTGTACGATAGAGAATGTAAAATATGAAAAACCTCATAACACTGAGAATTTCTTGGTAAAAATAAAGTATAATGACCAACAGTGGTTACATTGAGCTAATTCTTTAGAATATAGGACATGAATAGTATACTGTGAGGTGGTTTATTTAGGCTTAGACATGGGTGTAGATTGCTGAAAGTGATAGTCAGTGGAGTTAGTGGGTCAGTGTATAGCTGCTGACTCAGCATTGTCTTTTACATGACCCGGGGGTCCCTGGAGAGCACATGCCAGTGTGTGCTTGGATACAATCAAAACCCATAAATCAAATTGTCAAGCTGAAATGGACAAAGTCAATAATATGAATAAATGCTTCCTGAATTATTATTATTAGATGAGTCCCATATATTTAGCTTGTTTTGACATACATGCCCTTATTTATTTAATTTTTTAATCATAGTTTATATTTGCTATTTTTCTTTGTTTAATGTTGCACCACAAACTGAAGCAAGTTTCTACTTTGTGAATTTTATTTTCTGGCATTAACAATAAAGCTTATTCTGAGTCTGATGTCTAGTAATTGTACACAAATGGTATGAGATCAGATTATAGCGCGTAGTGATAATGCCACCTGATCACAGATGCAGAAATGCACTGTGAAAAATAAAATGGCTTAGGCAAAATTATTAGATTACTGCTTATCTTACTACATCATATAAAGCTGCCACACTGACAGCCAAAATTAGAACTGCCCAAGTGGCTCTCCAGGCTCTGACTTTGCAAATACAATTCAAGTCTATCAGATTTACATGAGCCCACTGACACCAGCTCCTAAATATAGACGCATAATAGCTAAAGTCTGCCTAAAGTTGCCATCATCAG